ATTTCCTGCGCAGAAGCGGTGCGCAGTAGACTGCGCAGAAAAGCTGCGCGCGAAATCGGTCTGTGGTGGGGGTAATTTTTACGTCATCATGGTTCCGAAATCTACTCCTGGTAGCAGGATAGTAGAATGTGCAAAGAGGTGGCACGATTTTCTGCGCAGAAGAGGTGCGCAGTAGACTGCGCAGAAAAGTTGCGTAATAGATCCATATATGTATAATGTAATACATATGACATAAATTGGCATTAGAATTATTAATTAGCAGCATGTCAAATTCTTACAAAATCGATTTTAAAAATTAGTTTGAACCTTATTCTTTGTAATGCAATCATAAAAGTTCATAGAATATTCCGCAAACCGTGGAAATAAATGATTTATTCGAACCCTTTATCGAACCTCGAAGTCCCATTAATAATAATTAATAATGAAATAATTACAAATGAAATGTGCACAAAAATGTTATTAAAAAATTCCCTAGACATCATTCTTTGAGAATAAATAATAAAAGTTCACTTTTGAGTAGCATAAGACGTGTAATTCGAATTCCTTCTCGAACCTTGAACTCCCTTTAATAATTATTAATAATTAAATAATTACAAATAAAATATGCACCAAAATGGCATTAAAAAATTCCCTGGACATCATTCTTTGAAAATAAATTATAAAAGTTCACTTTTGAGTAGTATAAGACGTGTAATTAATTATTTTTATCTAACTATGGGAGCCATGCTTATTTTGGCGGGAGAAGAGTATTGCGCATACCTCCTTGCGTATTCTGCTCCCCTGCTACCAGGAGCAGATTTCGGAGCCATTGATAGTTGCTCTGACGCACTAGTTTTGAATTGTACTTTGTACCACAGTCGTAATGAACATAGTACATGTATTTTTCAATGCTTTTAAATGTTTATAAACAGTTTGAGATTATTATTTTTATTATTAGTAAACTTACCTTGCGATGCTTTACTTGTACTTAACGGAGAATAATGGTAATGTATTTTTCACTTATAGTTAAAAATACTTTATAGCAATGTATAAATTATTGAATACTTTATTTTTTTTCCGTGACAACAAGTGATAAGAATGATAAACTAATAATATAATGAAATCAGAAAGGAGAAGGTATTGTGGTTCGTTAATAAAAAGGTCTGTATATTTCTTGTTAAATGTTATTTTATTTAATACATACGATACAATGAGATTAATTTTACAATATTGTTGAAATAACAATTAAGGTTTTCTTATTAGGAAAACAATCGCACTGTCTTGAAATTGTAAAGAATCGAGCTCAATTTTTATGGTTCAAAACGTACTTCTGTGCCGAATTTAATAATATTATAAGTAAGTAGTATTTTATTAATCTGCATTCAAAAATTGATTTAATAAAAAATACATGTGAATAAAATAAGTAATATTTTAGTTACAAATAATACCAAGTTATTAACATTTTTTAGAATCAAGTTCTGATATCAACATTACACCTGGTTCATGGTATCTTTTGTGAACAAAGTTTACGTTTTGTGGTTTTCACGAATGCCGGAAAGAATATAATTAATTATTAGTATGTTTAACTTGGATTACATAAATGAAGACCTTTGCAATTAATGTGCAACGGTGGCATTATTGTTTTGTGAAGTGTTCTGGCTATTATTATTGTACTCGCCAGAACAACTTAACCTCTAAGGAAATATGTTTCCGCCGAAAGATTTAGGGAAAACGGATTACATTAGTTTAAATATCCAAGAGAGTGCAACTTTCGCGCGTGGAACATCGCGTAGTCTTTGGAGAGTAAGTTTAAAATATTCCTTCCATACTTTGTGTATATTTTTCTTTCAGACTTTTTATAAAAACCATTCACATATCTTAAAAATTTATTTTCAAGCAATGGAATCAGTTATCAAGGTTTCAAAGAAATATCCTCTACTTCATAGTCATCACAATCGTATTAGTTATATTTTATTTGTTACCTGGTGATAATAAGAATGGAGTTTTAGATGAAAATGACTATAATAACATAGAAGTAGTACAAGATACACTTAAATATGAAAAGGTATTAAGAATATTGTATGAACGAAATATTTATGTATGGTTTCTTTACATTAATTATAATTTATAGGCAATAGAAGATATTGTAGTAGATAATGTAAATCAAGAACATAAAGGTGGTGGGGAAGTCATTGAAGAACCTGAATTCCAACCAGAAATAAACCAAGTTGACGATGATCAAATTGGAGAACCACCTCAACCTAAGCCAAACACGCTTAGATTCAATGGTATTATTTTACATAGCTTTTAAATTGTAAACTAACTTAACTAATTTTATAATTATTTATAGGTCCACAAAATAGTAGACAAAGAGCTGTTGTTGCAGCATTTAAACATTCATGGAATGGATACAAAGAATATGCTTGGGGTCATGATAATGTAAAACCCATATCAAGAAAATATCACGAATGGTTTGGATTAGGTCTTACTATAGTTGACTCCCTTGATACTATGTACATAATGGGCTTAAATAATGGTAATATTTCATATATTTTTAATGTACTTAAAAAAATCTCAAAATTAACATTTCTTGTTGTTTTCAGAATTTTTAGAAGCCAGAACATGGGTGGATAAGAATTTAGTGTTCACTTCAAATAGGGATGTTAATTTATTTGAAGTTACAATTAGAGTATTAGGAGGTCTGTTATCAGCATATCATCTCTCAGGTGACAAGATTTTTTTAAATAAAGCTGTAAGTTATTTCTGGTGTTTGAGAATGAATGTGTGGTCGTTTAAATGAAGCTACAAATTTATGATTTATTTTATTTGTAGACGGCATTAGGAGAACGTATGATGCCAGCTTTTTTAACATCATCTGGAGTTCCCTTTTCGGATGTAAACCTTGGCACTAAAACTGCTCATAGTCCCAAATGGGGTCCTGATAGTAGTACTAGTGAAGTTACATCTATTCAGTTAGAATTTCGTGATCTGAGTCGTAGTACAGGGGATCCGAAGTACGAGGTAATTTTGCATGTACTTTGGTAATCGTATTATATACAACAAAACATTTTTATTTTTCAGGAAGCAGTTGCGAAAGTTTCAGAACACGTTCATAAATTAGATAAATACGATGGTTTAGTACCGATTTTTATTAATGCTAACACTGGAATGTTCAGAGAATCTGCAACAATTACACTTGGTGCACGTGGCGATAGTTATTACGAATATCTATTGAAACAATGGCTTCAAACTGGGAAAACTATTAATTAGTTAGTATTTTATAGTGCATAAATTTGCTTCTGTTTATATAAAAATTATTCTGATCTAAAATGTTTTCAGTTTACGAGATGATTATTTGCTAGGCATTTCTGGAACACAGAAACATTTAGTAAAACGTACAGTTGTTAATAAATATCTCTTCATCGCAGAACTGGTTGGAGGCAATAAAGAAATAAGACCAAAAATGGTAAATTATTGAAAATGAAATTAATTGTGTTATGTATTAATATTAATCATATATACTATTCATCTTGCAGGATCATCTTACGTGTTACTTAGGAGGCACTTTAGCTTTAGGAGTGCATCATGGTTTACCATCTGATCATATGGATCTTGCAAATGAACTTGTTAAAACTTGTTATCAAACGTACGCTATTCAACCTACGTTTCTTGCTCCAGAAATTACTTATTTCAACATTCAGGTAACTATAATAATAATTAGTGATTTACATATAAATTACAATATTAAACTATTACATTATTTTAGAACGTTGATGGAGAAAAGTCAATGGATATGCATGTAAAGATAAATGATGCCCACAATTTGCTCAGACCAGAATTCATTGAAAGTCTTTTTTACATGTGGTATTTTACTGGGAACAAAACGTTCCAAGATTGGGGATGGCAAATATTTCAAGTAATTATACTTTTTTGTGCATGCATGCATTGATTTTACATTTGACAATATACATTATTTGTAATTTAATAGGCTTTTGAAAATTATACAAAAGTTGAAAAAGGTTATACCAGTATCGGTAACGTGCGTAACGTTCAGAATACCAGGCAACAAGACATGACCGAGAGTTTCTGGTTCGCTGAAACTTTGAAATATTTATATTTGCTGTTCGATGACACGAGGCAATTAATTGATTTGGATAGATGGGTATTCAATTCTGAAGGACATCCTCTGCCGATATACGAATCGTAACTAAATTAAAACGTGAACTATCGTGTGTACATTTACGATATTAAAGAATTCTTAAATGTGTTTTAAGGCCAGTCAATAGATACCGTAATAACACAGACAAATAAGAAATTAGTCAAATTAATGTACTTTAAAATTCAGAATAGAAACTCCACTTAAGGCTAACAATATTCTACGTTAAAACTATTTTGCAAACTTTTTTGTGCGTTATACTACGATAAAATAAGCACAAAAGTGACATATTTACTAGCAATTAACTATTTATACTCGACTTTTTTACTCGTTTTCCAATTCAAGAGTGTATTTTCCAGTTGATCATTATAATCCATTCTGTAATTAATCACTTGATTCAGTGCATATGGAACATTAAAAATTACACTTGTGAACAGTGTATCAAAATTGTTGAGTACAATATTGTAAAGTATGAAATAATTGTTAAATTATTTGTAGCCTAACATACCAAATCCTTTTCAAGATTCTACTTAATTGTGATGATATCAATTTTTTTCTCAAAACCAAGTTACTTATAAAGTTTTCAAAGATCCTAGTCAAATTTCTGTTCATTAACATATAAGGAATACATTTTTTAAGGGATGTAATATAACGCGGGAGTGTCAATATTTCAGATTTTTAGAATCACTTTTGCATTTATTATGGAAATATTCACAATACAAAAATATATATCACAAATACGTATGATATATATTTCACAAATTTATTATAACCATTACTATAAATTTGAAGTAATCTTAACTTTCATTTTCTACTATAGTTTTGTTCTTATTTATTGCACATTTTTGTACAAAATATTAATAAAAAATATTCACACGATGTTTGTGTATAATAAATATTGTAATGTAGATTTTAGTACGCGAATATAATTGTTGAAATAGTCGTCCTATGTAAAAAAAAATAACCGTCAAATTTTGTTTCATATTATAAGCATAGGTTATTGAAGAAGTATAAATAGTGCAAGTAGCTCATTCAATTAAACTATATAGTTAAATAGATTATATACTATTAGTAAATTATTAAATTGCACTTTAATAATTTGAAGATCAATTTTTATGAATTCTAATCATCAGCTTCTGTGAAATATCAAGATTTATTTGTTGGTTTTGTTAGCTAGTTATAAAAATAAACTTTGCATAAGCGTGACTAAGCCTCTTACTTATTAATTGACATGGATTTCGAGAAGTCATGGCAGCGCCTTTAATTAGATATTACTTCGAAAAATATTTACAATATATCACTTTTAATGTTGTATACTCAAAATAATTCGATTATTTTCTTTTGCATTTATACAATTGTTAAAATGTAACAATCGTAATTGATGTATATGTAACTTCAAATTTTCTTAACCTGTTCATCTAGACTATCATTGTTATGTACAGTTTGCTCATTATGTATTAATTTTAAATACAAATTTTGTATCATTTATATACTTAAAAATGATATTCGAATAAAGCATTTATTGTATTTACGTTACAAAAAATTTTTAATATTTTTTTCAAAAATACCGCTTCTTATACTCTTGGAAAACTGTATGTATATTAGTACATACCTCTCAGTACAAATATTTGTCACGTACATCGTGATACCGCTATTTAAAAGTAGAGATGCATGAGAAGGTTAACATGCAAAAATTTAAATTTACTTTCCGCAATATAATTCTAGCTTATCTAAAATTAAATAAAAATACGATTTTTATGTATAAATATAATAGAAACATTGGAATGAAGTTTAACAGTCAAAGACATTAATGTCTGCTATTATAATGAGTGAGATTCTTAACTTCATACACTGTATTAGATTTTCTATAATAAATAAATCTCTTACTATAAAAAGTATATTGATTTTCTCAAACATCTCGGAAAGCTAAATTACCAAAATATATTCTATCGTATACATTTCAGATCTCGCTGATTTTGAAGAGTATAAAAACTACGATGGACGAATGCCATATTAATTTTTTGCTCAGTTAACAGCCAAAGCACGATCTTTTTAGTAATTTCAATAACTGAGATTCAAAGATACTATAACTTAGTATATCCTGAGATGACGATTTAAATGTAATTTCAAATAGTACTGTTTAGTGTTTGAAACTCTTTCAAATAAAGACTAATATTTTTAACATCAATCGAAATACCAATGAATATTTTTCTGTGCTGGGCTAGGTCTTCTATCTTTATTACTAATCATAGCCAACGGCTCTATACCATTAATGACTACATAGCATTTCGAAATTTAGAAATATACAAATTTGGGAATGTGGACATTTGTAAGTTATAAATTTAAATAATAAAATATCTCAATTTAAGAATTTTAAAATGTAGAAATTTTTAACTTTTCTACACTCTCCATGTCCCTGAATTTTTATGTGGAAGACCAGTTTATAATTTAAGGCCAAGCTGGTCCCCTTCTACTTTACGCCAATGGACTGACTCAGGTCCAGCATTTCAAGACTTAAATCGTCGATCGCAGTCAAGAAATCATACAAATAACTATTTAAATGGTTATTCTCTACGAGTGACGAGCTCTGACCGTTAAAGTATCACACATTCACAACATTGTTGTGTGAAGTATATACAATCTACAACACAGGAGTCGTTTTCAGGTTGAGTGACCGGTTTCTTTTTCTCCGCATCGATTCCATTCCTTTCGATTTTCGGCTGTGGCTGAGGGACCGGCAAAACCGTCTGCGCGATTGGTACTGCATTCTCAATCATCTCGGTATCGGGGTCGGTATTCAATAGTTCATTCGTCACCGGAGTAGTAGGTGTGGTCGGTGTGATTTTACCAGGACGTGCTTCATCTGGTACGTCGTAGTCTACCAAAGATATAGAAGTGTGAAGCGGCGGAGGTGAATCGCTGGACATGATAACACTGAAAGAAACAAAATTCTCTTAATATATATCTCAAATGCTTTGAAAACGCTTACACATCATTATTAAAAATATCAGAATTCTTGGAAATACAATGGTGCTATAATTAGGCTAAGATATATAATGCGAAATAAAAATTATAAAAGTTTTAAGATATGATATTAGGTCGTATGAGTATGAAACTTGACAGATGAAACGCAAACTTTGATATTCATTATTTTTTTATGACAAATTTTAATATTAAGTTTGGTTAGGTCTATCTTCGCTCTTCGTACAATATTTTTATTCATCCCCATTTTTGAACTACGTGAAAGTGGGATTCGTGTGGCTTATGGATTCTGTTGTGTAGAGAGTGAGATGGTCCGACATCTTTGGCGAATGACTGAAAATGGAAAATGCTATATCTCAAGTTTCATATTTAATGACCTAATAACAACTTTTTGTCAGTTAAATTCCAGTTATACAACGGTCTGTTGATCTGGTCAACTGCTACACTGTTATTCAGGCTCGTCACGCAGTTGACCCTGGTGTCTTTGCTATTCAACTCAAGCTAGTCTTACCCGTGCTTCATCGCGATACGCCGAAAGAAAAATATGTTATTACTTAACCCGTAACTGGTAAAGTGGTTTCTTTCTATTTTTAGCAATACTTTCTTTTCATTCAAGGTTTTTGATTTCTATGAACTTGTATTACGTGACCAAATGACCCACACACCAGTTGCAGATTAACTCGAAGCTAACCCATTAATAAACAAAGATAGAATCTATGCAAACAGGTAGTTAACACATCTGATGCAGCTCAGTGATGGACAACTTCACAGTGCAGACTTCTAAACGACGATATAGAAAGAGGTCCTTTCAAGTGTTTGCAAATCTGAAAATGTGTAAATTTGTAAATTATGCTTGTGAATGTATATATTTGCTTATAAAAAAAAGCAACTTTGTGTATTAATGGGTTAATAACTTGTATCCCTTTTCACACAGGTATCGTATCAATTACTGAACAGTTTGCGGTTCTTAACTTTCCCTAACAACTTAACATTATGCAAGAGATCTGCATTCGATTTTAAATTTACTGTAGTATAAGCGCTTAAAAATATTGCCGGTGTGTCTGACAAAACGATTCTCGGATTCACGGCAAGAATTGTAACCGAATCCATTCGTGGAATTTCGTTCGTCGAACGTTACACGTGTTCTTTATTTCTCTTTGTCCTTTTCTTTTTTAAGTACTTCGTAGAAAGTATAAGGAGACGTACCACCTAGCTTTCATGCAAGGTTGCATTCTACTCTTTTCTTCCGACGTCAGAGTGGTGTAAAATGATATTTGCCTGGCCATTTTCTTGGAAATTTGGAGTTTTTCAACCAATTAGAATCATTGTATACGTGGTGCGATTCGAATATTTCAAATCGTTTATCCTTTCCCTTCAACGCAGCGATTCGCGCACCTCATCTGTCTTCCTGTTTTATTCCAAGTTCACACATGACTAATTGATACTTTGCGTTTGTTACATTTTTTTTCTTCGCATCGAAATTTATAGTTCAATCCAAACGTGCAACAATTTACTATTACAAACGCAAAATCAATTATTAGGAACGGATACAAAAGTCTTGATTTAGGGGCAACTTCAAATATTTGTAAAAACTCATGAAATAAATACACACCTTGCACGTTTAATTCTGACAGCATTATATTCAAAATTTTTTAAAACTTTTATTTCTTCTAAAGGGATCCGTTGCCGCTTTTGCATCCGCTCCTGACAGGGAAACAAATTTTGAATTATTCAAATCAAAGATTATACGTTGAGAAACGTCAGATTGTCATCTGTCAGTATTTCAAAATTCTCAAATTTCTAAATTCTTGAATTTAATTTTCGAATTTCTTCATTCAAATTTTCCCGCCTTTTCAAATAAACAGAATCCGGAAATACTGACAATATATACAAGTTGAGACCTCTTTAAAAATTGAAAGTAATATCTTGTCATAAACTGCAAAAATATTTCTATAAAAATCACACCTAAAATTAACCATACTTGCATTCTTTGAGCTAATCAAGAATAATTACAGCTTCTAAGTACATGCATTGTACATTGAAATCTACTTGATTATATAAAATAAAATAATCGAGCTCAACACTGTCAAATTCATATTTCCATGCAACGTACGAAATCACAGTTGCACAACAGTTTCGATAAATGAATATCGTAAATAATAGATGTAGTCGATATTTAAAGAATTATCGATCTTGGCGTACGGTGTAAACGATCAAAAACGTAATGTGACATTTTACTTCTACTAGCAACTACTATTTCATTTTACTAGCGATAACTCGACATCGATAGTCATCTCGAAATTTGAATCGCTATTGTTCGATAACTAGAATGGGAGTTAGAGATAAAAGTATTATTGTAAATTCAATCTTACATGATGTACACTAGCAAAAGCAAATCAGAGAAGTAGAATTAATTAACACTAAACTTACGTAATGAAGAGGTCAACTGTGAAACATTAAAAAGAGAACTATGTACTGAATCTTAACTTAAATTACACGATAATCTTAAAAATCCAGCATCTCAGTTAATTACAATTTATATGCCAAAATAAATGCAAGTAAATTATAGAGAACGAAGTCACGAGAAAAACAGAAAAAAATAACTACACGATTCTTTTATGAACACGTTGATTGACAACTGTCAGCTTGATCGATTTGTGCGATTATTAAACTCACTTTTATGGAAACAATTGATTAAAACTAATAAACGTATCTCTTTTATTTCAAAAAGAGTGGAATACTTGTCACAGTCAGAACCGCTCACGCCACGAACGACAACACACGCTGAACTGCTCGAAGTAACTTATAATCTACGCGCCTATTCTACGTGCATATATCGAAAACCACCCCCTCTATCGAGACGGAGCCGCTCAAACGATTTATCGAACGAATCTCGAAGATATCAGTACGACATTATGTAAACAGTAATTTAATTCGAAACTTCGAGATTTGCATGTAAATTCTTGATAGCTTAAGAATTCTAAGAACTTAGATATTTAAAAATTTGACAGCTTGGGATTTTGAAGATATGGAATTTTAGAAAATTCGGGATTTAAAGTAATTTTGTATGAAATGTAATTCACGATAAATTAGGTTATAATTTAGATCGACGCGTAGTGTATCTCTATTATAGATCATGGAATTTAATAATAAAAAATTATATAACTTTCTGTTTAAATATCTACATCTTTTTAAAACTAAAACCCGATATACGATACGATACGACAACATCCTTTAGGTAAAAGGATCTTATTGGGGACAACTCAAAAAGAATGTCCAGCGAATGAAAGTTTCATAAAACCGCAGGTTGGATTAGTATTACTTTCCAGAAATTACATAAGCGAAAAATCTATTATTAGATATTATCAACAAACTAAAAAATGTTGTGGAATCGCGTGTATGGGGTCTTGAATACTGTCCCGTTAACGTCACATTTTTTGCGACAGTTTACATTAAAAAAAAATCAGTCCGTTTATATTCGAAGTACATACGAAACGGATTGATTTCAGACAACACAGAAGAAACAATGCAATTAAACACTTCATCGTTACCCCTTGAATTTTCGTAACTGTAACTGGAAGCCACTTATCTCATTGCTACAACGAAGGACGATTCACTTACCGAATTAGTTTTGTCATTGAAAGATTAATTCAATATCGAATATTTTCAACTAAAGTCGTTCAGAATACGATAAAATTTTACACATTATTCAAAGATCGTGCACAAAAATACAATTGCATAATACAACAATTTTGTATGAAATTAAGAAATAAAATATATAAATGAACATTAGGAGAGTTAAACGCAAGTTAAGCGATTAAACGTTTAAGAGTCAAAAGGAACAGATTAGGGGTGACGGGAAAAGAATGCTTAACCTCGAAATCTAGGAAAACGATCTATGTAATAAACTTACTTGTAAGAGCCACGTTGTGGCAACGGAATTTTAAAACGCATAACTTCGTGATCACTTAATTTACAGACAGCAACTCTTGATTACGCTTGTTTATGTTCATCAATCGTCGAACAAAGAATCGAAATTATACACCATCTCGATTTGAACGAGCGACAAGCACGCAGACACACAGAGGACTGGCAAAGAGGAGACAAGCGAAGCATACGGCTCAAGATGGGGAGGCAGGTGAGGTAGAGTCGAAACTTGGGTTGATTGAACCTCCGATTCGTTTTAGAAAAATTCAGTCAATAAACAATATTACTTTTAAACTTTTAAAGAAAACAGTAATATAATTAATATAATCGACGAAACTTTGACACTCGAATGTTAACTATTGCGACACCGTCTTATCGTTCGATAATGTTCGATTATCGATCATTTTAAAATATGCGCGTAACATTTATCTGGGGATTCACGACTTCCGATATTTTGAATGCCAACATTTGAATTTTGTTGTAAAGAAAAAATTTAGGATTTATAAATTAAAAAACTGAGATTCTTAGAAATTTAAAAATTAAAAAAAATTGTGAATTTGGAGAAATTTGAATATTTCGAAAATTTTACTTTACTGAGCCATATAAAAGATAGCCATGTAACGAGACTGTGTACACGATTTAAAATGTAAAGGACTCAATGCGCATTGGCTTTAATCAATGCACCCTTCTTATTATTATATGATGTACCCATTGCTTAATATATCGAGGACCGGATGTATTTTTACCATCGTCGATGTACTCTCTTCTTTTTCCCAGTGCGTGGTTATTAGAAATATTTTACCGTTTAACCCAGTCAATATTCATAACAACATTATACATAAAATGTAATAAATATAAAAATAATATTAATATACTGTCTGTTTATGGAAACGCGATTGTATATAATAACAACGTTTTTTTAATCGTTTTATCTAAGACTTCACCGAGGCAGACGCTCTTCTCAGTTTGACTTACTTCATCCTTTAGTATATGTATGTACACCCACCCAACATGAAACCGGTTTTAAAGCAGAATGGTCACGGAGCAAAGGGAAACCTCTTGTGCCAATACCTTCCGAAATGTTTAACTATACATATATGTACATACTGTATATACATCCGTGAATTCGAAAAAAATCGTGGGATGGATAATTCGTAAGGTAGTAAAACTTATGATTATCATCTTGAGATGCATCGTACTTGTTTGGTATTGCTCGTATTTGTATCGTTTACCTTCGGAGATGACAGATTAAATTACATCGTTACCTTCTTAGAAGTTATATGATACCACAAAGTGGCTTAGGACGAGAAGTTTTAAATTCGATAAAGGAATAAGAAATTTTCATACTAACTATAATTTAACAACTATTAATTAATTTCAGATAAAACTGAAGGGTACAATTGAAGAACACAAACTTTTCGATGTATCAGATGACAGTTTTTATGTGATAGATATTATGTACAAACTAGAAATTAAAATTTTGTTTTTTTAATATAATAAATGAGTGTATTATTTACCTATCAGATGTGCATGGAATTTCTTCTGCGTAAACATCAGCACGCGTTGTAATCGTCCCGTTTCTCATTGTACTGTAGTTGTTGCATGACAAAAAAAGGGCGAAGCGAAGATCCTGAAATTTGTGTCGCCGTTGACGTCTACTCGATTTCTCATTGCATTTCTCGCGTAGTCACCTCTTTGCTCCGTCTTATTAGATCATGCATATTGTTTCGCATTACACGTTCGCCGTTCAAGGTTTCCGCGTGTATTCATTATCACCTTTTGATCTCATGATTTTCAATCATCACAACAGTTTTAAACAACGATCCATCTTATTTAAATTTCATCTTCTCACAGTACGTTGCTTCAAATGTCAAAGCGTATGTAATAATGTAGAAGACTTTTTTCCAAGGATTATATACTTATGTGTAATTTATATTTCAAATACGATCGATAACTTTCCGGAGGAATTAACACTTTGAGAAGAGAGAATAGAACATTTAAAAATGAGAAACGTTTTTGTTCTTTTTCAATAGTTTATACAAAATGATGATAGGAGAGAGAAAGACCTAACCTCTCCTCTCGTTACGGTGGCTCAGGAGCTACTAACGACAAAACATTCGCTTCGCTGTGGAACCATTATGATTAGTACATTGATGAGTAGAAATATGACTGATCGTTTTGTACCGTGCGAAAAACAATAAAAATATTAATAAACGATATTATTTTTTATTTCGATATATTAAGTTTCAACAAAAAATTAAATAATTTAAAAGCTGGATCTTTACCTTTTGGTGTAGTAAAATTGAAGAAAATAAATATAAAATTTACATACAGTCACTGACGGATGTAGCTTCTAGAGAGCCCAAGGCGTTACAAACTTTTGAGTCTCCATAATTTATTTATACTATAGTATGGTCATAACATTAACTTTACGTCAATATTTATAATATTCACATTATATATTCATTCTTTAATTAGTAACATTTATATTTTATATAAAAATATAAAAACTAGGTGTTGAAAAGTTTTATCGATTGTTGCGCATGCGCTTTGATTTTAAGATATCTTTCTTCTTCCTTGTGATTGTGTCGTTAGTGGTGTGGAAGCCGCTTTCATTTGCGTCTTTTGAGTGCATTCAAGTATCACAAGTTTCGTAGTACCTTGAATTTCCTTGTACTTGAATAATTAGTATTAATAAAATAACATTGTAATAGAGTAGATAAAAATTGAAAAGAAACTGAATATGGGTCGTTACAGAAGGTAAGCCGTACACATGTATATAGATATACGAATGCATGTTATCAATATGTCCAGTGTCCAGCGTTATTATAATATATTTGAAAAACACGCGATCACATTGTTACTATTTGTATAATATAACAAATTGTGCAAGGAATATAAAGCAAAAGATAAATTCAAGTTAAAAAAAATGCTAAGATAACCATAACGAACGTATGATGATTATAACCTTGTACACCCTTTTGAGATAAACTTCTTAAGATGTTAATGCAAAAGGAATTAAAGTGTAGATTAGAGTACTAAATGTTTTTGAATTAATTCAATTTGTGAAACAGTATTAATTAAGCCAATCTGATTTATTTTATTTTAGTCGTAGCCGTGATAGAGATAGGAGACGTAGATCTCGCAGTAGATCTCGTAGTAGATCACCAAGAGATAGAAGAAACTGGGGTAGTAGTGGAGGCAGAGATCGAGGAGGTGGCAGAAATAACCGTGGTCAACCTGGAGCAAACTTAAGGAAACCCAGATGGGATTTGAGTAGATTAGAACCCTTTAAAAAAGACTTTTATATACCACATGACGCAGTTCAGAATCGTGATCCACGTATAGTTGAACAATACAGAAGTGAAAAAGAAATTACGTTGAAAGGAAAAAACATACCTAATCCTGTATTTACATTTGAAGAAACAGGTTTTCCAGACTATGTTTTAAAAGAAATAAAGTAAGTATTCTGGCAGAAGTAATTCCTTCATATTAGAAGCAGACTGAACATAGTAGTTATTTTATTATGATGATGTTAGAATTTGTTTCTTAAGTCTAGAACAAGTATCCAGTATGAGATAATAATGTACATCATCAAGAATATTGTCACAACTTAAAACTTGCTTATTGTGAGAAGTTAACTTTCATCAGATCAAGTAAGAATGGAACTAAAATTGTATTTCCTTTGAACATCAGTAACATGAAATATAGTATCAGCTTATTAATAACAATAATTGATTCTGTTCAAGTGAATGTTTTTTATACTAGAGATACTGGGAAAAGAACCAATATATATATATGATAATATAAATTTTAAACAAAGAAGTGATTAAAATAATTTTGTTTTTTATTTGTATTTTCAAATAGGAACAAAATAAAGTTAATAATGCTATTGAGTATTAAAATCTATTGTAATTTTTATTGTTTTCAGGCGCCAAGGTTTTACAGAGCCTACATCGATACAAGCACAAGGTTGGCCAATTGCTTTAAGTGGTAGGGACATGGTTGGAATTGCATCAACTGGTTCTGGAAAGACATTGTCCTATATATTGCCTGCAATTGTTCATATTAATAGTCAACCTAAATTAGGCAGAAAAGATGGACCTATTGCATTGGTATTAGCTCCTACTCGAGAACTTGCACAACAAATACAGCAAGTTGCTGATGACTTTGGTCATACTTCAGGCATTAGAAATACCTGCCTATATGGTGGAGCACCTAAAGGTGCCCAAGCTAGAGATTTGGACGGGGGCGTAGAAATTGTGATAGCTACGCCTGGTAGATTATTAGATTTTCTTGAATCGGGTCGTACGAATTTAAAACGGTGTACCTATTTGGTACTAGATGAAGCAGATAGAATGTTAGATATGGGATTTGAACCTCAAATTAGAAAAATCATAGAGCAAATTAGGCCAGATAGACAAACATTAATGTGGTCTGCTACATGGCCTAAAGAAGTAAAGAATTTAGCTGAAGATTTTCTGAAAGATTATGCTCAAATAAATGTTGGATCTCTACAGTTAGCAGCAAATCATAATATATTACAAATCATTGATGTATGTCAAGATTACGAAAAAGAGAATAAGTAAGTATACTGAAATTCCTCAATGGGAAAGAATAGAAATGTCATATTTTTATTCAGGAAATATTCTACATTTATAACTGTTTCATGCAGATTAAGCACACTTTTAAAAGAAATAATGGCTGAAAGTGAAAATAAAACTATAGTATTTATTGAAACAAAACGTAGAGTGGATGAAATAACCAGAAAAATGAAGAGAGATGGTTGGCCAGCTGTTTGTATACACGGTGATAAGACACAGCAAGAAAGAGATTGGGTTTTACAAGGTAGAATTGCGATTGCAAAGCAGTGATTAGAAGAAATATTCGTTTTTTAATAAATGTATTTAATTTTCAGATTTCAGATCGGGGAAAGCACCAATTCTTGTTGCAACAGATGTTGCTGCTCGTGGTCTTGGTACGTAAGATTGTTATTATAATTTGATAAAATAATGAGATCAAACATCATTATACATTTTCCTTTGGTATGGAAAATGAGTTGCTCTAAATCATATTTCTACCAATATTATTTGAGCTTAATAAGTACTGCAATATGGGATACCTTGTTCTGACACAATATTCAATGAAAATAGTAACTAAATAACTGTTTGCGTTTAGTAGAACGTATAATCACGTGTAGGCTGATATTTATTAAGTGCAATTAAAATATGTTTAATCAAAATTTTTCTAATTTTAAAGAACTTATATTTTATAAATCAGAACAAGGTTTCATTGATCTATGCTTGAGCCACATTATGTACATATAAAATATTAATTGAAAAAATACTGAACATTATCTACATTTTTTCAATTCATGAAAAAGATGTATGTAATTTTGTCTTTAATGATATTTGTCGAAAAAAAATCATAACTAAATTTTAATCATTATAGAAAGTTTGTCTTATAAACAGAAGTTTTATAGTTTTCAAGTTTAAATGTTATACATAATGTGATTCATGCAACATTTCTAATATTTGTGTTTATTTGCTTCCTCACTTTTTGCTGAAGGTAATAATTGTTAAATAATATATGAGAATAAAGATAGTGAAAATGAATTTAAACTCATATTAGATATGATCGGCAAGCTGTTCATTTATGGATATGTAAAAACAATTTGTACATTTCAAAAGAATTCAAATCAATTTCAGAATCATAACTTTATCTGTATTGAAAGAGAAATCTAGTTGTAAATTGAGGTATCACTTGTTATTTTTTTTTAATTGAACAATTGAATACAGCATTGTATGCCAACTATGTTTGCAACTATGATCACTAAAATTTTCACGTTAACATTGTAGCTAAAGTGAAACGTGCTTGCCGAAAATTAGATAAAGACAATATAAAAGTATTCTTTTTCTCATACATAAATTCGACTTTCTAAGATAATCAGAATTCAGTTAAAGATTAGATGAGAGAAATAAGAGTAATACAAAATTCATATTGAACATAGGAAGATAATGAGGTAAACATGTACCTAACGCGGTTGGATCTTTGTTTGTATTGCAGAGGCACATTGCGCGCAGGCCCACGCCGGGTAATGCAAAGCAAATTGGGGGTGCCCGCCGCCTGTTTGTTCGGTGGTGCACTGGTTTGCATTGTCTGCGCTGGCTGCGACGCGTGCCTCTATACGTCAATTCCGTGAAGGGCCAGTCCGGGCCAAATCGGGATCTACTTTACCTCCTACATACTGGATATCAGTTCTACGCTACGCTGTACGCCATCTGGGCTGGCCAAGTCGTTGTTGCCAGAATAGAATCCCCTGCGCTGGCCGCTCAAGCTAATCAGACCCAACAACGGTCCAATGAGGCGGTGGCATGGTAGCTGATGCCAGAGCCTCTAGTGTGCCCTGTAGCAACAGAATGGCGGAGGCTGTAGCTGGAGCGAGCGCAAACAGCCAGGCCCTGCCCGTACGTTGCTAGCGACACTCACCCACTGCCTAATTTTAGTATAACAGTAATATTAAAATTAATCGCTATATATATATAGCTATATACAGATACAGAATCAGCTACAAAAACGCCAATTTGACTGTATTCACATGGATCTAAGATGATTCTCAGATTGATCAGATATTTTAGTTAACATTGAATGTTGCGTACTTGTTAGTTTGGAAGATACCATTACAATTTATTTTACTAATACTTTTATCGATGAAGCTTCTTTATTAAGAAATGCACAACATTTTGTCTGATCAAAAGCATCTTAGACTTGAACATTGATGTAATATAGTTCAAATGTATTTTTCTAGCAGATTCTATATGTACACTTTTTGTATGTACATATATAACAAAATGTTTTATAAAATGTGTTATACTAGGACATGTAAGATATTCTTGAGTTAAACAGAAGTTGATTATTGATATTTCTATGTGGTCATCATTTACCAACTTTACACTGTGCAGTATAACTTTAAAATAGTACTTTAAAATTTGAATTATTTTGGGCCCAATATTTGATATTAAAAAGTTGTTGATTAATGATCACGCAACATTGTCAAGAGGTTCTTTGCTTTCATTCAAGAATTTCTAATGTGTTGGGCAAGCTACATTTTGTAAAACATTTTGTATCTATATGTATATGTGTATGTATATTTCTGTATACATACACATTTATCACATTTTATCTCCATTTGAATTCACATTTCCTTCATCCTTCTAAGTCCTTTACGATAATTATATCACTACATCTTCACAATATACTAACTATCGTATCAGATAAGATCTTATATATATATCAACTCTGGTTTCATTCTTTGTATATATTTTTATTTTTTCATTAACTATTACAGTGTTTAATTGTACAATTGGAACATTAAGAAAAATTTATCAAGTAATTAGATATGTGTTTATGACAAAATTTTTAATATCAAATCAGAATAAATTTATCAAAATAAGTTTTAATCATTTTTGGATAACATAAATGTATTGAAGTTAATAATCATTTTTATTAGAAAAGGAAACCAGAATTGTTTACGCGCAAAGATTTATCTTTATTTCAGAATTTTATAATGTAGTCGAAACGCTCTCTAAAAAACATGCATTCTTTTCCATTGTATTTTATCATTTTAATTTGATGTTACATGAAAGATAAAGTCAAGTGTTAAATCAATATACTCAGAGATTTTAATCATACATTATTTGGAGAGCGTATTAATTAAGATATTTATTCCAAATAAGCGATCGATACTTTATATACGCCCTGTCATTACTACTATCTTAACAAATGTCTGTCTTGAAGGCGGATGCTTCCATTAATTAATAGCTAATACATATGCTTTATTTCAGACGTTGAAGACGTCAAGTTTGTCATCAATTTTGATTATCCCTCCTGTTCGGAAGATTATGTTCATCGAATCGGTCGGACAGGTCGTCGGCAAAAAACTGGTACAGCATATACCTTTTTTACACCTAATAATTCCAATAAGGCTAACGACCTGATCCAGGTATTAAAAGAAGCGAATCAAGTTATAAATCCCAAATTACTGGAACTTGCCGATAACAAGAGTGGTGGATACGGCAGGCACAGAGGTATTTACACATTAATAGATTCTATTTCTCCTAAGATTAGACATTTCGAATTTTCCTTCATTCTATGCATGACTGCTCTTACGTTTAGGAAGAACCTAACCTCAAGACATCTTGACGGGAAGCTAATAAGGGGGTTAGGGAAAGTCTAGAGCTTAAGGAAGAGCTTAGATCTGATTGTACATTACATTAATTGAAATATTAATGTTTTTATAAATATTTTCAGGCGGAAGAAATAGATGGCGGTCTCGAGGCGGTCGTAACGGTAAAGATCGCAGTTATTCAAGAAGTAGAAGCAGAAGTCATAGTAGGGAACACAACGGACGTGGTAATCGTCGGAGTTACAGTCGGAGTTATTCCCGAAGTCGTAGTCCAGTGAGCAATCGTACAGGTAAGTAATGGTACGTTCGCTCAATACTGACGCATTTACTATTTCTTCGTACATAATGAATTACAATTGCGTATGCTTTAAGAAAATCAATGTGTTTACAGAAGTTATCGGTAAGAGTTACTGGAGCAGCGAAAGATGATCTTCCACGAGTGACTAAGGACCAACAGTTGCGTACAATTCATGTTCTTTTTTTTACATCTCTTTTAAAGTATACGGGATACATGTCGTACAGATTGTAACATCGGTATTCCGATTTAACATGAACGTCGAACATAACGCGTGTCAGTTTTGTGCACTGTAGCTAATTTATAGAAACCTGAAGAATAAATGTTTCCGATGTGAACATAATCCTAAGAATTAAAAATGAAAAGTACTAGGGTTAATTGAATGCAATGTTGATTTTACACGATCGATACCCAGAAATCAAAAATATCATCGCGCAAATATGATTCTCATCTCAATTGTGATACGAAATATGTTTTTGTATCGATGTTCTGGAATATTTCTATATATTTATAGAATATTGTTTTAATCACCATTAAGCTTCGATATAACAATTATGTATAGCATAAGCGTGGTCAAGTTATAATATTCACGTACTACATCACATAAATATTTTGTAACGACATTGCAACATTCGATACTACGAGATAAGTCTACGTGTAAGTGACCGTGTGAGTTTAATTAGCAGATAAATCAATTAAAAATCCATTACAGAAACGTCTCGCAATTTGTAGTTTGTAATAAATTGTAGACATCTAGTGCTTACTAGCAATTCGTACATGAGCATTTAAAACCGATAGAATAATGTACAGTATTTAACAAAAATGTAATAAATAAATTTATTAACTATTTAGGAAACAGTCCGTGTTTTTCTTGCGTTTCTTATTATTTTCTAAGAAAATTTATTTACGAAAAGTGTGTCAAACCCTAAACTGCTACAAAGGACGAATTGATTAAATGCCAATCAATTTCTGAGTACCACGAATTTCCAGCCCAAATACTTCGTGTTCGCTCAATAGTATCGCGTCGTCTTTATCTGGTCCATCGTGAAATTATTGTCTAGAAGACAACTAATATTGGATAACGCTGTCAGTTTCTATTTACCAAACAAAGGAATCAAAGGATTCGAGGGGAAAGTTTCATGGAATGCTTCTTCGACAATAGAAAACAACTACTATTGCTTTTCATCTCATTCATTGTGAAGCTGTTTATTATGACAGAGTAGAAAAGAAATTTAATTTTATTGTTTACTAAACGTGATGTTGTAATCAATTTATCAGCATGGGGAAAATGGATTTGCCCCACTTTCATAATGAATGGCTCCACCTTTATTTACTTACTGAACTTGTAAAATAATAAAAATCTGTAATTTTGAATTTAGCTTATTAACTTTGCAAGTCATGTAACAACTAGACTAGGTTATTTCAAATTTCACAAATTGGATAACATTATTTATGCAGTATAAGTAGGTTTTTTATTTGGACCCAGGTTCTCTTTACTAATAGAGTCAATGCACTCAACACTAGAGTAACTAAGTGGCTCTTGGAGATCTTTAAAATTTGAGTACTTCTAAATTAAAATGTTATGCATATCAGTGTCTGAAAATTTAATATTAAAAATTTAGAAATATAAGAATTTTGAGAATTAACTAAGAAAATTAGCAGTAACATTGACAATTTTTGAACTTTTTATATAAAGAAAGTATATCACAATTTTCACTGCATGATTTTTATCCTGAGAAATCTGAATTAACATTTAAATACTTATTAGCACAAACTCTGACCCGCCATGCCTGTCGACTCGTACACGTGCTTCATTCAATTATTAATTGAAACATTTACCCTCGTTAAACGTACAACAAACACGAATTTAGCGCTAACAATTACAGTAAATACAATGAGGGTATTCGAGAAGCCTAATCGAGAGAAAAAAGCAGCCGTGATCCTGAAGTGAAAAGCAGCTAAGATTTATGAATGAACTGTAATACAGGTGGATGGGTCGATAGAGCGGCCCCCCGCATGATCACACGGCAAGGGCGTAGTAATCGATAGAGTGAGGGTGAGAACGAATAGAAGCCGGCTCGGAGCAGACGAAGAGCAGAGGAGGCCGTGGAGGGCAGAGTCCATTCAGTAGAAGCAGCAAGGCTGCTATTGATTGCGTGGGTGGTTAGAAGAGATGAGTTACCCCCACTTTCGGTCATTCAGCAGCCGCACTGTGCGGTAATTTAGATTATTCAATTGTTCGATTTTTACACATCTAATCCTTTATCGGGCAGACATTGATGATATCGCAGTGTCATAGAAGACGTATTATGTACTTCGATTATTTCAGCTTCTGCTTCGTTTCGTGGAATCTCGCATCTACCCCAGGCACAATATCACGAAACTAATGAAAACGTATTATGTACGTTACACGGAGTGTGACGAAAGTATTCAATAGAAATTTTATACCGTTCGCTGAACTACAATCCAAGTGAAAAGGGGAGACAAGTAGATTGGTCCTGAACGTGGTCAGGCCAGAGCCTTCAACGCATATACGGAATTATCAATTATAAAATATTTACATTGTCTTGTTAACTTGTACTAATTAAAATGTAAATTTATTTTGCTATTAATTTTAATATTTATAGCAAAATAAATTTACATTTTAATATTCATTCATATTACATTTTAATTTCAAACTACCTTCACTCCCTCTTTCATGACATTTACAATTACAATGTACAATACTTGTATAAACATAAGCTTAAAGTTCAGATTACAATTTTTTAATTAATATGATTGAATTTAAAAAGTATATACATCCCGATAAAATGTCTCTGTTTAATTCATTATGTCGCAATAAATGTATAACATTTTGTGCATACATCTTCGCATTTAGTTTGTTCTTACATAGCAATAATTGTGACATTGATTTGTGACGATGCAGGTTCTTCAATGGCGCAAGTGTTTTTGACATTAGATCGAGGATGAGGGCTACAACGATTTTAAGTCCCAGGGAGAAACTTGTTGCGCAGGCGGACCGGAACTTGGCCGCAAGCTTGTTCGCGATCTACCATACCCGACTTCGCATGAGCAAAAATTGCGAGCATGATTTCTATAAAATTTGATTTTCTCACACTTCCATTCAGTGCATTATCTTAAATTGTACATTCATTTTTTATTCGAAGTATTGCACAAAATGTTATTCATAACAACGAACGATGTTCGATAACAAATTTGGAATAAATTATAGAAATTATTCTATATTTGACTAGTTTAAACATAACAAAGTTATACGCAGAAGGACCAGAATATCCTAGACAGAATCCGAAGATACAACGGTGTGCAGATTACGACACTGTTTTTATATAAGTTTGAAATTGAACTTCGAGAAAAGCTCATAATCATTGACGTACATATGAGGGCGACATTAGATTACTGGTCCTACTGCGTAAACGGAGGTACAAAGTACGTAGAGCCAGTTCTTTTATATTAAAAATTTGGAAGTCTTCAATGTTACAAATCTTCAAATTTTCAAAAATTGGATTTGATTTTAATTTCCTCATTTTCAAACTTCTAAGACTGTATAATATTGAAAACTTCCAAAAGCTCAAATACTTGAATTGATCTCTAATTTCAAACATCTAGTTATTCATATTATTTTCTAAATTTCCAAATTTCAAAGTTACAAACCCCGAGTTAGTTTCAAATTCAAATTCTCTCTGATTTTCAAATCTCTAAGTTCTCACATCTCCAAATGTTTAAATTTTCAAATCCCAAGCTGGTGCCCCAAATTCCTAAATTTCCAGATAACCACAGCAGCAAGTTTCCAAATTCCCAATACCCACATTTCCAAATGTACGTTCCTACATCCCTAAATTTTCAAATACTCCCTTTCCACAAGGAACACATAAATTACCAAATTCCTACACAGCAAAATATGCAAACTCCCCAATTTCATAACATTGATATTTGGAAATTTATAAAAATCATTAGATCATGGGGCGTTAACATGATCAGCGAAGTTAGGGTACCTGGCCCAGCCCACACAAAAATTCTAGGTACGCCAATGTCCATCGTCCTGAGGAAAAGCTCCCTATAGAGTGGAGAGAAAAGAAGGAAAGGGAAAAGAGGTGGGAGCTCGACAGGGTGTAGAGAGGGGTTGGAGTGAACAGGGGTTGTGCTTGAAGCGGGGGCAGAAAGGAAGGCGAATAGACGGCCCGATGATACCACCTCTCTCAGTTGCTCCTCGGTTTCCGGACTGCGTGGACTAGCAGGTTAGTGAATCCAACTCCTCGTTCATTCACCAGTTTCTCTTCGTTCCACTCTTGACCTCCTTCCTCTTCTTTGCTACCCTCTCTGTTTCACTCATTCTCTCGGTCTCTACCTCCTTTCCACCCTCGTGTGTCCGCTAACTCCATTCATGCGAGTCTCGTTCCTTGCTCGATCGCCGTTTCCCTTGATTTATTGAAGTTCGTCGTGGAAAGGATTTTCTTCCCACTGCTGGTCGACCTCCAAATTGCCACCGCACTTTAGGTTCACCTGTTACAGGTATCGTCCCAGTTTCTCCTCGGTCACCTGAAAATTGTTTTCCATTAACACGTTGATCGAAATTCATTCAGTATTTATTTTTATATTTACTAGTCGTTTCAAGTAGTTTAGTATTCTAATTAGGTAAGTGAATATAGGTCATTCGTATGGGAATTTAAGCGTCAGTATACGTCTGACACAACAGTCAAAGTGTTAATTGCATGGTCGGTTGATTGAAATTGTTTTGTGGTTCAAGTATCCTTGCAAGTGCATGACCTTTAGGACATTGATTTAGAACATAATCGATCCCGAAAATAATTCGTCAAAATTTTCGCATATGGTTGAAATAGCGAAGAAATTGATATGTTACGTGAACTGTGCTAATCTTAAAATTGACGGATTGTCATCTAACACGGTCCTGTGAAATTACTCGGAATGGCTTCATACACTGAACGGAGATCTAAAGTCAATTAATATTCATTACTTGTATATTCTACATTTTCTTAAATATAAGTATAAAATAATTTTGCTTGGAAACTTGTCAAATTTGGAAAATGAAAATGTATGGACAAAAATATGGACTGGCTCAAGTTGTGTAAGGAACAGAATATATACCTACTATTAAAAATTCAGAGATTTAAAAATTTTTAGGTTTTAACGATTCAATTCAAATTTCATAAAAGTTCAAATTTTCACATTCACAATTCCTAAATTTTCAAATCTCCCAATTTACAAATTCTCAAATTTATAATTTCCAAATTCTAAATCTCTAATTTAACAAATTTTGCCTAAACCTAATTTTATACAATGGTGAGACGCTTTTACAAATTAATAAAGTTAAAGAACGCACCCTACTCCAACCGAAAATCCTATATACGCCATTGCAGTAAAATTAAATTTAAATTCTAGTTGCCGCGGTGGTCGGCCATTCATGCATTAAGTGCAAAATGTATTACAGTTCAATTGTAAAGTACTACCTATATTAAACCATGCGCTTAATAGATCGCAATTAGCACCCTACCACTAGGTATTAAATTCTGAATTTAATCTGGTTTAAACACTTAACGCTGAGAAAGTTTTCCTCTCGTGAAATTTTCGCTGAAATATTTAAACAATGATAATTTCATCTTCAAAGTTTGGAGTTATTTCAAATAACTTTTTTAACTGGTTGAGAATTAAGGAACAATGCCTTCTTTATAACGTGTGTGATGTACAGAGGGGTCAGTAACAAATGACACAAGCAAATAATTATAATAAAAATATAAATCTAAAATATAGAATCAAATTTTGTACGTGGTTTTACTTTGGAGAAATTGTCTCATCTAATGTACTTCTCTGTTTATATTATAAAATAGAATATTAACAGAAATTGTTGAAAATATTGTCTACTAATAAGCACAGAATTGTGTTCTATAATACAGAATGTATGAATGAATTTTGTGATACAAAATATAGGAACAGTTACTTTCTTAGTTTTATAAATTCTATTCTACAATTTCAACTTATTTTTTTATGTAAAAGTTCCACCAGTTTCTGACCACTTTGTATACAATTTTCTTCTAAAAACGAGCTTCAGATGCTCATTGTGTTCGACGATAATTTAGCGCATAAATACATTACAAAGAAACGCCAAAAACGTGAGAAGAGAAAACGTGCCAGTTATAATATAAAATAACATTATTAACAAAATAATTTACAAAATATTATGTGTAAGTCATTGATGTAACTACTTAAAAATGGGTCTTCTTTCAAAGTATAAAATAACTCAAACTATAAAGCAAGGATGTAGCATACAGGATTTCTAAATTCAGAAGTATCAATGTTTCAAAATTCTAATACAGATATTATCTTCATATAACTAATACTGAACTGTGTTTATGAGATGTATCAATGATGTAGTTGGAAAGTTTTATCTTGTTAAAACAAATTGTCTTTCACTATCGATTAAATAGCAACTTATTTAAGAAGTGATTACCACCTGTTGTTATTCTATAACAAGTTACATTAGTTAAGTACGAAACTCCACAAATATAGAAACAGATTTCAACAAAACGATATCCCACATCTATTACTTTTCATTTGGCATTAAATTTCAGTATTGGATCAAGTTAGTTTGAGGGATACACCTTCGCCCTTTATCTTCCACACTTGTTTGTCACAATATTATTGGTTTTTCTTTATTGGTTTTATCGGTTGACCCATTTTATGAGTCTATGAAAAACCGTACATTCGTGTGGTTTCTGAACGTGAATTCTACTGCGGTAGGAGTCGGAGATGGCCGGTAAACTGTTTGGTACAGCAACCGAAATTACAACTGATTCAAAAAGAACCAAAAATTCCTGTTACGAAACAACGCTCTGACACATACCGCACAAATTACCATGACAAAGCTGCAGGAATTGCAGTTGGAAACTCTACATTGTCCAGCAAATTTGCTGACACCCACGAACTACTATCGTTTAAGAAATTTGGATAACTTGTTGACGGGAAAGTTCCAAAGGTTGGACATGCCTTCAAGGAATTGATCAACTCCTGTATACCAAACTCTTACACAAATAGCATATTACCGCCAAAATCGCAAAAGTGTATAAATAATATAATTTTCAATAAATAATATAAACGCTTTACAAAATAAAATGAAACATGTTTTAATACTTGATGACCTAATATCAATTATCTGTACATTTACAACAGATTTAGTTTATGTCACAAATTAAAAAACTTTTTAAAACAGAAAGGATTTCCAGAGAAAACATTGGTATGCAGAAATAAAATTCCTCTTTGAAGCATATGGAGTGCAACCTTTTTTTTTACTTTTTAAACGAAATAAATTGTCTCTCTGAACGCAAAAATTCTTGCAATACAAGAGCTGCTTTCAGCAGTTTATGTGATTATTATTTGAAAACAGCAATGGCCTTTTATATCACGGAATAAATTGATCTCGGAAATGTTAATAACTTCATTACCGGGCGTTCTTTACTTAGCAGATAATAAACGGCCAATTCTCATTTCCTTTTTATGATTTACAGAACATAAAATTTAATCATCTTCGTTATTCGTGCCGCGGAATTTCAATTAGCTATGGTATACCCTCTGCATTAACTCGTTAATTGAATACGCGAGGAAGACTCACATCATTGATTGCTTCGTAATGTTTGAGATTTGATTTCAATCAGTTGTGCAAAACAATGTCGATTGTTTACTTTTTTAAATAACAAGACATTGTAAAGAATTTCTGTAACTGATAGTACTAATAATAATTGTTCTTTAAGACTAGAATATAATGTATTAGATTTAAGGAAACTTTCAATAGCTATGGGTACAGAATTAAGAGTAACAATATAACTAACATCTGTGTGTTTCCTTTTTCCAGAAAATGCGTACTGTAACTATATGGACCGTTTTCGTGTTAGCGTATTCGAACAGCCCATTCGTGTTCGGTATACGATACATCGATCCGATCTCAGCGCAATCAGGGAACTCCGACATTACCGAGAAACGCGTTGACCTGACCGAACCGACATGCGAGGAACTGAGGGCGATGTGGAGGTACACCAAACGACAGAGCAGGGCTGCTGAGACCACCCCTGGTTACTCTCTTTATCCTGATCCGTTTGCTTACAACATGTGGAAGTCTTACTCCGATCGTACCAAGCCTCCTCTTGGTTATCGAGGTAAAATCACCTACGCGAGTCTCTGTTGAATAAATATAAATAGTTATTTGTGGTAGTTCAACAAATCCTTTGAAGACCTAGTCTTTTTTAATTGAAATGAAAGCAAACATCCCTTTACATAATATCTTCCCTTTACACAACATAGAGTAAAGATATTTACTGACAAAAGCTTCGATTTTACATGTTAATTTCTTGTTATACGACCCACTGCTTATATAGAATTTGTACATAGCGTCGTACCTCACCTTGTTGTTTGATCAAGATTTAGTTTCGCCTTTAGATTGCACGCCAAACTAACAAAGAGGCACGAGCAGAATAATCTGATTATTGGTTTCTATGTATACATTAAAGCTATTAGAGACGGCTCTTTGAGCCAAACTTTGTATAGGATGGTGAATTATTGGACGGAATATAAAATTCTATACAAGTCCAAAGATACACAGATTCGTAACAATTCTGTTTAAATATTCACAGATATTTTTGTATGAATTATATTTAAAAAATATTCACCCAATGTTTGAATATTTTTAAAGAAATACTGTTTACCTGGTAAATATAGGAAGATTTACTGGGAGACCTCGAAATCGTGCTGGAGGTAGCGCTCCTATTTACGGAAGAATGGTGCACAAAGCACCAGCAGGAAGTAGATTAAGAAACGGGATGCGACACTCTTTGCGGCCATACGATAAAATTCCTCATTTATACGGCACGATTAATTCTTATCCACCATCGTCGAGGCGACGCGTCACCAGTTTCCGTGCAGTGGGTGGTGGTTCTCCTCCTCTGTCTCAGGTTCCTCAGGCTGGCAGTTTTCAACGTCTCAAGGAACTGCTTCGAGCTGAACGGGCCCGCGAACTACAGGTAAATTTTCATGTTACAAATGTATTTTTTAAATAACATTTAAGTACTTGATAAAGAGGGCACCTACCTACATTGAGTCAATCAGTTTAGTGAAAATATTTTTCATTGAATCCTACAATTATATTGGACACGAGAATGAATAATTTTAGGAGCAATATCAGGCAAATCAATTGACGGATAAACCATCCATCTTTAAGGACGTTAGGGACAACGATCAATTATTACATATGCAACATTCTCGAAAGCAATTCGTGAAACCGACAGTACGAAATCCGACGGAAATTAATTACGACATGGGTCAGACACGATACACGTCGAATGTGCCCAACATTGGACAAGCTTGGTTGGTAAGTAACGGACAATAATCACATTCGACATAATAAATTACGTGCCCGTTACATTATTGCATTCAACGCTCAAAGTATTTTAGAACTACATTATCCTTACAAAGACACACCTAATGTTACTTCTGAATATTCCTATTATAACAGTGTGGTGTATTTTATTATCATATGTGCCTCTTTGTAAGCAATTACTCTAATTTTTTTCAGAGAAGCGAACCTCAGTCTCAAGAGTTCATGTTGCATTAATATCTCAACGAACTGGCCGATATCTGGTTGATTAAGAAAAGGCTAAGGTCGATGTATCGGTTCCCTGGTACATTGGCTCGCAACTGGACGCATTTGCTTCTCTCTCTAACATCTTGAAACTCGCATGAATCAAGCTTCTTGCGTTTGTAGCGATGAGTATCGTAAACCCACCCCCGGATGGATTTCAATGATTTCGTTGCCACTTCGTTGTCCTCTGCGGTTGCTCCGAGCCTTTGGGTTATCTTCGACTCGTATCATGGAGGCCTCGATCCTTTTGTTATCTCGATTCCTCTAACAGTTAGAGTCTAACGTTACCTGTGCTCAGAAAACAATGAGAAGTCAATAACGGAACGGATCGTGATAAGTCGTGGCATAAAACGGCTTAAAACGAAGGAATACTATAAATGTATATTTTCTTAATTCGTTTAATAATCGCACAGATTTAATTGCGTGAGCGACGTTGACCGCCTATCTAGAATCTCTCAGATGTATAAATTTAATACTATTTCCGGAAATATCCACGGCGGTGATATAATCGCAACCATCACTGGGCGGAAAAAACACGAGTCAACCAGATCAAACGTTGAATTTCTATTGAATATTCTATCTTCATATACGTTCCTAAAAAAAAGACATGTTTCATTTTGTGAAATAATTACAATTAAAGGGGGCAAAGGAACGGTCTGGTTTATGAAAGTGGATGAATTACAGTAATTATTCAACGATACTTAACGATTTTTTAAGACGGAATTAGGGGTGCCATTTTGTGTAAAAACAGACCGTCAGATTCGAGCTTTATGAAATTTTCAAATTTCCTTTGCTTTAAATTTTCTGAATTTCCAAATGTCTGATGCCTCCAGATTTCTCCAACTGTCCATCTACAGCAAATACAGAAATTTAGTTTATGCTTCAAATCGCAATCATAACGATCTTATATCAATGTAAAATGCAAATGTTTCAATACTTACACTACTGGTAATGTTCCTATTTCATCGCGCGCCTTTCCTTTTGAAAATGGAACGACTTGATTTCGACGGTCGAGGTCGATATTGAAGAATGAGATTGACGCGTCACGTTGCTCTGGTTTTCTCCGCTCTGTTTGAACTTGGACAATAAAATAGAAAGACTAATATTTTGAAGATTTTGACAGTATATATATGTATATGTATACATAATTAAATTAAGAAACTATAATACATAACAACGGAATTGTACCGAAGACAATAATTATTCTTAAGAGATATTCTTGTAGTCTGGACGTATAATCAATGCGAATTACAGTTTCAAGTTTCTTAGCATGTATAAGTAATTTCAAGATAAGGCGAGTGTATTAGTATCAAAATAAAGTGAACTTACGCGTAAAGCTCCTAAATTTTTGAGGTACAACTCGCTGCAGCACTCGATCTTCATGTGTATTGATTATGCGTACAAACGACATAATTTTTGATTTTTGAGCACTCGATCGATTTACCCGCCAAATTTGAATTTTTCTTCTGTCAGGTACTTTTTTTCTGTGACAGACAAATTTATAAAGTAGCTACTTTATAATTGTGATATTTTATAATATTTTACAATATTTTATGATATATTGTGATATTTTATTATTAATTACGTTACGATACGGCCAAAGCTTAATCGTAAATTCTTTCTCGATTGTTTACTTGTATTATGTGTGCCAACGATAAGTGCACGAAGATCAAAATCATGTAAAGACAATAAATATAAACGTTTCTTGTAATCGTATAAAAAAACTAAATAGGTTAAAGACAGATATTTACGTGGCTTAATCCATATCTCATATGCTGAGAATTAATCACTTTCAGCTCTTATGATGCGTACAAAAACGAAAACTTCTGAACAATTATATAGTGCAGTTTGATATGGATTGCAATTCTAACGTCTGATTATAAATACTTTATACTTGTATACATCCATTTTAATATGACATGCGCGTATACTACATACATACATTAACACAGAGAAACAAGTATACACGCGCACGTACATATAATCACTTACACACACACCACATATGTACATACATGTATGTATATACATGCATATCGAAGTACACAAATATATATATATACATATAATATACATTTGTTATGCACCTGCAACTATTGCTATTTTCATCGTATTAAGTTTCAAAACGAGAAGAAAAAAATGGATATTTTTAGCCAGGATTCTTTAAACATGGAATCAGTGCCTGATATCCAACACTAGAGACTGGTTAAAATCTCTTTGAAATCTCTGTTATTCAAACGTATACACACACATATAAGATGTATACATGTGAACTGTTACACGAGTAACCTCAGAGTGGTCGGTAAATAGCGGTGCAACCGGAATTCTGCGTAGAAAAATAAATAAAAATGTAGATGATTTTATTCTACATTTTCGATTTGTTTTTTCATGTGGAATTATTCCCTTTCTGGCTGCGTCATCAATTGCCAACTGCTCTGTATATTCTGAATGATGTTAGAAATAGAGGATTTATGTAAACTGAGGTAATTAATTTAAATTAATTTAAAGCATTAAAAGACACACGGATCAAGGTATCAAGCCTTCCTTTTTCAATCTATTACAAATAAATAAGAACCGTGTATTGCGTTTAATCAGAATTATCTATTTGATACTTCGACCCAGGTGTCTTCGAAATCTCAATGAATGATTAGGGAAAATTATATGCTTAAAATTTCCTATTACATAATTGTTCATTTTGCTCCATACTTCTTTTTTATGTTTGAAATATAACTATGACGATATTAGCTATTGCAACTTGAATTATTAATTTATTATACCAACATACCCTAGTGTATCATTAAATTATGAAGTCATTGAATAAAGAAGAAAACAGACTTACGTTCCTTTCAGTCAACTACATAGTATCGAACTATGCAATACCGCGTTTTTTGCCAAACAAAACACTAACGACTTTAAGTTTAAACTCTCAAATTTTCAAATTTAGAAATTCCAAATTTTTCCGTGACGATATAATGTATAGAGATACAATACATGGAAGATACAGTATAACAACATAACGGTTAGGTTATAACTCACGAATTAAATAAATTTGGTGCACTACATGAGTTTATAAAAGTTTAGAGTTCAATACACGCTATGCAACAATTTAAATTCACAAATTTATTAGAAGACCTCCTACGGCATCATCAGGAACTATAATTTGTACGCATTAGATGGCGCCTGCGTTTATTATCAGCAGCGACTACAAATATCGCCAGCACCAGTGGCACGCACTGGTGACCACGATTAATTAAATTAAATTGTTGTTAAAACTTGGTTAGAATGGTGTTTCTTAACGTCGTGCGTAACGCTATCCGACCATTGTATCATGTAAATACTTATCAGTTAGTTAATGTAAATATAACACGACAGTACTGTAGATGGACTAGTCGAAGACCAATTGCAATTGTTAATGAAGATGAACTTTATGAAACTGAGGATACAGCTACTGAAAAACCTATACGTATGCGAAGAAGGAGACACAGGAGAAGGAAATCTTCAGATAAGACTCAAGAATCTTCGGTGAAAACTGAAGAACCTTCAGAAACTAAACAAACAAATATGTTCACAAAGTTGAGAGAAAATGAAAAAATCATAATGTAAGATCTTCACTTGTACATTTTAATATTTAATAAGATTGACATGTTATACAGCAAGTTGGAAAGAACCACTTTCTAATTTTCTTTTTTATTTTAGAAATTTAATGAGCCAAATAAAAACTCGAAAAAGGAGAGAGAAAAACAATGAAGTGGTATTAGAAGGACATAGATTAATTAAAGATGCTCTCAAAGCTGGTTTGGTCCCAAAAGCGGTATTTTTTAATGATTTCTCTGAAGTAAAATCATTAAATCTTCCTGATGAAGTCAAATTATATAAAGTTCCGTATAAATCACTTCAACTATGGTCTGCCTTAACTACTAGCCCTGGATTATTAGGTAATAAACATAATTTTAATATTTTAAATATTAATATCTCATTATTGAAACTTTTCTTATATAGGAATTTTCGATACTCCTGATGTGAGTAATAATCCTTCTGATAACCATACAATACCACTTACTATTATTTGTGACAACATAAGGGAACCAGGAAATTTAGGATCCATCATGAGAGCTGCTGTAGGTGTAGGTTGCGAAAAATTAATATTATTGAAAGGTATGTAAATCTTAAGTTTAAACAATTGTATGAATATGTTCAGTAAATGATCCATATCCTTCAGATAAATGGACTATATTTTAATATGAAATTGAATTTCTTTTATATAGGTTGTGTAGATTTGTGGGATCCAAAAGTTCTTAGAAGTGCAGCTGGATCTCATTTCCGTTTACCTATTCATGCATTTCCAAAATGGGATGAGGTTCCATCATTAATTAGTGAAGATTCCAATATAATTGTGGCAGATAGCAACTTTGGCGATGAATATGTATCTCACTACACACCTAATATGCTTGAATCAAGTGCATGTGTGTTTGACATTGATCCAGATATTTTGAAAAACAAATTAGCTGTCGATGGAGAAAAAAATGAAGAATCAAAATTAATAATACCAACAAATAAAAAAATGATGAAACAGTTCATGTTAAACCTACCTATTGTACCATACTATTCTTTAGATTATACAAAAAAAGAAACTGTCATCATTTTAAGTGGAGAAACTGAAGGTTTGCATATTGATTCGTGCAAATTTTTAAGTGAAAAAAAGGGTATTCGCGTCAATATACCTCTTATGAAAGGAGTCGATAGTTTAAATGCAGGAGTTGCACTTGGTATTGTTACTTTTGAAATTAAGAGACAATTTCTAAAAAAACAAAGTGAACTTTAATAAATACTTTTTAATATACAAGAATTTTTTAATAAACAATTCCCTTCTGTTTATGTTTCTTAATAATATTTTCATTTACTAGAAATAGAAGCTTACCTTATTTAAATTTTAAGTAGAAAATAAATTCATCTCGACATTTAATTCAATTAATACATATTTCATTGCCTTAGTTTCCATTGTTAACATTAACAGGTAGAGCACTAGCTGGTCGGACTAAAAAGTTAAAACAAAGAACATGTATAATTAATTCTTTTTTTAATTCGTTTACGAAAGATCTCTTACTTGCACAACTTTGAGGTTGAAATTTGATATCATCTATCGCAAAACCTCCATTACTGGCACTTCCTCTTAAAATTAATCGGTAAGGTACACGAGCGTCTATGGTAACTTGTGCAGCAGTCCATACAGGTCGTGGATTATTAAATCCTTTCGCTGTTAATGACCATAACTAAAACACCAAATTTTTAATTGTCTATAAAATATTAAATTCAATGTAATTATTTGTCTCTAATCTTACAGGTTGTTGTCCATTATTATTTTCATCATTTTCTTCGTTCAATTCTTCATCTGCATTCATTTTAATAATTTGCAAAGTCGTCGACTCCTCGACTCCAAAGGCAGCGAACCAAAAAGTGAAGCAAATGGATTCTTCATCGGGTGATGTTTGTATTACAGGTGAACGTAATTGTACATCCGTCGACTGCTTGTTCGTGGTAAAAATATCGAAAAAAACAAAGTCTCCAGTTGCTCCAAAAGTTTTGTCTAGTAACTGAGCTGGACGGTGAGCAAGAAATGCTCGTTGCCAAGTAACAGTGCGCTCATTTTCAGAGGATGTAATGTTTTCCCAACCACATAATCCTTTCTCGAAACTGCAATCTTCCGCTCTCACAGATGCACTAAGTGGTTTCACTAAACATTATTATTAATATCACCATTAGTTTATATAAAGTTTATTAACAGTAGCATTTAAAAAAAATATGTCAAAGGTTACCAGAACAGTTGCCGGTATAGAAAGAAATATCATCTATGCCAATACTGCCGCTAGCACGATTAGGACCCCAAGTACCTTCAAAAACTACGTTAAAGTCTTTCCTCTCATTTAAACTGATTTGTCCATAACTCCAAGTAGGGCCCTGATTATTGTACAGCTGCCAGATTGGTCTACTTTCCATGGAAGATTCCCCAGTTGTTTGTATGGATAAACGAAGCACACCTTTGAATTTATAAAACTATTATAGGTAAATTAAAATAGACAAAAGGATCTGTAAAATACGAACCTAAACTTGGCCCAGTAGAGTCGATGAAAGACTCAAACATATAGTACCAGAAAGTAATACAAAGGGGTTCATCAGTGCCTTTCATTTCTCGACTGACCAACTGAGCTGTTCCACCTCCGGAGGATCGTGATCCTCCTCTTGGTCGACCAAGATTAAGAAAATATTCATTTCTTCGATTAATCGTGTATCCATTGCTGTACGGTTTTCGTTGATTTCTTAGACTCAGTGCTTGCGTGGATATCCTCTCCCATTCAACTCGATCAGGATCTCGAGAATTGATCCAGTCACACTCGTCCACCTCAAAGGTGCAATCTCGTGGAGTAGGTGCAGCAACCTGAGGTGCAACTGTAAACGTATACAATCAAGCAAACACTCTCAAGCTAACATTATCTTTCCTTCTCAAATTTTTACCTGGACAAGAGCCTTGTGTGAAGGAGATATCATCAATGGCAATGTCTCCCATTCCAGTATTTCCTACAGTTGCTTCAAACACAAGCTGAAAATCGTCGAGAGAGCCGATTGTAATTTGAGCAACGAACCACGTGTTCCCAGAATTTCCATTCAAACTCCAAATTTCTCGTAGTGGCGTATCAGAACTACGGAAATGACGTAGAAAAAGTTTGAGAGTACCGATGCCAGAGCCGAACATGTGGAACCAGAAATGCATACACATAGGTGTGTCGGCACTTGGTGCTGGAAAACTCGTGCTAATAAGCCTAGCTCTATCACCGGGTCTACGAGGGAACGAGGAATCTATATATGCGTATCCTCCAGACAGTAATCGATCTGTTGAACTATCCATTGCTGGACCTGTTGTAGGATTCCCACTTCCTCGACTCTGCAAGATTCATTTAGAGATTCATCAAGATTCAGGAAAAATTGATACGTGTTTGTATAACAATAGAAGGTTTGATGCTTCAGTTACAATTGTCCAGTCGAAGTCATCGTCTGCATCGTTGGCCCAATCGCAAAAGCCGCCAGCGAAATTGCAAAAACCTACGCAGGAAGTGCCAGGTTGTAAATCTATGTCATCCACAGCTATATACCCCCTGTATAATCGCGCTGGGTCAGTGGGATCCACGGGAATTCCCTCGATGATTAACTAGCGACAAATATATTATTTCAATACATTTGTAACGTTGACTAGAAGTTAACTAAAATTACTCGATTACCGAATGTACTTCAGGGAAGGTGTATAGTATTTGTGTCTGTTGCCAAACTCCAAGATTGTAATACTGGGCATTCCATATGACACGTTCGTCGAAGACGTCGATCGGTTTGCAAGATGGTATCGTTACGTTCTCAGGTGTGATTTCTTCAGTTTGTTCCTTTTTGATAGAATATTGGTCCACGCCAATATGTAGTAAAACTCGAAGACCGGCACTGCTGAGACCATCCATGGAATACTTGAACATGATGCAAGTTCCAACCACACCTGTGCTTCCTAACTGAGGACTGTGTAATAAACTTCCTAGAGTTTTCGTTTTACTTTCCCTTAGTGGCAATTGTGATGTTTCCAGAAAGGCATACCTAATTCAAGTTATTCAGAAGTTATTACCAATGAACTTATTTTACTTGATCAGATGAACGTACCCTCCTTCCATTGTTCCAGTTGTATAATCACTTGAAGGACCACCCATCCAGTTAGTACCCATGCCAGTACCAGCTATCCAGTCTAACACACCATCTCCATTCTGCCATTCGCAAAACGTTTGTGCCGGGAATGATCCAAAATCGCAAAAGACTTCATCTACTGAGGCTGTAGGTGGTGGTGCAGTAACGGGTGGATACCTAATAGTAGAAATATATTTTTATTTCAAGTCTTAACGCTTTAACTTATCAGTTAAAAAGTACCTTTGTGTCGACGAGTTTCTTTGCGCTGACAAGGATGGAAACGGATTTCTTGGTAACGACACTTCCGTGGTAGAAGGAACAGCAGCTCGAGTGTAGAAGATATCCGGTCTGATAGGCCAATTTCGGGGGTCGATGCGTTCAACTTCGTCCAAGGGTTCTCGGTCACGATCGATGGAATTGAACGGTATTTGCGTTGAATTGAATGTATCACTGTTGTCTAGCACGTCCTTAACTTCGTCGTTTTCGTTACTCTTAGACCAGTTGTGATTAATACTTTCGTTATGTGTACCCACTAGATCTATTTGCTCTCCAAGTATAGGATACACAGGGTACCACGAGGTACTGTGCGATGACGAATATAAGCAGCAACAGATGAACAAGATTAGCCACATAGTTACAGTAGAAACTTTATGTAATACTCTCGTAAACAGAATTTACAGAGTCCTTAATCTGATGATATTTCACAGAGATTATCACAACTATTTATCATAGTAATTCGATAGGATATTTAAAATCACATAGATGCAACTTTACAGAAAGAACTTCATTCTCAGATGTTCGTTACGCGATTATTGGAAGTTTAATACAGACGGAAGGTTGATATACTTCTAACTAAATGCGAATCAAACGGTTTTCAAGAGGTATGCACGTGATGAAATAAAACGAACATTCCGCAGTTCCGGTCTTCGCTTCCTGTCGTTACGCTTTTGATCCTAGTATGCGCATAGTTGTTGAGTTCGATAACCGTTCATTGGACAATTCCATACAAGTAACAATAAACAGCTGCGTACAATATAGTAATTATATCAACAGTTCAGTTTTGTTTTAAACAGAATGAAAATAATCGAACCGTAGCATTGTCTATTCAAATATCGAGCCGAATTGTTTGCGGTCTTAAAAATTTTAGAAACATTTCCGGACCAAAATTGCTACTATTTTGTTTCGCAGTGTTCGGTATTCGACCGAGATTCAAATATATTCGAACGATGTAAGGTATCAGGTAAGGACATAGGACCAATTGGTCCGTTTTTGGGCGATAACGCGGCTGTTTTCTCAACATTTTTGATATTATATTCACGATAGATTCTGATGCTCCTCTGTGAAGGGGTTGCGGATCTGCGGTGCATATCATTTTTGTGATCTCTTCCAGAGTCTGAAAATATTAAAAAAAATTAGTAATTGCATTTAATAGGTTTTACTTTCCTGATTTCAATATTAAAAATTTACCGTGGCAGGGAACGGATGTCTTTTGGTGACCATTTCGTAAAGAATAATACCCATACTCCATATGTCACATTTGAAATCATAGGATTGTCCGTTTAACATCTCTGGGGCCATGTAATTAAATGATCCAGCGCGGCACACGGTCAATGGATTGTGTAACCTATAACGCATATTATTTCAGTACGTAATTTTATATTAAATTTATTTAATTATACTCTTTAAAATTCTTTGACACTCCAAAGTCTCCAATCTTGACGACATCGCCGCGACTTCCGGTCAACATTATGTTCTCTGGCTTTAAATCACGGTGAAGAATTTTTTTAAAATGAATATGATGAACTCCGAGAACGATTTGCGAAAATAGGTACAATGCATCCTGTAAAAATGTATGATGTTATCAAAATATTCGCAATTTCTCAATCGACATAATTTACGACTACGCTATATTTTGGCGGGAAATGTATTAATGGGTTAATTATTGAACAACCGATATAATTTTTATACTTGAAAAGGTAAGTGTTTGAACTCACTTGTTCTTTAAGAGGTGAATGATATTTTTCTAATAAATCCTTTAAGGTGCATCGCGTCGCGTACTCCATCAAAATGTAACTGTGATTGTTTTCTATCCAAGCACCATAATAAGCTACTATATTTGGATGCCTTAATCTATATAAGCATTGTACCTCTTCCAATATATTCTATACACAAAAGAACATTATCTTCAATAACTGCATATGATAATTTATTAAACGAGTTATTAAATTGCTTAAGTGATAACTTTTTATTTGCAGAACAGTAAAGGGCACCACAAGATCACAATATCGTAACCGTTAAATTCCAGGTAGGTAAAACAGTTTCATGAAATCGCATATTTAGTATACATACGTATATAGACAATGAATATTAATATCCAACTGTGTAATTACTTAGTTCTATCGGATTTTCTTACCTTGAAAGGTAAAGCATTTGCAGCATTTAAAATTTGTTCCTTTATTACGAACGGTTTCAAGTCTTTCTTTCGTCGTACTAGGTAAACGGATCTACGAAAAATAGGCAATAAGAAAATGGAGAAATGAAGATCAATTTCAATACATACCCAAAAGTACCTTGACCTAATAATGTTTCGAATGAATAGTCATTTATATGCATTGACATTTTCGTATAAAATGTTGAACTCAAAGTACGTTGTTCTCACTAACAAGTACAATTATCGACTACCGACAAATAATCGATTACGGTACATCAACACAATTTGATTTTGAACGTTACATTCTCCTTGTGTATAATAACAATATTCCACTATACTAAGTTATTCTATAATATATTAATAATTGAAAAAGAATAAAAGAATAATATCTAATTAAATAAATAGATATTATGACTATGAGCATTTTTAGGGATATGATGTGCATGAATTTGGGGATTTATTATTCATAAAAAGTGTTTACAAAAACATTTTCGTTCACAATTTATAAAGAATTATTTTAATACTAACTAATATTTCTAAAATTACTATCTTATCCAATAATCTATACGTACATTCACTTAACTTTACATTCCAACGCGTGAACTAACAGTTTAATAAAAATACGTACACAAAGGAAGGAAAAGTCCAAAGTTTAAATTACATTGTAGTAGTTTTATTTGTCTTTTCTTACAAATAACGCAATAAAGATTTTTCTAAAGCGTTTAAGATGTATCATATCGTACCACGAAAAAGGTATAATTACGTAGTTGAGCCGATTTGTTTACATGGTTTGCGTAAACACCGGCAGTAAACATGGCATCCAAAAACACGCAAGAAATTTAGTATAGAACAATGACTGAAAGAAGAACGTTCTCTTGTAACTTTGAAATTGATCTTACAAAACATTTCGACACTGACAAGGTGAAACACTGCAGACAAAAATAATATGGCTACTCTAGTGTTCGAAAAAGTGCACGTAACAGCGATGTATTCATAGTTTTCGCTACGATATAGCGAAATAAATGAAACCCCTATCAAATCGAACGTAGTAAAAGACAAAGATCCCAGGATCGCATGCTACATTCTGCTTTAGGGCTTTGTTTCAATATATTGCACAAAAGAGTTGCGGATAACTGCGCTCGCAAGGGGAATATAAAATTTCTTTGCTTTTAAATAATTTCATTTTCAAATTACCGAATTTCAATGTTCTTAAATTTCGGCACTCGTACGTGCACATCGACTTCCGACAAGTTTTACAGGCTCGCTATTTCGTAGCGGAAACTACACTACTGTAAAGTATTCGTGTATACATCGAGAATTCCAAAAAAGAATCGAACGATGATTTAATGTTCACTGAACATTTACTTCCATGGAAAAAAGCAAACCACCTTATACCCTATATAATGCAGAATTAGATGATACTGCACTATGTACAGAGTATCCCATAAGATGCACCGTATCTATCAAACCAAAAACTTTTAACTAAAAATAAAACAATTCTCGATGCTTTTACCTGATCATTTCTTATTACTATTGGCGGACGTCAGATGCATCCTTAATAAACTTAAACGACTTCATATATTATCTACTATCCCGAACAAAAAACATTACTCATATCTACGGTTTCACGTTGTTATAAAACATGACTCTGTGAATGACTTTATGATGACGCGTTCATAAAATGACATTTCCTCTGGACATTTATACTAAACTTTAAGTCTAATTTTATATATGGAATACTAATAAAAGTCGATGTGATACGATTTGCTACTAGTAATTAAGTTTATTAGGCATGCATTCAACAAAATTATCAATGGCTTTCAGCGATGATTAATGATCATGTGATAACACTAAGAATTGCTTCATTTTTGATTTAGAACTATCTTATTTTTCGGATATATCACATCCTATGAAAAACACTGCATACAAATGCATATACTTTTACTTCATTATTCCTCTGAACTTTATCGTTAAAGATCTTAAAAATTAACTGTTACTGGAATCTAGTATATTGTTAGCATCGTTCCCGGAAGAGGCAGAATTCCGCGATTGTTTCAGGCTATCCAAGTATTCCTGCTGCGACGTCGCCAAAACTTGTGAAAGTATGTCACTGTCCTCCCAATCCGTCAAACCTGTCAATATTTATTTTATAAATGTATCTCTTTGGAAATAATTATATTTTACAAATATCACGAATATATGTATTGCTGTAGTCTTACCAAATACTTCGGGAGGAAGACGATTAAACAACGAAATATCTGGTGATGCGTGGGCTTCTTCTTTACTGCTCCCAGGCATAGGCTCTTGAGAAATTTTAGATTCAAAATCGGAGGTAAGGTGAGATATGGTGGCTCCTTGGGTTGACTGATGTTGTGGCGATCTTTTACTGTATCTTACCGAATCGTTCATCTGAAATTAAAACATATAAATAAACTTTTCGTATTGCTCGATCAACGTGTAACCAGTGTAAAACGGACCTTCGGTGAATTTCGTAAATTATCTTGGCTAGTTTGGGTCGTGGTCGGAGAAGAAGTATGAGTACGTTGCTGTCCACGACCACCATGAGGATGAAAATGAGCGTGACTGTGTTGTGCGCTGGTCACCGTACTTGTACTGCTACTACTAGCTGATCGCTTTATTCGAAAATGATACGGCAGTATTTTAGCATTACTAATACGATGCAACTAAAAATCATACAGCACTTACCGCTTTTCGCATCTCGTTATCTCTTAACCATTGCAAATAACTTTCCCGGGCAACTTGTTCTTCTATGGCTTCGTTCGTTGCTTCCCAATCTGTTGCCTTTATTTTGTCTTCCAACATCGTCTGTGAACAACAAAAAATTGTCTCGTTAAATAAAGTAATTAAACAAAGCAAACCAATGTAACTTTAATTTTCCCACCTGTTCGATATGTAGTTCTTCGCTTTGACGAACTGCATCTGATATCAGTTGTCGATCCGCAGCACCAGGATTATATGATGGTAGGCCGAGTCCAACACCAATTGTAGCTTTATATGGGTCTACTATGCTATTATAATGACTACCCCGTTGATAAGACAATCGAATCGGTTCATTATCACTTTCAACCATTGTATGGAAGATATTGATTGGTTCTACACATAATTATAAATAACGATCATAATCATTTTGGTCGTTGAAAATTTGTTATAAACGACAAAATTAAGCAAGAATATATTGGTACACACCAGTGCTGTAGCAATATAATTGAATGCTACGATTATACATTTCAGACATTGCTTGCATTTCTATGTGGTTCCCATGTACATATTCTTGTCGTTTTCTATCTACATATGTGCTAAAATCTTCCGCTACGAAATGAGAAAAAAATTCTTGATTGGAAGCCTAGAAAAACATATTGTACAATTAATAATCTTATTTTTAACACATTGTAATATTAGCCTTTTGTTAACAACTCACAATATAATCCATGCAATGCTTTCTTACTACACCGTGCATTTCTTGGTCACCATAAACTTGATCTGCAACAGCTCTGAACAGACATGCTCCATCTTCGCCCATTTTTTTGACAATAAATCCCATTTTTCGCATTCGTTTTTCAAACCACCTGTCCCGCTAAAGCGAAAGATATCGCATGTTTCATTACTAAACATTTAAATAATGAAGTATTTAAATGTAAAATATCACCAACCTCTTGCCATTCAGCCAAGGTAAGATTATTTCCAGTTCTGCCAGTATATTCATCCCCACTATTATAACCATTAGCTAATTCATGTTCTAAATTTGCAGCAGCTCCAACAATAGCCATTCGATTATTAGCTATTATACCAGCATCTGTAGCTAAATAAATTTACTACTTAGTTCATTTTTAAATATTTATAAAACATCCTACCAGAACTATAATCAATTTTTTTATTCAAACATTTATTTAATTTAATAGAAAATATTTTATGGATATAAAACCTTGTAAGCCACTGCATGATGCGGCTGGAGGTGTAGCTTGTCTTTCTCGTTCTCTTTCCCTCTCTCTGTCTCTTTCCCGACCTCTGTCTCTTTCTCTTTCACGTTTAGAACGTGAATTCCTTCCAATACAACTACTTAAAAACAAAAATTTTATTTACAGTATATTAAACATACATATGATGATATAAAATAATATGTAAATTGGTAAAACATATTTGGATACTTGGAATCTCATGTGTGCTTGTACAAATCATAAAATTGTATGTACAGTCTTATGTCAATTTATCAGTAATCACATATTTAGTGGGAACTTCATACCTATGGGGGCTTGCACGCTGTCTATGACGTTTGCCATGACTTGGACCACTTGCTTCTTCAAAATGTTTATCTTCACGACGATCAACGCTCGTCTTCAATATAAGAACATTTGAAATGTACTAATGCATAACAATATGTACTTATTAACTATAATATTAGGTACAAAAATAAATTCCTTCCAAATTTGTAATAAATTCAAAGTTTTCTTGAAGAGAATTAAAAAGTTGATCATCAAAATATCCTCCATTACAATAGATGACCTTTTACCAAGCTTTTGGTAGTTTGTAAACACTACTAGATTATAAACTGAAAAGTCTTGAATCAATGAATTGACATATCGTAAACTTATGCAGTATACTCCTGATAACATTCTGTTTGCTAATTTTCTGCAGAGAATTCATCAATACTATTTACATATTTCTATCACATTGCTTGTCACATGTATGATCTATTCAAACATCCAGATGTTTTAACATACCTCGTGTAGCACGAGACAATTGGACTGAGCAATTGAAGTAAGTCTCTTGTCCCTGTGTCATTCTGCTAATTATATTTCCAGTTCCGCATTATATATTAGCCTTTGTAGTGGAGGCACTTGTTAGCTTCTGGTTTTCCAAAAATTCCCTCTCCTATTGCCCCGAGCACAAAAAGTTATCAAGAGTGTACTGTACATCAACATTACAAAACCTCAAAAGAACATGAAAATATTTTGAATTTGTACGGCTATTCTGATCTTTCAAAGTCAGTTGGAAAGAATTTATTTAAACACCTAATAAATTATACATATCAAATCGTGATTTACTTGTTCTTTTTTTGATCAATTTTTTTCAATCAAAAAAAAATGAAAGGAAAAGAAGATAAGGAAAAAGAAAGAATTTGTTACCTCATATGAGTTTCCAGTAAGAACAATAGAACCAGATCCGTGATCGGTTTGAACCCCATGAAGATCGACCGCGAAACCGTTCGCTGCACGTACCTGTCACGGTTCGCAAAAGGTCGTTTTAAGGTTTGCTCTTGCAACTACTACACGAGTAGTATGGCTGCAATGAGGAGATATTCATTCACCTGATACGGGCTATTAGGTAGTGTGATGGATCCAGAGCTATGCTCATTTTGCACTCCATGAACATCGACTTCGGAAGTGCTGCCTCCTTCTCGCCTATCTTTTGAGGCGTTCGTCTTCTTCTTCGACAGAATGGTCATCTTGCGTAATCGATCGTCGGTGGTCGTCAGACGCGACTCTCGTTTAACAAGAATTCAAAGAAAAATTTTGCAGGCTCACGCTCACTGCGCCTTCCGTAACTTTCTTCCTCCACCAACTGCTATCCACTTATTTATTATTATTCTCAATGATATCTACAAAGTACACTACAAAGTATGTGGATCCGAATAAAATCGTGGGCACTGTATCGGCGATAAACTCTCCAAAATTTGAATCAGGGTAACATTACACCTCCTAAGAAGCACGACATGATACCATTAATAACCAACTACCGCATTAATTCTTGTTATTTCGAATGTTTTGTCAGACAGCCATGACTACACTTGCACACACTACCAGGCGACTTGTTACCAATCTGTCTTTTAATATTTTCCCCAGAGTATTATTCGTTTAGCAAGAGATCATACCCATCATTCAACGAGTTTTTGTTCATTCTGCGCATGTTGGTTTCAATTGGTTCCCGTATAATTTGTAACTAAGGACAATGCACATGCGCTTTGATACGCTTTTTCACAGAATGTATATACCCAGTGATCTCTTATTTTGTATACATCCTATATTCTACATCACCTTTTCTCTTTATTCGCATATTTTTGTCCATCAGGTATATTACTGAAAGGGTGGAAAACGTATGGTAGTAGGGGCAGTACTTAGTAGTGGAATGCTTACTGAAGTTTGCCGTGATGCGCAAAGTGAATATGATCTCTCGTGTAACAAATAGATTGTTAAAGTCCCTACATCGAATATTTATCAGTTTAGAAAAAAGCATCAACTATGCACTTGAAATATTTTTTATAGAAGTTTGATAAATGTTACTTACTTTAGCTGAAAAAAAAATTTGTAATGAACCTTGTTCAGAGATACATAAATTTAGTGAATTTTCTTCAATTTATAGTCCGTTCAACGAGAGAACATACTTTTCGATCGGACAGTTTTCATTCGTTTTGCGCATGTACGTTTTGATTAGTTCGAGCATACTTGGTAACCATGAGCAACGCAACAGCACATTTAAGATGTTCATGATACGGAGCGTATATACCTAGCAATCTTTTATTTTACATACTTTCTATATCATACATTGGTCTTTCTTATTTATGTACTTTTGTTCACCATGTACATGACTGACTGAGTCAAAAGTGTATCATAGCAGGACAACTATAGATGGAAACGAGCCTACTGAAGTTAGTTAAATTGCGCGAAACGAGTATGTTCCATTGCTGAACGTATTATACAATTTTTAACATGTATGAAAATTTTATAAGAACGGTATGAAAAGAAAACTCTCTTACAATACTTTTAGAAGAATGAAAATCTATTAAAATCTTTTTATTATGAAACATACTTGTCGCTATTAAGTCATTAATATTAAGAACATTATAATTACAACATATATTATATGTGTCATAAGGTTATAGAACACATGAAGTAACATATGGATAAATTAGACAATAAATGATAAGATATGTATGTATGCATGTATTTGTAACTATGATATCATTTATGTAGTCGGTTATTTATGATAATCATTATTAGATCTATAATGAATGGTTGCATTTTCAGTGTAACATTTCTTAATGACTGAGATATACTTTAAAGAAAAATATAACCTCTAGTCTTTGTTTACAGAGTGGTATGTCAGTGTTTATAAAATTATAAATCTTTGTCTCGTTTATATCTACGTAGAATGAAATATATATTTGTTATTTAGATGGTAAGAAATATTGCAAAAATTTGACATATTTAAATGATAAATGTACTTTTTTCAGGCACCAAACATTGTTTGTTTATATTGAAATAGTTCATTGAACTATCATTTGTTTGAAACTAAGCATGGTAAATGAGTGCCTTAAAAGATCAAGATCCCGATTACGGGCCATCTGTTGCAAATAATGAAAAGCATCAACGAATTTATGAAGAAAATGGTAATCAAATATTTCATTTTACACTAAAATTTCTATAGAATCACAGAAGTATAAGAAATGAAATATATAAAACAAAATTGACTTATGTCCTGTTGTTTTATTTTTAGCACGTAGTAGTACTGCAAGAAAGATAACAACTATAATCGAAAGAGAATTTTCACAAGAAATTGACATAAAAGAGAAAGAAGTTTTAGAAATTCAAGAAAGATTACAGAGAGCATCAAAAGTTCTTCATCTTTTGCGTTATGTGATTGTTACAGATTTTTATAATCGCAAACAGTGTCAGAATTCACAAAATGGAGAAGCAAAACAAACTCAGATTCATCCTGCAATAAAACAATTAATTGGTAAATCACCAAAATCATCCTATGGTTCAGTTGTACCTGCATCAACTGCAACATCAAATAATACAACTTGTTATGGAACATTACAATCATTTTCAACATCTCCTACTGACTGTATAATAAAGAAAGAAAAATCAACAGAAGAAACAAATGAACATTGCCGTGTAGAGAAGAGAAATAATGAAACAAATGAAGAATCACGACCAAAAAAAATCCCTCGATATATTCCTCCTAAGAGTGGAATTCCAGAATCTGAGTATCCTTCAAGAGGGATTAGACATAAAGTCAGAAAACGCATAATTATTGGTAATATTTCAAAATGGATTCCTCCAGAATGGAGAGAAGATGCAGCTAGTCATAAATGGACAATGTACGTTCGCGGAAATAAAGAAAATCCGGATATTGATGACTTTGTTAGCAAAGTCAGATTCTTTTTGCACCCTAGCTACAGACCTAATGATGTCGTAGAAGTTACATCAGTGCCATTTTGCCTTTCAAGGCGAGGATGGGGTGAATTTCCATTAAGGGTGCAGTTACATTTTAAAAGTGTACTCAATAAACCAATGGATATAATTCATTATTTGAAATTGGATCGTACTTATACCGGTCTGCAAACTTTAGGGGCTGAAACTTTAGTTGACATTTGGATCTATGTAGATCCTCGAAATTCCAAACGAAACGTTGGTAAAACGGAACAAGATATTCTTGAAAATGAAAATAATTGTAGAGTGAAATTAGAAAATGATGAAAGATTGCAATTTGATAGCCAACAAGAATGTGATTTTCTAAATAGTACTATAAATGAGTCAATAAGTAAAGACTCTGGTGTTGTCATAAAACAAGAGATTTCAAGTGACTTCAACATTAATGAAAATTCAATAGATACTAAACAGATGCAGCTGTACGTAGATCTTGATCATGATTATTGTGGATCAAAATATTTAAATTATTCTGAAGGAAATTTAACTATTAATCATTCATTAACAACATCATTAAATAACGTTTCGTCAGAAAATCCCCACCTGGAAGAAAATAAAGAAAAAACGACCGAAAACACTAACTTAACTGATTCTTCAATAAACGCGGACTTGTCTAAATTGAAAGAGAAAGAAGAAACAATTAATGTAGGAAATTCTTCAATAGTAAATGAATCTAATCGAAACAGACAAAAAGCGCTTCCACTAGGTTGTTCTAAACTTCAATCGAATCTTCGTCCTTTACAAATTTCCATTCCACCATTATTCGAACCATCTGGAAGTAAACATGTCCTAGTTTTAGAAAATAATCAAACAATTCCTGTAGATATTGCAGTTCCACGCACAAGTGATTACAATAACGATCAAACTAGATCAAAGGCGAGTTTCACCGCTTCCCGCGGTATAAGTTTATTAAAAAAGCCTTTAGATTCAGAAACGATAATCCAAGTACGAAATCCTAATGGAACAAACGTACAACAAGGATTAAAAGTTCAATTGTCCAAAAGTATGTTTCTGAATGTAAATTCTAATATACCAGTATTAAAAATAGCTGAACGAAGAAATTCGTTTAATGTTGAAAAGGAATCAACTTCTGAACAAACAACGAAAATAAACCAGCAAGAGTTAAAGGAATATAAATTATCTCGTCGGAAGATTACCTTGGGCAAAGATAAGCATAAACTTCAAAGTAGAAAGGAATTTTATGACGATGTTCTTCAATCAATAGAGACTGCAAAAATTGCTGATATTCAAGGACTGTTACGGTTCATTATTAGAAGAATGCCAATGATAACTCAAGATGCTATGGACTCTGATTATAGGCGGCTTCATCCTTATGCTTGCGTAAGCGAGGAGGAATTTTTTGGATACAACCTCGCAAAACAAAATGCTTGTGAATGGAGTCGAGCAAAAATAATAAAAAGTTTCATTAAAAAAAAATCGTTTCCTGAAGAAAAGTTATGGAGTATAAAAGAAATAATGATTTGGTCACGGTTACATGGTTATACACCTCTTTGTTCAGATTTTACAATGCAATTTCTAAAACAACAAAAAAATCTACCTGATTCTACAATTGTTAAAAACATGTCTACGTGTACTGAACCTGACACCTTTTGTAAGTGGCTCCAAACTTATCCAGGTCGATTGAATGATTCTTCGTTCGACTCCACTTTACAACAAGTTAATGGAATTAGTACTGAGGTAGATGTTGTAAATATTGACAATGCACTAGAAAGTATCAAAAGCCAAGACAAAGAAAGCAAAGAACTTCCTGATAAAAAAATTACAGCATTAAATCTTGAAACAAAATTTGTACCTCTTTATAATTTCATACATGAAACTGCTAGAGAAATTGGCATTGAACTTGTTTCTGAAGAGATTGTGCCAAATGTGGTATACTGTGCAACTGGTCGAATGATAATGCGAGTGAGTATGATACTCATTTACTTGTTGATAATATTATGTGATGTATTTTATTATATACTAAATTCTCTCTTCTTTTAATTTGCTTTAGGCTGTTGAATGTCTCGTGGAAGATCTAGTCAGAATGTCATTGGCAAAAGCTTGGGAAAGATGTAGCGATGACGGGTAAATATTTAATTTAAGTAGATTATTTTATATAAAATTCATAATTATTTGTTAAACGTCAGTGGATACATTATTACCACGAAATCGTGATAGTCATCTTTTTATTTTGTTTATAGACATCCGAAGGTGATTGTTTTGGACGATGTACGTGGAGCTCTCTTAAACCGTGAAGAATTCGATATTTTTACGAATGAAGGATTAGGTTCCAAGTATAGATTGTCGGTCATGGATTAATTCACAAAAGCATATAAAACGTAAGAAAGTAATACTACCATACATAGCAATCAAGCGATATAAATCTGTTGCGATCAACGTGCTCCGATGTAGTTCTGGAAACGGAAGCCTCACAAATGTACAAATTTATAAATTTGAATAAAGCATACGAAATTTTGTACGAATAGGTATTTAAGAATATTTCAATTTTGATCTTTTGACCCGTTTTCTGCCGTTTCGATATATAATTATTTAAATTCGTCTTTATAAGCTTCGTCTTTCATATATAATAAATTGATACTACATTTAAAAGCAGTTCAGAAAAGGGGTCAAATATTGCATAAGAGATATGATTCAAACATGACTTTTTATAAAAATATTGTCACTGTTTTTAGCAAATCGTTTAGCGCATAATAACATACTCGTTTTCCGGTTGAATTTCTTGTGTTTGTAGATTGTGCAAAGTGATATCTTTTAATCGAGGTGACATGGGAACATAATTGGAGTTATCTATCATTCTTTGTGGCGTTAAAGGATTTCTTTGATTCGGCGCAACGTAATCGTTTTCCTGTTGAGCTGCTTGCATTTGTAGATTGTGTAGAGAGATATCTTTTAATCGAGGAGACATAGGAACATAATTGGAGTTATCCAGTATCTTCTGTATCGCAGCACTTCTTCCGCTTTGTATAAAGTTTCGAGCTGGTAGCATAGTTCTAAAGTTTGATGGAAACATTCGGGCATCTTGCAACCTTAAAAAATAATATGTTGATGAAATAATAATATTTTTGTTTAGTATACATAATGATAATGAAAATTAAATAGATACTAACCTGTTGATACTTATAGACTCTGAAGCAGCTCTTTGTCTTGGAGGTAAGGGTGGTGGTTCTTGTGGATGATGAGTGGAGAACAATTGATGCATATGGGAACTTGGAGAAGCTGTTCCACTACTGCTTCGTTCATCTGCTATTTCCTCATAAATCCCAGAGGCCATAGAAATGTCAGAAACCCTTTTATTCTGAGAGCAGCTACCTGGATCACCAAAACTTGCTCCAAAATTTGAAGTACTAGGTGGTTCAGGTTGATAGACATCTTCTGCTGCTAAGTTAGGTATTTTACAGCGTATTTCTTCGTATCTATCGTTATTTTCCCTTCTTCTGTTCAACGTTTTCACGTCTGGTTTTTCACTAAATATCAGATAATTTTGTAGCGATTCGTTGCGTGCTAATGACCTGAGATCGCCCTCGCTTAAACTAAAAGGTCGTCGGTTCATATGTCTATTTCGCGGTCCACGACCTTGAGTTACCAAATCTTGCAACAATGTTGTAGCTTCTATACAAAATATATGAAGCTCTCCAATTCCGCCACGAAACTCTTTAGTTGTATGAATTACACATATGCATTTAACATCTTCTGGTCGACCAGCTGTGCTTAAATGAACTTGGCCAAATTCTTTCCATTCAAAACTTTGTATTGTTTCACCTGAATAAATGTCTTTTATAATCACTCCTAATGTATTAGTTACTAGGTCACCATATAGTCCTAAAATATGGTTTCAAATTAGATTTCTAAAACTTACAAACTGTGCAGACAATTAACAACTCATATACCTGTGAGGCCCGATGATTTGGAATGCGTGTTATCAACCATAGATATACTATAAAATTCTGAATCAAATTTATACCTTCTGGGTTTTAAGAGCTGCCTAATATTTGCCATCCATCGTTGTGTTTCTGTTTCTGAATTACCAGCTAAATAGAGCAATGGTTTTCTTTCTTTGGTAGGAAATATACCAAAGGCAAATTGTTTGGATCTAGATTGGGTACGACAAATGATGGCATCCAATGGTATTACTATAGAGTTACCCTTATCATTTGGTGACATAGTACTACCATTACTAATGGTATAATCAAGTTGTACTTTAACACCCAGACCAGGGCCTAGTCTTTTAATGGAGCACCAATGTCTTTTCCATACTTTCCAAGGACCTAATGTCCTCTTTTTTACTTTATGAACCTTAGATTTGCCACCAAAAAATTTGACATCTAGGAATCCACAAATTTCAGTATTTTCTTCAGCCATTGAACTTTTGATTTCTAAAAAATATATTGGATAATAATAAAAGTTTTGTTAGAAGAACAAATTTTGTATAAATTGAAAATGGTTTATTTTACTAATGAAGTATAATATATATAAATTTATTTTATAAATTGATTACCTTAGATTTGACAATAGATACAGCTGAGGGATATTTTTTTATAAAATACAATTTAATGTAATAAAGACTGTCTTCAAACCTCCATGAAGGAAACGTATGGAGCAACCGCCTACATTGGATTTGAAATAATAACGGCAAAATTTTATAAATACAGAGCATCAGGTATATTTGTAAAAACGCCCGGACATTTAACGAACGGCTCACTCTTTCTATTATTGTTTACTGTTTACTAATCTATTCACTCGGTGATCTCAAACTCAGTGCTACCAACGACACCCTAGCCAATGTTGCTATCCGAAAAAATTAAAATTCCCTCCACGAAATTTTTATTATATATTTATCAATAAATAAAGTAAGACGAATATGTACTAAATAATGACTAATATTTGATATACATAAACGAATATAATTCTTCAAGAAACATACGAAATTGTTTATCCTTCGTTCAAACAATATTGAGAGAAAAACAAGAGATTTGTTTTGTATATTTTTATTATATCAGCAGTTCTTTTTCTTATTATATCTTTGTCCATATATATGAACAACGGAATGAAAAACGCAGTTACAGTACTATATGGTATAGGATGCGAACCTACTGAAGTTAGTCGAGAATGATTTCCCGTTGAAGGGACTATACATGTCATTAAATTCCGCAAAAATAAAAAAGTTGTATTCGTAATTAGAAAATATTAATGTATAATAATTGTGAATACAATAAATGTTTAATCATTGCGAATGCAATTTATAATATAGACATTGATGCACTTAAGCTATAGATTGAAATAGAAAAGCGGATGGAGTCCTCATAGGAATTAATCTCCGATCGCCATCCTTATCGGTGATCACATAATAATGTCTTCCATTGATAAATTGTTGCTTAGCCTGTAGCATAAGATTTTCAGTACCTGGATACATCACCTGGGACTTTTTTAACATACTGACATCATTCATAGATTTTTGAATTTGAGAGGTTTTAGATTTTTCTCTTCGGACATGAGAATTGTGTTTCACTTTACTATTTTTCACTCGATGCAGTATGAACGCATAAATTATTTCAAACAAAAATACGATGGCAGCAATTATGTAACCAGCTATAACCACTTTATACGTTAAAATAAGATCATTATTTTGCAATTTTCTATCGTTTGAACGTAGATCGACTGGGCAGATTTCCGCTAATGGAAGATTTTTTACCTTTCTTTGTTGAATAATACCGGTTTGCACGAATCTTAGCAACCTGCAAAAGTAATATATTTTAATAGACCAAGATGATTATGTTTAATACCTTTAGATTGACAGTTTAAAATGTTACATTGCATTGATATGTTTCGTCAGAGGTGAACCATGCGGAAAAGCAAACGCACGATTCGTTATCAAAATGGCTTCTGGCATGATCACGTAGCCGCAACGGAGATTATGGTCCAAATGACTACGAGTATTATTAATATAATTTTGGAATAATACAGTTTGCAAATAATGTGCTTCAGCTAAAAAAAGTCTTCCTAAAAAAAAATTGACAAGACTATTATTTACAAAATTGTTTAATTATAATCAAAGTGAAATATTTAATTCATACTCGGGCCTACGTGATTTAAAATATTCTCTGATTGATCATACTGTTTAAAAATACCCTTCCTTCGGTGTCTGCTCACATTTAATAAACTCAAGTCATTTTCATGGTCCTAGAAGACGATATAATTAAATTAAAAACCTTACGAACGTCCTTTGAATCTTACTTGAGAAAGAAGAAATTCAATTGCTCTCCCTTTGAACGTAACCCAGTTGTACCCCATGTAAACAATATCGTGAAGAGAACTAATAGCCAACGTAAATTGAGGTTTTGTAAGAAATGCAGTGAGATTTGCCGTGTAGAACGATGTTAAAATCAATATGAAGATCCACCAAGTAGCAAACAATATTCGTATTGAATCTACGGTTTCAAAAAACTGTAATAATTAAAGATCAATAGTGTCATGGTTATTTAAAGCCACATACTTGTTGTAGCAACAATGCTTGATCCTTGCTTCAAGAAGGAGCTATAAGCAAACCAGAAGCAGGAGGATAAAGTAAAGTGATTTGAAGTTGAATCATTCCACAACTTGGAGCTGCAAGAATGGAATTAAAATCATCATTTGAATTAAAATATTTCATTGTAGGAGACTTTACCTGATTTTAGCAAAAATATAAATAGTAGGTCCTATACAAAGTAAAGATGCTAGAACTAGTAACCAAACGGTTCCTTCAAATGGTGCAAGAAGACCTGAACCAGTAGCTGATATCTGAGGCCTTTTCATTATGGCGGTTATTCTTGTTTCATCCAGTGAGGTACTGAACTCACAGTATCGTCGCATGTCCAGTAATATCGGAAGAAATGCAACGGCTATATCTGCTTTCTATAGAAATAATAAAAATTAATACCATCCTCGTTCGTCTGTTAGTTTGTAAATGATTTATTTTTATTACTTTTTGATATAGCGCACCCAAAATACCATTTTTCTCGTCACCCAATATATGCTCATTCGGTGGAATAATGGTGTATGTAATATTCAATTTGAAACAGATTGAATTGAAGATGTCAAATGCGTATCCTTTACCGATCCATTTTCCGTTGCGCTTCTCGATTGCTGAGTACGGCATGTCCTGTAAGAACAATAAGCTTTCAAAATGTTTTGCAGTTCTTTAAATCCAAGGTACTTCCGGAATTCGGAACTTTGTTCAGGACTTTGAAATTATGAAATTTTGAAATCTTTAATATTTTAGAAAATTATAATGTTTAACCTTGAGAATTTGAAATGATGTACCTTGAGATAAGAAACTATTTTTATATCGTGAACTTACGTTCCATGATGTGACCGTTATTTGTGATGGTATGGGATTTTTATTTCCATTGTCATCGTCTGTTACAAAAAGATTAAAATTATTTTATTAGAGTAGATAAAATAAGAGAAAAAAATAAGAATACGTTTTATAATTAAAAAGAATTTAATTATGCAAAAAAAAATTAATAAGAAAGTTTGACGTACTTTCATCATTAACGTTACATACGCATTGTGAAGCAAATAAGATCGTTGCATAAAGTAGTAGATAAGAAAATTGCATTCTTTAATTAAATCAAAATTATATTGACTTCGATCAATTGCGATGTAATAGAGTCCGTAAATTATCAACTACGTTACACGATCACTGTCACAACAAACTTGATACCTAGGTGATCAATATTAACGTAACTGGTCACAGCCTAACTAATGGTGACCCGGTTGACACCTGCGTATATGACAATTTATCACATCATCCTTTTAGTTCACGCGAGCACGGCTATATCGATCCAACCTAAAGAAATCATTGTCTTCAATTACTTACTTTTTATCACCTAAGTGAAAACAAATAAAGTATTAATATTATTAGTCATATTTAATATAAAATGCAGAAAAATCACAAGATTCACTTATCCTTTCATCGTTTCGTACATGTCTAATATACGATAATTTATTTGTTGGCGTTGTTCTAGTTTGTTCTGTTCTAAAATACAAAAGAAAGTTGAAATTAAAAAATTGATAGTATTTCCATATAATAACTAAAATTATCTTTACCATTTACAACGTATAACGTGCGTGTTAAATTCAAATCGCGTTTATGCGCATACGAGATTATTATCGAAATCAAATATTTCGATATCGAGTTGATCGAGTTCTTGTACGAAAATGAATATCTGTTTATTTCACATATGTAAGAATTCCTAGATTAATCGTTTACAAGTTTGTTTTTGTAAATTGATTGGGTATTAAAAAAATAATTACAAAATTTCCTCAATTTTAAATTTGAATTGTGAAGGTTTTGTTCTTACATTTTTTCTAGAAAAGCCTATTCAGGATTTTTAGTGCCAATAGATATCTTCAATCACAAATCGAATAAAATTCATGTTCATGATGAATTAAAATGCGATAGTAGATACAAAATCTCCATGAAGTTAGTTCAAGTACATTCGAAAGCAAATGTCTTCTTTGGGGAAAATGGTGGTTAAGGGGAAGCGGTCCCCACCACTTGTCATAGCACACGTGCATTGACATATAAGAATCGATAAGTAATCCAATTTCCTTAAATAATACTTTTAGAAGTGAGCTTATTTATTTTATAACAAAATATGAAGAGTAACTTATTGTATAGTATTTGATTTAAAAAGTTGCAAACTTAAAGCCTTATTACATGTATGCTGAAAATTTATATTTTTGCGCGCTCTGCCTGAAAACAGTATTGTTCTCGTCGTCTAGCGGTTAAGCGCCGAACTACCAAACAAAAATTTGTTTGTTTTTATGAAGTAAATTAATTCTATGGTTTATTGACACTTGTAAATTGTTCTACGGGCACAATAATGACGAAAAATTGATTTACTATTAACTCGAAACTTTGTATTCGAAAATTTTAAAAATTGCATTTGACGACTCTTAAACTTAGCTATCTAGCAGTACAAAGTGGGAATTAATTGACCTAAACTTGAATATATATTTTCAAAATGAAGTATAAATGAAAATTTTATTATTTATCGATTTCAAAAATGCCTATTGTAAAGTAGGTAAAATGTGTGCTAATGTGCAATTTTATTACGAGTAGTGGGGACCTCTTCCCCTTGGCCGCCATTTCCCCAGGGAAGCCAGATTTGCTCTGAAGTGTACATTGAAATGACAACAAGTGATTGATATTATTGACGACGGTATAATGTGAGGTGAAAAAGAAAATATATTTCGGCGCGAACGGGAGTGCACTTTGTTGGTAAGTAGCCCGACAAAGCATCCCGTTCGTGGAATTGATCGCATATTTGGGACTTTCATTCAAGGTGTAAGAAAAATTCTATTCCGAATTCCCGTTAGTGAATACAGGTTATGTGAACTTCGAAACGCCTCGACGTTCGCCGTTTCTCCCAAACACCGGCCAGGATGGGCCAGGGTACAGATACCTGCTCGGACAGGCCTACTGAAGTTAGTGTCATCAGATTTGTATCCAGGAATCGTACCATTGAAGAAATCGTCCCAAAAAAGGTAAATCACCGGAGTTATTTAACGGGTTCAATGACCCCTAACTCAAAACAAATTGTTCAGCGTTTATCAAGTTACTGCGTTGTGCGTTTAGAATTAGTTTGTCACAATAAAATAATCACTTAAGTTAATGTGCTTTTATTAAAAGGCTTTGTTTGTAAATACGTGGATTTTATAAATATAATCAATAAAAATTTAGGTTCTTCAAAAAATCAATATTTTCTTTGTGAATAATATTAAATAGTTAAAACGTTTAATAATATCCCATATATTTTACATCACATTTTTAGGAAATATATACTTGTAAGCAACGAGGTTGTGGAAAGACATTCACTAATCAAGATGAATATAAGACACATGAAACTCTTGAAGCTTTAAAAATTAGATTCATGTAAGTTAACTTTCTTTTTGTTATAAATTAAAATATATAATGATAATATATATGTGTATTGATAATACATTTAAAAATATTATGAAGAAATAAAGTTTGAATGCTTTTACTCAGTTGTCGGGAGCCAGGATGTGGAGAAGAATTATCTGACCCTGGAAGTATGTGGCGGCATTATCAAGAATGGCATAATAATGAAACAAATGTATTTATATGTCCATACACAAATTGTGAGTCTTTACATACAACCAGCAACAGTTTGGAAGAACATATCGAAAACTATCATAGACAACCACCAACACTGCCAACTGAACCAGAAGTAATATGCTTTGAAGATTCTGAAAATGCAATAGATGAGGAAATTATACAAAGTACTGAGGAATGTTATGAGAACAGAACAAGTGATGCTTTTGCAATAAAAGCACATCAGTATGATGACAATAATGAACAAAATATTCTTAGAAGTGACAATATGCAGCAACAAAAGAAAGAAACCTCTCATGATCAGAGTACTGCAAATGACAATTCTAGTAAGGAAGATTATTCTTCCAATTCAGAAACTGTAACTGATGCCGTTACATTTCCTATGAATGAAAATGTAATGATAAATACAGAGAATTTTCTATCCAAATATGATGGCAGTACGAAAAATTCAGAACTTCAGTCAGATCATTCCCAAGAAAAAGTTAACGTCGTTTATGTAAATGGTGATATTACCATTACTAAGAATTCAAAAAATGAAGTATGTAATATGAATTCAAGAAATCAAGAACATAGAATAGAACTGGATAATTTGGAAAGAATCTTTAGAAGTGACTTAGATCATGATGTTTCAAAAACTGAGGAGAATATCATAGAAACAAATAGTAATTGTTCAGATGATGAAGAATATACGCCAAAAAAGCAACGTATGTCTAGATATAAACAAGAAATTTACAAATGTGCAGTTAATGGTTGTGGGAGAAAATATAAATACATATCCCATTATCGTCATCATCAAGACAGTCATAAATTAATAACTAATGCTATTAGTTCAAATTCTAGTAAATCAATAGTAAAACTGAAGCAAGGGAAAGCGTCGGCAGTCAGTTTTTTCTTGTAAGTTTTCTTATTAATTTGTATCTTGTAGTACAATCAACCTTTATATATTTTCTATTTACCATGTATTAATTAGATGCAAGATTCCCGGCTGTAAGGCGCAGGTGAGCAATGTAACAAGTCTATGGAAACATTACCAGGACAATCATGCTAATTCAAAACTGCCAGTAGTACAAGAAGCTAAGAGTACTGAAGTATTTCGGTAAGTTGTATAATTTTATATTCAGCTATAAATCCAATATTATATTTAATATCAGTAGAGGGATTATACTGGTCTAAACATTCATGACCTCATTATTGAAAGTAATATTAAAAACAAACAAAAAATTTCAGTTGCAAAATTCCTGGGTGTGAAACAGAATTTAGTACAACAGTAATGTTGTACAAGCACTTCAATGAAGTGCACTCAAATGGTTCTGGCAACAATGCTAGCACAAACATAAAGACTGGGAATGGGAGTAGTTTTCATTATACTGAAATATTCAAAGATGATGCTACCACCCTGCAAGGAAACTTTAAGACTGACTTTAAGGCAAAGAATAATATTAATGCAAATGATTGTACGAAAAGTACCGATGAACAAAGATTATCATCAGTTGTTAAGAAAGAAACTCGAGATTGACTTGAGACGAACTAGTATCTATAAACGTGATGATAAATAATTGTAGCGATATGAATCAGAGTATTTTACTAGGGCCGCAAGTATTCGAACTATCAAACGAATTATTGTTCCTCTCTCTTCAAGAGCGATTCTACTTCTTGTTCTCCATCTTTTTGACTAGTCACAATTTTATTACGCTTTTATTATTGAATTTAAGTGTAATGGCCCTTGTTAATTACTCAAATCTTTGTGTCTCTGACTTTTAATTATAGGAATCCAAAATTGAAATACAACTCTCTTAGATCACTAGAATTATTCTTTTATGATTTTTTAAACAAAAACTGAAGCATTGTATAAGACATCGTATAAAGCATTCATTGAATAATTTTCAAATATCATTTTCCAATTTTATTGACAAATTTTGTAATTTCATTCCTACTAGCTACTTGAATAATGATTATTTTAAAATATGTAATAAATGAAATAAAAATGGTATTATGTCTTCTGACAGAAACATATGTATATTACAATGTTTTTAGGTATATCTTTATTATCAAAGCATATTGTACATTCAACATAATTTATTTTTACAAAATTATTACAAATACTATTTGAAGTAAATACTGAATCAATTCATTTATATTTACGCTTAAAAAGTTAATAGTCATAATTACTGGAAAGTATGACGAGCAATATAGGCAAGTCCAAAGAATTTTCAATGTTTCATAAACGCAGCAATGAATTCAAGATAAAAGTACAGTTTTGTAGATTAATAAGCTGTGTTGATTTAAAAACAAAGTTTACAAAAGAGAAAAAAGGTTGCAGTAATCTGTATGCATGTTATATAAAAACTTCTAACTTTCCATACTAATTTTTACTATTTTATATTATATCACTTTGACATAATTTATGTTAGGTATATTAATGTAGTTATTGTATTAGATATTGTAGAACTATAAGCATTACATAGCATTTTCATTTGTATGTCTGTACATTGAAAAATAAAGTGCAATAGTGAGTTAAAATAGAAAATCTATCAAAAACAAAATGTCCATTTATTTTACCAATAAGAACTTACAGTAACGTTTAAACCAAGTATTTAATATAAGGTAAAAGAAGTATTGAGATATTATCATAAAAATATTTATTTTCCTATAATGGAAGAATATGATTATGTTGTAATTTCAGAAGAGTTTCATTTTGTTTCATCTCAGTTGACTAACCTATCGAAAATGTTTTTTATGTTATATTTCATAAATTTATTAACTTGGTGTATAGCACAAAGACAAAATTTCCTTTTAATAATCGTTGACGATTTAAGGACTACTTTAGGATGCTATGGTGATTCAAAAGCTTATACACCAAACATTGATCAGTTAGCAAAAAAGAGTGTCATTTTTTCGCAAGCATTTGCACAGGTTAGTATCGAATCAAATGACAATTTTACACAAGGTATAAACACATGACAGAAAAAAATATGATCATATAACTTTTTCTAATGAATAGGGGAATTTTTATTATAAGTTTTAATTGGTATTCAGATCACATTCTTATGCTGTAAATTATACCTTCTAGCAAGCTCTATGTGCACCAAGCAGAAATTCATTTTTAACAAGTAGAAGACCAGACACACTTCAACTGTATGACTTTTACAGTTATTGGAGAACAGATATTGGCAATTTTACAACATTGCCACAACATCTCAAGAATAATGGATATATTACCAAATCAATAGGAAAAGTTTTTCATCCAGGTTTCCTTCTTATAAAGCATGATGCATAAAGTATTTTTGTCAATATAATATATTCATAGATGTTTTGTAGGTATTAGTTCAAATAATTCTGATGACAGTCCTTATTCTTGGACAGAAACCCCCTTTCATCCATTCACAGAAAAATATAAAAATGCTCCAGTATGTCAAGCAAATATACAAATACCACCTGCCCAAAATCTTGTAAGGTCTCAAATTTATTTCTAATAAGCTCCTTTTTAAAATTTATTTTGAATTGATATAAAATATTTTAATATTCTTTAGATGTGTCCAGTTAAAGTTTCATCAATGCCAAATAAAACATTGCCAGATATAGAAATATTGAATGAAGCTAAAAATTTCATATTAAATCAAGCTGGTAATACTAAACCATTTTTCTTGGCAGTTGGCTTTCAAAAACCACATATACCATTTAAATATCCTAAAAAATATCTAAGTACAGTTCATCATTTTAAAATTAAATAATAGCTTTATAAATAATATTTATAAAGCATATTTTGCAGAGTACCATCCATTGCATAAGTTTGAGGTACCTAATCCATATAGATGGCCAGAAAATGTTAGTAGTGTAGCTTACAATCCATGGAATGATTTGAGAAAAAGAAGAGATGTTGAAACTTTAAATCTTAAATTTCCATGGGAAAAAATACCAAGTAAAATTAATTCATAAAACACACTTTACTTTTATGTAATCAATTACTTATTTTTACTTATGTCGAATTTTTAGAAAGTTTTGCTAAGTTGATTATTCAATCCTACTATGCTTCTGTAACTTATATTGATAATTTGATTGGACAATTAATGAATCAATTGAAATTTTCATCCATTGAACATAATACTACCATAATATTAATGTCAGATCATGGTAAGTCAATATGTTTAAAAGGAATTGACAATAATAGTAACAAAATCTTTTACAGTTACAATTTATTTACTGAGTAAATAAATGTATAGGGTGGTCTCTAGGAGAACATGCAATTTGGGCAAAGTATAGCAATTATGACGTCGCCCTCAGGGTACCTTTAATAATGTCAATACCAGGACTTACATTCAAAGAAAGTAAAGAAAATAATGCAGTTAAAATTACAAATCAAATAAATACAATAAAATATTTATTAAACCGTAGACAAATTGACAATGCTAAACTAACAAATGGTACATACAGTTTTATTACAAAATAACATAAAACATTTTAGGAAGACATTACAATACAAATTGTTTATTTTTTCAGGATATCCAAAAAATATATTATACAGCATGAAAAAATATATCGAGAGTCGAAAAAGAATGTATATTTTGAAAACATATTTTGCATATTCAAGAGAGATTACGCAATTTTATAAAAAACAGATTTTTAACGTTACGAATGCAACAAATTTATCAAAACAGTATGATACATTCAATCCATCCAAGAATCAGATAATTATAAATTCGTTAGTAGAACTAGTTGACATATTTCCAACCATCGCAGATTTAGCAAACTCTTCAATACCTATTTGTACAAATAATCCCCATATAGAAATTGTCTGTAGTGAAGGTATCACTCTTATGCCACTTATAAAAGCTGCTTTAAAACAGAAGGTAAAATTAAAGATAAGGTCGGAACGAATATAGTAACTATGTTTAATAATTCGTAGCCGATATTATGGAAGAAAGCAGTATTTGGACAATATCCGAGACCAGGTATTAAACCTTCCATGCATCCAAATAGTGATGAACCGCGTTTTAAAGAAATTAAAGTGATGGGATATACTCTAAGAACAAATAGATATCGTTATACATCTTGGTTACAATTTAAACCTGAAGCAAGAATACCAGACTGGAATCATAGCATTGCAGAAGAATTGTATGATCACGATGTAGACAATAATGAAATTCAGAACTTAGCGGTTTTTGAAACATATGTTAAGGTAAAAGAGGAGTTGAGAAATTTATTGCAGCATGGTTGGAGAAATGCTTTACCAGGTACATTTATCAAATAATTTGCAGAAATATTTAGTATATAGTCTTACTAAGAATGCAAATTTATTAAACAAAGATTACTATCATTATCTAAATAATAGTTTAATACTAGCAATATTTATAACAATAATAATATTGAATTACATCAATACTGGTAATAACATACATGTAGTATAAGACATAATGTGTGTAATATATAAATATAAAATATTAAACGTTCTTTGAATTAAAATGTAAGTAGCTAGGATAATAGATTATCAAACAGTTTTCATATTATGCAAAACAATACAAAACTTGTTTGTTCAAGTGATGTTGATGTTAGGTTCTCCTAACCTACATTAACAATATTTACTTTTTCTTACTCACTCTTCTTTACTTTTATTTGTTTTATTTGTTGGAGGAGATATAATCTGCAAAGTACAATATAGTGGTTCATTAGATTTTTTTATACAAAATGGTTGAAAGTAGTATTGAATATTGAAAATTACCTCTATAACATCGTTATCAGAACTTGCAGGGGTTGTAGGGATTACAGGATTTGCAGGTTTCAAAGTGGCATTATGTAATCCATAGGACGTTTGAGCCACGTTCAGCATCTGTGCTCTCAGGATTGGTGCTTTTGTACTTAGATTCTGTTGTTTATAAAATCACAATTAAATTTGAATCAGGACAATAATTGTTTAAATAACTTTTACATACCTGTTCTATTAATCTTTTATTGGAATTATAAGTTTGTTGTTCCCAATAATTGTACATATCTGTTAAAACGCGAGCAGTTACCATTTGCTGATACTCTGGCGTTGCATTTGGATACTGCAAAATATTAATCATAATAATTATACGATCACTATATAATTCAAAATAATAAAAGAAAATTATATACTAACATCTTTTCGAATAAGTTCTTGAAGTTTTTCATAGTCCGTAGTGATATCAAGTGGTGATGTTAAATTATATTGATTCAACATTACACTATTTGGATAAAGTGTCATTGTCTGAGGTGGTGGCATTTGCCTTCCTTTCTTCTCTTCTTCATACTCTAACCACGCTTGCTTTCTTTCTTCTTCGTTCAATTCTTCTTCAGCCTATGTAGAACACAATTAATTTATCGTAATAAACGAAGATTATAATCAAACTTTATGTTTATACAAACCCAATTTAATTATTGACATTTTACTTACTTTATTCTCTAAAAGTGAATCGTGTTCGTGATAGTTCTCCACATACTTTTTATATTTCAAAAATATTTCCGCTAATAGTCTATCTTTTGGCAAATTCAAAGTTTTCTCTCCGTTATTCGGATTCGGTTCAAATTTATACAGTTCACTTAAATCATGGTTGCTATAATGACGTTCTATTTGTTGTACATCAACAACTCTGCAGGAAAGTGACAATTTTGTCACTTGTCGATTATAGATCTTCTCTTCCATTGTGCCAGCCGCTAGAAACCGATACACGTAACATGGCTTCTTTTGACCAAATCTGTAAATTATACATATTTTATACAACCATTATAAAATTGTTCTTCTAGATCATTTCTAAAAAACAAACACCTGTATACGCGGAATATACTTTGTACATCGTGAGACGGATTCCAACTTGCATCAAAAATAATCACTCGATTTGCAGCAGTTAAATTAATTCCTAATCCACCTGCTCGTGTCGATATCAAGAATAATCTTGCTCTCATGTTTGAGGGTTGATTAAAGATTTTACACCAAGTATTTCTGTTTTCAGCTGATGTTTGACCATCTAATCGGAAGTAATCTAACCCTAATGACCAACTACCGCTATGACCATCGATGCATTCCGAACTCGTACCATTTTGTGTTTCGTTATCGATCTTCTCAAGAAATCTTTCAATTAGTGTCAATGAATATAATGACTGGGAAAATACTAATCTAAAAGGACAATTAAATATATTATTATATAATTTGCAGATATAAAAATAACTAAAAAAAAAAAAGAAAATAGTGCACAATTAAATCTTCACAGACTTACATTTTATCCCCAATTTGTTCACACTCTTTTAAAATACCAAATAGAAGTAACAACTTAGAGGAAACTCTTATGTCTTCAAAATGTTCTGGTTGAACAAATTGTGACCACCACGCCTCTTCTTTTACTTCACTCTCTTCTACTTTTGGAGTAACCTCGGGCTCTGTGAATTTTAATAATTACAGAACATGGACATTTAAAGAAATAATTTATAAGTACATGACACTTGTACTTCACTATCTTTAATAACACAGTGTTAGAGTAATATGTATAAAACCTTACCTATTTTATTTTGTCTTGTACTTTTCTTTGGAACATCAGAGTCAATAGCCTGAACGTCATCGTCATTTTCATCACTGGAACTACTAGTAGTTGTAGTTGTCTCGGTATCGTCGTCAATAAAACTCCTTAATGAGCCTTCAGAATCACTAGTATATCTTCTACCATTTATTTTTTCTACTTTTTCTGCGTTCAATTGTAAAACTAAAGGATGCGTCCATATTCTTTGTAACGCTTGAAAATCAGTGAATAGAAATCCACCACCAGAGCGTTTTTGTCTGAGCAAAGAATTGCAAATTAATTTTTAGAATAATATATGTATATCTATAAATTGCTATCAGATGCTATTACGTACCGTGCGAAATTTTCCAAATAGTGCCGATATAAGTTAATTTGCACTTCTGTCAAACTTACAAAAATAACATATTCTTGTTTTGGTGGTAAAAATGGCATTAATACTGAATAATCGAATCTCTGAACACAACCTTTCAACATTTTGTGTAAAACGTAAGCACGTTTTTTCATTAATTTAACGTCGTATTCAGTAGAATCATCAAACTGACCATTCGTTATTGGATTTGCAAATCTGTTTAAAAATTCTTTTTTTGTTCCTAAAAGATTTGGTTTTATAAACTGTACCATGCAATGATCTGCAAATGTTTAAATAGAAATGAATATCAAATTATGAATGTGAAAAGTTGTTGTTTAATATTTATAAATATTCACATTCTATTAAGTTGTTTTGCAGAGGTGTTCCTGTTAGTACAATTCTCCTTAATGTTTTTATACGATTCATTGATTTACTTAGAGCGGTATCTTCGTTTTTTAATAAATGACCCTCATCACAAACTATTATGTCTGGACCAGGATCTATTAAACATTTTAAGACTGATTCTTTCATATTCTTCCGCATTCTGTTATTGGTACCGCTGAGATTTCTGAACATTTCATATCCAATGATAAGTACACCACCAGTCCTTTGCCAACTTTCTAACATATACCTTCGGTCTGAATTTTGCTTCAATCTTTAACAAATTTATTATTAAACATTACTTTCAGTTGTGTATATGTGTAATTTTATGATAATAACAAAACTTACTAAACCTACTTGGTCAGTTCATAAACTTCAATATCATGCTCGATATCTTTCAACCACAGATTGAATTCATTTCTCCAATTAAGTACCGTACTTAAAGGACAAACAATCATAACTGTTTTAACACCAAGTTCTTCGTGTACTAAAAGTGTATGCGTCAATGCAATTACTTGAAGAGTTTTGCCAAGTCCCATACAATGTGCAATTATACATCCAGATCCTGGGGAAGACTTCATTCTTTCAATAGATTCAAAACATGCGTCCCACATGAATTTTACTCCCTTAGCTTGGTGAGGTTTCAAACGTTTCACTAAATCCTCGTGAACGCTTAAAAGTTCTTCTTTTGTTTCAGGATCAAAATCTAATACAAGTTTGTCTACCTTTTCTTCGTTAGCCAATCTGGTTTCATACATTTCATTGTACTATATTAGACAGACAAAAACAAAAAGTTATAACAATACATAATTTTGTGCTCATTAAAGCAATTAATATTGTACCAATTTTTGTCGCTCAGCAATGCGTTTAAGTCTTTCTTCTTCTTCTTTAGCAGCTTGCTTTGTGTCATCCGCAACTTGTTTGTCCTTCATGACTTTTCGAATATTTTTACGACTCTTCTTTCCAGGGGTTCCTTGCGAATTTGAAAGTGCGTCATCAGCATTTTCATCGCTGTCGGTACTTACATTTTTTATTCGTTTTCTTTTCGGTTTTGCTCTAGAATATACACATATATTATTAACAAGTGTGTTCCAACTACTTGAAAAGACGTACTTTACTTTTACTCTTATATACTTTTGTTTCATATACCTTTTTTCCGCAAATGAGGAATCTGTATCAGAAGATTTACGCGTTTTACGTTTACGTGTTTTTTTCTGTTGCTTCTTCGTTGAAGCGTCACTGTCTGAAGATGAATTTTCTTCCAATACGACAGAAGAATCAGAATTCGTGTCGGAATTAATTGCCATTGTGTCTGAATCAGAATCCACAATTTTTCTACGATTTTTCCTTTTGCGTGTAACTATTTTATTCTCAATGTTTGAACCTTGACTATTGAAAAAAAAAGCATTTTATTGTGTGTTACTTAATTTAACGAAGAATTATGTTGAATAACTTACTCATCATTTTCTTCCTGTTTTTCTCGCAGTTTCTCTTGAGTCCTCTTCCACTTTGCTTTTTCAGCATCTGAATCAGTTTCTGAAGAAAGCTTCATTGTCAATATCTTGTTTCGTCTCCATTTGTTCTTCTTCTTTTTTTCTTCATCTTCCTAAGTATATTCAATTAAACAAATATTTTTAATACAAGCTAAATATAACTAAATCTATTAAAAAAAAATTATTTTTTACCTCGTCATCGTCTTTCTTTTCTGTCTTTGTTGCAGAAGGTCTTCTTGATTTATCCTTTATCTTGTCCTTTTCTTTATCACTATCATGAACTTCTAAGGAGGCTTTTTGATGTTCTAAATTAATAATAATTAATAAAATGTATTGCATGTAATATATACAAATAAAAGGATCAAATTTTCAAGAATAATTCCATTAAATACCAGTGTCTGAATCGGAAGAATTTAGAAGCATGTTCTTTGTAGCTTTATCTGCTTCTAACATTAATTGATCGTTAGTTTGAATATTAGCTCGTGGTAACAGAATTGTACTAGTACTACTATCTGAATGAGCATTCTTGTCCGCATCTTCAACAAACTCGCCATTTTTTACTTTCTCTAAATGATCTAAGAGGGAATCTTTTGTTTCTTTTGCTGCTAATTTTTTCTTGGATGAAATTTGTCCTGATGCACAGCTTTTTCCTTGATTTTTTTGCAGTCTATCCACATTAATAAGACTAGAAATAATCGAAATAAAATGTTATTGTTAATGGAATTAACTATCACTTGCAAATTTTTATAAAACAGAGTGCGAAAATTTATCAATTTTTATATCATTTTAATTTCATACCTTTTAATCTGTTTACACTCCAAATACTGTCGTGATTTTTGCAACGCCTTCGCATGTTTCCTAAGAATACTCCTCGGCAATCTTTCTAAAACAACGCGGCAGGCCATATTTAATTTTTTATCGGCTTTATGTTCGTCTTTGAGTAAATATCGTCTTTTTTTCACCCTTCCCCCTACACTTCCATCAAAATCTGAAGTATCTGTAACTAAATCTTTATTTTTTGTATTACTTTTTTTTAACGGTAAATTCACTTTTGTAGACTGTAGTTTATCATCACTATCAGAACTTAAACTTGAGCTTTCACTGTTTGAAGAAATTAGTAACTTTGCTTTTGCATGCATATCATCACTATTATCATCTAGCTCGTCATCTTTCTCGTCAGACATTTTTTTGTCAGAAGAGAAATCCATAGAATCATCTGAATTTGAATCTAAAAGTGTACGTTTAACAGAATTTTCTATATCAATAATTTCAACTTGCTCATCTGATGGAGTATCATTAGAAGTGGACTTATTTTGTACTTTATTATCTTGTTTGCTATTAGACTTTATTTCTTTGACTTTTGATTTGCCTTTTTCATTTGAATTACTGGTTGAAGATTTTGTAGATGATTTTTTAATAGGACACTCTTCATTTGAAGGTGTTTCCTGATCTGATTCTAAGAGTACTTTTTCGGTTTGTCCTTTATTAACAACTTTTGGAAGAGAATTATCTTCATCATTTTTAGTCGATTCCGATGTTTTCTGAGCATCAGTTAGTACAGTAGTTGAGTTTGTATTACTTCCTACAGTGTCTTCTATAGTTATTGTTGCTTCACTAAGTTGAGATTCTGTATCAATACTTTGTGTTAAGCTATCATTTGAAAGCAAATTTTTATTTTTAACTGATTTGCAAGTAGATGCATCATTAGTTGTACTTTCCTCAAATATGTCATCTAAAGATTCATTCTCGACTTGTTTATTTTCATTGTTATGAGATACTTTTGAAACTTTTTCGTTCAAAACAGTTCTTGAAGCATCTTTTGTATGTATTTTATTACATATTTCTTTCTCAGTTTTACTACCTAAAATTGGTGATATAACTCTTGATACGTTTTCATCAGTATCATCATCTATAAGTTTTTCTGTTTCAGCAACTGATGAACTTTCATTTTCCTTGTTGTTTTTTTTATTTGTTTTGGTAGATATTACTTCAGTGTCAGAAAATATTTCTGCATTATCATATTCTGAAACTATACTTCCTTCTTTTGAATTACTCTTTGATTTATCTGGTATTTTCTTATTTGTATTTTCTAATACTTCATTTTCACTTGAAGAACTATCTTCATGATCTGTATTCTGTATACTACAATTTTTACTCCATTCTTCATAAAAATTTATTAATTCCTTTTCTTGGATATCAAGTTCCAATTTAAGTTCATTAATCAAACTTTTTGATTTGTTTACAATATTATTTGCAGATTCTTGATACACTAATTCTTTTTTTAAATGTTTCCATTTTACATGTTCCATCCGTAATTCATAATCAGAACAAACTTCTTTAAATCTATTTAAAATTTTCATAACACGAGATTTAAAACATAAACTTTGCTTTTTACTGATCATGGTTTTCTCTTCTGTATGTTTTTTAAATGATGAATCTGACTCGTCATTCTTATTAGCTCCAGACACTTTCTTTATAAGATTGTTATGACGAGAAAATTTTGACTTTTGAAATTCTTTTCCAGAACTAGAATCAGCTTCATCTTTATTTAAAGTGATAAAACTTCTTCGACTCGATTTTGAGATTGAATGCTTCTTTTGACCTTTTTCTGAATGTTTTCCTTCTTCTGAATCACTACATTTTGATTCCTTATTTTTATAATTTTTTCTTCTTACATTAGTGCAAATAGCTTTTTTGTTTTTTGTATTATTTTCTTGTTTGTCCAGCTTTGACTGCTGTTTATTAGACATCCATTTCTCTTTAGTTTCATCATTTGCACTAGAATAATTAGTTTCAGATGACGAAGAACATTTTTTTTGTGGTCTTTTAGTTGAATTCTTAATAGAAGTGGCATCAGTGCTTCCTAAAAATGATTTGAAAATTGTTTCTATGGAATTATATTCCTTCTGTTTTGAAATTATAATTCTTTCATTTTACAACATACCTATCTTACGTGAATCCATAGCGCTGGTATTGAAAGAAACCCGAACATCTTCTGCAGAAGTAGAATCATCATCATGTAATGATCCCATTATTTTCTTCATTTTCTTTTACTTATGTTACTTTATACTGCATGTATACGAAAGCATTTTTTTTTTTTTACCTGTAACATATAAATATTCATATTATAGAAATTAAAATATTATTCGGATTTAAGCAACGTTTGATTCTGTAGAAGAAATAGTATCTTATGAGAATGTTTAATAAACAAAGTTATATATTTTATGATATATAAAATGATCTACTGTAATTAGGTTCATTAACCAGTACACAATTTTTTTTTGTCACACATTCATATCTATTTAACTTACATACAAGGTAAATGAATAAAGTTTTTAAATATTAATATATTAGTCTTTAAGAATCTTACCTGTGTAGTAAAATTATTTAAAACGCAATCATCACATTTTAAGCACCGTACACGGTATATAAACTAAGTATTAGTGATTTATTTTCAATTTGAAAATTACTTTTATTATTAGACACTATTAAATAAATAAATAACATATATTTTAGCAACGAAACATACACGTAAGACAGTTGTAATTGATCAAAATACTCAATTGTGTCGGTACCCCGTTCGAGTCTTTACACAAAGGTGGTGAAAGCTAGCTGTTGTTACTAGTGCCCTCTGATGGTTAAATGTGTAATATTAAAATTGAACCGCTATTGAACGTTACAGTCATATTGAATATTTCAATAACTGTTTAAATATAACAATTTATTTTATAAATATATATACATATGTATGTTTTTACAAATATATCAAATATGATAAATATGACTTTTCATGGTTTAGGGTAGAAAACGCGGAAAAGTTTTGCACATAATCTATTTTGAAAGACTATATCCAATTCGCAGAACTTTGATAATTTAATGCAATAAAGCGGAATTTTGCTATATGACTGTAAACAGGACTGTAACAATAGAATATTCGCAAAAGCACTGCCGTCAAAAATTAAAAAATTTCTGTATTTTAAAATACATATTAAATGATAATTGAGTTTCAGAAATATTGTACAAGAAAATATTTAAACATATTACTATACAAAAACTGGGTATTCGTTACATTTACATTCAAACTATAAAGATTCATACTGTTTCTTCGGCAATTATTTCTACTTCTTGCTCCTCTGATACTTCCATCTTATTATTCCATGTAGATAAGCTTTTCTTAACTGGAACACAATATTTTGAATTCAGTATTCGATTCTCCTGAAGAGCAGCTACATCACAAAAGAGACATCTTGTTTCTTTAAACACTTCATCTACAGCTGAATGAAAAATCAGTCCACATATTGGGCATGTACTGTAGTGTGCACTTGTTATTTGTAAAAGTGTAATAGCACATCTAGGTAATATATGTCCTTGAGGACATTTATTAACTTTCCAAGGTAGATCATTTATTGTTTCACCACACAAACTACAAGATTCAATGTTATCTAACTTGAACTGTGATGTTTTTTTTAAAATGCTTCTAATACGTTCATAAAATGGAGATGCATTTTCATTTGCTTCTTCTGCAAGATACATTTCTAAATATTTTCTTAACAAGTTTATAGAAATCTGTTGTTCTTGAAGCAATGTAGATTTATTTACAAAATACATAAGATAATTATAGGCAGTGTGAACAAAAATTAATGGCTGTGCTTCTGATATCTCTCCAGCAATACTGCCTACGCCTTCAATTACTTTTTTCTTTTCACAAATTTCCATCATTACTGATATCCACATTGATATTTGTAACTCTTTTAAAGATAAAGATTTCAGATCTGATGGAAGTTCTGGAAATATACTTGTAGGTTCTGATGCCTTTATTGCTTTAATCCTAAGTACTTCTAAACAGTCCCATAATTGTTCAAATCTTTCATGTTCACTGTTTTTTAAAACTAGCAATGGATTCCACTGTTTACCTTTCAATCCAAACATACAAATTTTGCTTGGTTCCTTAATTACTAAATGATCATATATGGTATCTGGCATAGTTAGATTTACAAATATTACACGATTTAAAGAATGGGTAAGGCCCAAATATCGTGCATGAATTTGTGATATTCTATTATTTACTTCCATTTTTGACAAATTATTTTCTCGCGTGTCGATTGTAAACATAGAACCATTTTCTGTTGTAACCAATGCATTATGTGAACTTATACAAACAGCTCCTAGAAAATGATTAAATCTATTAGTGTTCTTGTTTTTTTTACAGTTTACATAATCGAGTTTCATATTTTATTTACCTGAGATCGTGAAACCTTTTAATTGTAAATGTTTCAAGATTTCTAATTTACCCTCCAATGATAAACACAGCAAAAGTAAGAACGTCCCTTTTGATACAAGAACTTTCATACATGAATCATTTTGAGGAAATATTTTTATAGCACTAATAACAATACGATCTTTATAATCATAATATTTATGAATGAATTTCATTTCAAGAATATGATTATGATTTTGAACTTTAAGACCATAAATACGTCCATCTAAATAAGCAATGATAATCAAATGTTCTTCTGCATTGATACTAATCCAATGCATAACATTTATTTTAACAGACTCTTTTGATTTCATTGTTCCTACAATTTCAGGATTTGGTATTTCATTATAATTTAATATTCTTGGAATTTTGTAAATAGTTATATCTCCATTACGGTAAGCAACAGTCAAGTATGCAAAATTGATAAAAAGTTCACTCCAAGTAAAACAAGAAGCCAGCAGTGCCTTTATATTATTTTTTAATGTTATAGATTGATTTGAATTTTGTTTGCTACTAATATTTTCAGTATTAATTTCCTTTTCTACAGCATTATAGCGTATAGAAGATAAATCATGTGCAGGGTACCATTCCATTGAAATTTTGTAGATTATCATAGCAGTACCTGCTGAAGTTAAAATTGCAAGAAGACACTTGCTTGGGTGTATTAAATTCTGTGGTGACCATGCTAAATTAATGATTTTTGGAACCATTTCTTTAACATTTGACATCTTTGGAGTTAAACTTTCTTCCATTAGACATGAATACACATCTTCACGTTGCATATTCCAAATCTTTGATTCTATTTTACCTGTTATAACTTGTGCTGGAAATATTGAAGGTGGATAAACAAAAGACCTAGAAAATTTTATGTTCGAATAAGGAGACATTGGAGAGGGTATAAGTTCCTGTGGAAAACAAAAATATTAGCAGATATATTATACTGGTTATACTGAGATTACCATGTAATAAATTATATAAACTTACAAATATATGAATTCCTTTTTCAGTAAGAATTGATATATGGTTATCTTGAGACCATTGTATTGCAAATATTGATAAAATTGGTGGAGAAATTGCAAAACTGTATATTTCTTCAGTTTCCATTATAAGTAAAAAGGTCTTTTCACATGTAAAACAAAATTTTTAATTTCTTTTCCTTTTACCTATACAAATTTTTTCCAAATAATATATTTATAAAAATAGATAAGTAATAACTATACAATACAAAATGTACAAAAAAATATAACAAACTGACGAATATTTCCTTCTCGTGAAATATTTTATTCATATATGTATAAATACGGTACGCAAAAACTAAATTTAAAAAGAACTAACCTCTTAATTTTCACTAATCTGCTTTTAAATGTTAACATATCTTTAAAGAAAGAAACTTTTTTAGATGAATACATAGTTTAATTACGAACATTTAATGTGCTTTTACATAATATATACATATATCATATTGGTTAAGTACAAATGAGATCAAATTTTATAATAAACATTTAGTAAATTCAATCGATTGCACCGGCGGACGAAGTACGGAAGACGAAGCGTAATGTATCCGAATAAAATAGTCCTTTGTTTTAAACATTTCAAAATCCAGTGCTATTAATTAAAATCACAGCAGACTCGAGATTATACAACAAAGTAGAATTGTGATATTAATATCAAGAAAATAAACATTTTAATTTTTTTCGATTTGCCATGTTTTAAATTACTCGAACAATATTTTTAACGAGACCCACAGTAGGACCGCAGCTCTTCTGTTGAGCAAGACTTCACACAACATTCTTCGTAAATTCCCCGCGAATGTCTCCGGAATCTTAACATTTTTCTTGCATTTTTTATGGATTTATAGGGATGTATATCGTAATTAAATGCGTAGTCGTTCATTTCCATTTCTAGAAAGATTTTTTAATATTATTAATTGAAATAACATTAAAAGCTATTTTAGGAAAATATTTTATTAACATTAGTAATATCTACATATACCAGTGATGGGGCAATTGAAACCATAAGGGATTTGGTATTGATGGGTAGTTAATTTCTCACTTCGAAAATTAAAAATTATTATGTTTTAGTTTTCCCGCCGATGCACATGAGTTCTTCGAGAGGCACCTGATTTACCCATCACTGGTCTACATAATTTTGCGGCATGCGCACTCTTACCTTGATTGCTTTTCTTAAACCGCGAATTATAAACACTATCGCATATCATTCCCAAAGTATTGGATAAACTTTCGCCGCAATATTGTCGTACCTCACTTACGGTTTGTCTTTTAAGTTTTTTTTGAAATATATCAGATCGTACATATTTCATTTCTTGCATTAAGATCGTAATCACGATCATTAAATACATTAATGCGTGGAGTCGGTATAAAAACATCTAGAAGCAAAATAATATTTTCCAAATATCATTGCAATCATTATCTGATAAATACTGAAATTACCATAGATAGAAATTAATGTATGAAAGAAGATGTGTTCGTTATGCATTTTAACAAATATTGTTATTAATAACAATTCTTTGTAGTATGTGTATAATTATTATAATACGTTTGACAGTTTAATTTTTCAAATTAAGAAACAATGTTGTACGAGCAAATTCGAAATTGAAATATCATAAGCGAATCCTCAAGTGTGTCTATTTAAATCGCTTTTATTAACCTTTATCAGAATTTATCAATAACGATGCCCCATGCTGTTGCGTACCAGTCAACGAGTAACGACCTATTTTTAGATATCATTTGTGCAAATATAAATCTCGTGCTGTAAATCTTCTCGTGTTAAAGCCCTGGTTTGAAAGGTTCACAAGTATCCCATAAATCGTAATGCTGTCTGCGTCGCTCCACGCGTGTTTCTTTTCAACAAATAATTCGGAAAGAAAACCTGCATACAGAATCGAACAAAATTGTATCGTCAAGAAATTTTTTATCTTTTAAAAATATGAAAATTAAAATGTGCCACTGTTCAGCGGACACTAACGGCGATACTGATACCGGTATTATCATACTGTCAAATGATTTATAGCTAATGATAACATACCTTCTCAGTATAACTTTCTTTATCGGTACAGATATTATTTAATTATTATTTTTAAAAGGTGCAATAGTTTATTCGGTGTTACTAATAGTTCCAATGTTTTGCCTTTCTTAATCGTGTTAAGTCCTATATAAGATATTTTTAATATAATAAAAATTAAATAATAAAAATGGAGAAAGTACCAAAATCAATCACTTACTTATTATTCGTTGATAAAACAGAGATCAATAAAAAATAAAGATGCGTATCACTTTATATCACGATATATTATCACAGGTCGGTATTTTTCTTCTTTTTTTCTTACATAGGGATTACATTAACGTTTACGATAACGTTATGCGTATTATTAAAATATGCATCAAAAATTAAGAACTAAATAAATGATATAGTCGTATAATCGATTATATATAATCTTGATAAATAATTCAAGAAATAGTACATGAAAAATTATATACGTAATAATTATGTACGTAAAGTGTATTTACTCTTTTGTAACTGCTATTAACAAAATACTTTCGAAAAATTACCCCTCGATTAATATTAATAGCAATCGAAGAATTCTTCACCGAGATCAAATATTTGCATTCTTTCAAGTATGCTAGTATTTTCTTCATATTTTGTTTTCACTTGTCGGAGTGTGTTCTGCGATCTTTGATGTACCAAAATGAAGACTGTTCCTATTTGATCGATAGCTGTATATTTATAATCGATTAGAGGAATCGCTTTTTCTTTAGTGAGTTCTTTACGGTGAAATTAGCAGAGATCGATCTTTTTCGTTCAACGTGAATTGTGTAAAAAGGATTTTTCTGTGTTGGTATTGGTCTTGAATCCTTGTATTCGCGTCCGTTTGGTGATCCTCCAACGGTAATATTCATGTTTTCGTAATTCTCAAATTAAGAACATAGTGTTTAAAATAAGGAAACTCAAAGAATGAAGGTATTTTTTTCTTTTACTTGTCTTCATTTCATTCAGTCGTCAATTCAATCGAACACATTCTTCGTTCAACAGTATTTTTTCGTCTTCAAAGTAAATATATTTTTAAACACCTAACACTTATTGCATATAGCACATCATTTTTTCATTCGATATTCATTACACCGTTTGAATATTTTTAATGCACTCTCGTCACTGTTTATCCGTTAATATTATTAATTAAAATGAGCAAGAGAGGAAATAAGAGGGATAAAACACTGTGTTAAAAAATTGATATTACGATGTCTGTTTAAAATTGACTAATCACGGAATGTGTGCATTGGTTCGATCGCCGTTGACGCGAATCAACCGCAATACCGTAAAGGCGCGAACGGTCTTCTCATTTCTGTGTTATTCTTGTTTCTTCATTTTCTTTTTATCAAACAGAATGTATTCATTTTATCACGTTACTATATTATCTATTATTACTGCTTATATTATTATTATCGTTATCCACAATTATTAACAATGATTCTGCTTAAAGCGATAGAGAAACCTAAGTTTAGTCTTAACTCTGAACACTGACGGATTTAACTTTCAGGGGCCCGGACTCTTACAAATTTTTGGGACCTTATCTGCATTATACAAGCGACTATCAAGACATACGTATAATCCAAAGTAGTCGCAAATATAAAAATAAAAATTTCATCAAAAGTATAAGGGCCGTCGGTCATTGTAAAAAAAGAAGAGTTAAAGGAACTTACCGCTTCTCGAAGAGACGATTTAACGCTAAGGAAGAATAAGAAAATTATGTCACTGCAAAAACCTGTTACGTTCCTTATAAAGCCGTGCAAACGTCTCTAGTAATATTGAACGACAAAGACGTGCTCATTAAACACGTTATACGCAAGCGACTTTGTGTCAGCTTTTATTAATTGAACATTAAATACCAGACTGATGTGACGACATCTAACTGCATAGAAGTTTGTCGATTTCAACATGTCCAATCAACTGTAAAATTTGCAGTGTAACTTAATCTCGATAGACGCAGGTCACGATCACAAACCATTAATTACGTAGGAATTAATTTCGCATATTTAAAGTAAAAAGTAGCTCTGACATTTTATATCTATAACAAGAATTATACCGAAGGAAACGTTGTACAAATAAAACAAATAGAATGCACATTTTTCAAATATATTTTACAAAATGTTCTATTCGTACAGCATATAAAACAATACTCTGTATTTATTTTATATTCACACATTAGCTCTATACGACTGTACCACGATATTCCCTCGTTATACGTAGAATATAACTTTATACAGTATTCGGCGGGAGTTAACGTCAATACTATGAAAGTGCCGTATCCTTTGTTTGATGCGTGGTTCCAGCACGCTTTGTGCCTCTCGAAAAGATTGCCGTGCTTTCATCGAATTTTTCAGAGTTCATCGTTTTAGTTGCACGTTCTCGATCGATTGTCAATTCCGTTGCGTCCGCGCTCACGCCCTTACCAAAAACTCGCCCGGAGGGCTGCTCTTGCACATTTCTTGTGCCCGACTTCAGGAGCCTGTCTTTGTCATTGTATACTTCTTGCACTTCTACTTTAGCTTCGTTCAATGGAGAAATTCTCCCAGTTTTCGATGGACCTTTCAAATGCACTATATGATCGTTCAACGGATCCGTACTGCTTTTTTTATGTCCCATATGACTATGATGATTCGAGAAAACGGAGTCCGTTTGTCCTAGAAACTGGTTAGCACTGTTTCCCATATTTCCAGGTCCATTTGCAGCAGCAGTATTCCCTGTACCACTGCCACCCGAGATGTCCCCCATGTTGAAACTCCTTTCTTTTGAACCAACTTGCCAAAAAGAGTCGTCGAACACGTCGGTGTCGCGTTGTTCCGGAGGCAGCCTATTTATACGGGCTTTCACGATGGCCAGGTGTCTATGCACGTAATCCTGATGAGGTGCCAACGCTGCTGCATGCTCCAAACACTGAGCAGCCAGTCCTAATTTACCACGTTCGACCATTACAACGCACAAGTTATGAAGACCTTGAATATTTGTTGGATCCAGCTGCAGTATTCTACGGTAACACTGTAAGGAATTGAAAGCAAAATGTTAACCGCACTTGTTACAATAATATCACTTAAAATATTACCAACGCGGTGTCAAATAATAGTTTTACTTTAGTAGAAAATAATTGTAATAATTAATGTTTACTTACATTTTCAGCAGCATCCAAGTCTTTTATATTATTTATATAAATATCGCCTAAAAGGATTAATCCTTTAACATGGTCCGGATGAAAACGAACTAGTTGGTTTAGGAAAGGTGCGGCTTCCAGAGGACGTTGCTCGTCTGCCAGTAATAGAGCAAGATTGAACAATGCAGATCGGAAGTCTTCCTTGAGAGCAACTGCATTACGGAACCATCGTTCAGCGCTTCCACTGTCATGATCATCCATGGCCAACATTCCAAGATTGAAATGCACTCGTTCGTTATTGGAATCCTGAAAGTAATTTTTAATTTAATATTTGAATCGTGTAAAGTATGCTAGTTAAAAGAAAGGAAAGTACTTTTCGCAAAAGTTTTAGCAGTCTTTCTCTGGCTACTTTTCGTAACTCCGCGCGTCCCAATTCTTGAAGCAAAATAGCTGAATTTAATAATGCTTGTTCGTGTTCGGGGTCAAATTCTAAGGCTTTGTCCAGATATGCTAGAGCTTGAGATGCTTTCCCTTGTTCCAGAAATACAACGCCCAGCTTTAAAAAAAAAACGATTATAAAACGTGTTATACATTCAGTTATTACTTCCAGTATCTCATACTTACATTATAATAGATATCTGGATTGTTACTGTCATAGAAAAGAGCTCGTTCGTAAACCTCTTGGGCCTCTTTCGTGCGGTTAAGTTTAATTAAAACATCACCTCGATTGATGTACGCTTGTGTGTAATCAGCACGCATACTTATAGCCTGCCTATAAAGCAAGTCGGCTTCCTCTAACCTAGTTGCATTCTTCGCTATTAAATTTGCTAAATTTACAAACACATTCAAGTGATTCGGTGCTATTCGTGCTTGATAAGATTCTCCGGGTTTTGGTTTTGGTAGTAAAGATTTTGCCTAAATAAAAAATACATCTTAAAGAAGAAACAGATTCAATGGTATTGTCGATTGAAATATCTGTATACTTACCTTTAGGTATGCATCTTCAGCTTCTTTGAACATTTTAAGATGATTGTAAGTTCTGCCTACGTTAATGTGCGCACCAATGTCATCACCCTGAACACGCACAGCCATATTAAAGAAGTTCAATGCTTCTTTAAATCGACCTTGATTTTCCAAAGCATGACCCACGTTATTAAATAATTTGGCATTGCGATCGTTCACTTTTAATCCCGACATAAATATAGAATATTCATCGAGCCAATCATAATTCCTGATAAAAGTCTTTGTCGAATGAGCAGCCAAAAGCGTTATTAATAAAAATAGTGTTAGTTTCTTAAACCTTAAAAACAGAAGGAACAAAGTTATGAACAAAGTTAAATAATATGTTTATCTTTTAAAGGTATGGAAATTTACTTTTTGTCGCATAAAATGCTCCATCCATATCCAATTAGCATACAAAACCCCATAGATGGAGCATATAGTACCCTTTCGGCAATAACGAATCCAACCGGAAAAAAGAGATTTGAGGCAGGCAAGAATGGCAGTATCATCATCGCCAAACTCTGTATGAAAAATATAGGTATAACACATCTTTTCTAAAATAACAGCTTCAATCAAATTAAATATGTAGTACTAACCATTATGAGAACGATGGAAGTTTGTCTGTTAGATGTTAAAATTGCCGTTATCAATAATCCTAATATGGTCACGTGAGTTGCTACAGTAGCCAGATTACGAGGATCAGTAAAAGATTCTATCAACGGTATCGTTCCCATAGTCCAATCACAGCACAAGTCGTTTGGAAGAAATAGCAGTCTTAAATTAACCGCTGCGAGGTAATTATATGTAAGCTGTCTTATGGGCGTTGGGGCCACTGATGCGGGATTGTCAAATCTGAAATACAATTATGAATTTTTTTTAGAATTTTCAACATATTTTTTATTACAATGTATGTATACATAAAAGTATGTAATACCTGGTGAATACAGGTAACTTTGAGCCCATTACGTGTAGCCGAAGAATAAGTAAACTAAATGTGACAAGTGTAAGGACTGTCAGTCGTTTTGTACCTTCACTGGACCAAGCAAGCGATATTTTTTTCCCACCAAAAGCTGCCTTTAATGTCAGGAAAATATCCATTGCTCTTACCTAAACAGATAGTATAATTAGTAAGTATAAATAATTGATATTGTGAAATGTGTTTTAGTATATTTACCTTTTGTACAACAAAGATCTCATATAATACACAAACAGCAGTAGCTGTTATTCCTTGTTCTTTACATAACATAGCAGTAAAAACAAAAGACATGGATAATATCAAAGACCTCCATCCTAAAAGAAATTTTAATAAAATTATTATGATTTATAAAATTAAATTTTATCAAAAATAAATAACTTACCTGTTGATCTTCTACTTCTGCAACATTTAGTATACGTGATTAAAGCCGCTAGATAAAATAAAGAAGACAATGTTTCTGCTCTTCCCACCACTCCTGTAACCTTAAGACACGATTATCCACTGACAATGCATCTAAACGTGAACTAGGTACTACGATGCGATCGATCGCTCGACGTCGACCCTTCGAATCTGGATACAGTATTGAGACATTGTCGCCGAAGGGAAGAACAAGGACTAGAAATAATTACGAAATAATATCCTCATAAAATTTCAAGGTAACGTCGATCGATTCGATCGATTTGGAAAGCAGTTCAAACAACTTACTGCTTCTGTATGTATAGGATGAACCGCGAACAGGAGAGAAGACACAAAAGTTGCAGAATCAGATAGAAACATCAAGCAAGTCCTGCAATAGCAAAACATGCTTAACCTGACTTATACCTACTCATCTAAATTTATTTTACTAAGAAAATATTCTTTTATCAAAGAACATATAAGAAGCAATTTCTACCTGAAGTATAATAAACACACTCCAACATGTAAGATGACATTAAGCAAATGATATCCCATAGGATCCAACTGATGAATCAGGTAATTCCATCGAAATGTAAGAACACATAAAGGCCTATATGATTTGTGTGATTGCTCCTAATTAAAAAGAAAACATTTTGTTTTGTATCAGGAGAAGAAGATAATATCATATAATAATATTTAAAATACATAAAGAATTAGTCAATTTGAATTGGGATTTTTATAATATCTCAAAGAACAGTTTTCATTATTCTTATAGCATTTTTAAAGACTGGGAAAAATTCAGTTTATGTTGATTATAAATTTTATAGTTTCAAAACAAATAAAAATCCTAAAAGCTGTTAATGAAATTTAATTACTTTTATAATCCAGAACATGTAATTGATATTTTAGACCAAAATTGTTAACGAAATCAACAAAAACATCGATACTCGTCAATACGATAGACTATAAACAGAAAGATTATTCTATATTTATGTTCCATAAAGATAAAAAAACTGAAATGTAACCAAATTCATATTAATTTGATAAGATCGAATTAGATCGAACTAAATCAAAAAGGAAGGAAAACGAGAAGAGTTGAACGGATCAATACACAAGAAGGAAGACAAGAGTAAAAGGGAAGGGGGAAATGAAAGCGCCTCTGTCATATTACCTACCTTGTGCATAGGAGTACCCCAGAAATCATTGTAAAAAACATTTTTCAGGGGTGTATGAGGCCTTAAATCTCGATTATCCTTTATCGCTGAAATATCATCAAAAACGAAACCGCAATTAAGGCTGTTTAGGTATACGGCGAAAGCGCTTATGGCGACGATCGCCGCGAGTGCTCCCCGCGCAGGCACTCCCATCACAAATAAGACATCGATCGGCCGTCTTTTCTTCTCGATTTTTAATTTAGAAATCCTTTCGAAAACGCCTTCCCTCTTCGCTTCAGTATCCTCTTCTGTTCTTTTGCTACCTATCCGATCTACCTATCTATCTATCTAATTGCCTGCCAAGCCAAGAGTTTAACCCTGCGATGTCCAGAAAAAATGCAGGAATCTCATCTCTAGGCACGTAGATGTAGATCCGTTCCTCTTCAAACACATTATTGCACTTATGTGTCCAGTATTTCCAGATACAAACGCGCCTTTTCACAGATCAATCTTCGAAACTTGGAGAGAGGCATATCAACGGTAGATGAGTTTCTGTTCCCGGAAAACCCTCGACGCCAAAGTAAAATATTCGACGAAAGAAACAACGATTATTGTGCGCGCGCGTTAATATTGACTGTCAAACGATAGACGTGTATACTATTGTATAGTAATGCACGCTACGTATCGTGAAACGAGTACGACGCAAGTACGATACAGTACAATACTGGTGACGGCGACGACGCGGATTCGATTTAAAGTCGAGTACGCATGCCTCGCGTTAGAATAGTCGCGAACTATCTAATTCGCTATCTGTAAATCGTGCAACATGTATTAAATTTAAGTCGTTCTGATAGTATAAAGTTTTACGCTTCTAATAAGACTATAACGTTCAGTGTTTAAAAATGACATGACATTTAAGGAGCAACAAGATTCATGTTTTATGGAGCTTCAGAGAATCGTCCAAGCGCTTATTTGTAAATCTGCCACTGATGTCAATGTAACCATAATGATGTTTAATAAAGACATAGAAAAGGTTAGCGATAAAAATAAATCTTTTCTTGCATATTCAATAATTTATTTGATTTATGTTTATCATCAATAAACGTTGTTCTTTTCATTTTTGTTTCATATGAGTGAGGCTGAAGGTGGGGAGTGTTTTTAAAAAGAGATGACTGCACATGCGCAGATCCAGCCAATAAGGAATTTCGTATCCCATTCAAATTGTGAGGGGAGAAGCTTCGTATACAGATGTAGGACGGCAGTCCAGGTAAGGACGCGCTTGGCGTCGTTTTTGATCGCAATTGTCCTGTTTGAAATTGTTTAGTGATAGAATCTGAAATCGAATTGGTGTATTATTTTACGATTTGTAAAGTGATCGTCACTAAGCAAATTAACTTGCACGCCTTGATACCTATCAATTTTCCAGAAAATCCTCAGTACACAAGAAATCCTGCAGTATTCAGTGGCGTCCTTTCTCAGTACTCTTCGAAAAGCGTGAGTGTTTACAAATCCTTTTTAGTTGTATTTAGTCAACAGTACCATTTACTCGATTCGTACGATGAAAAACTAAATGAACAGAATCGTGGGCGTACTACCGGCTTGCGAGATGGAATAATCGATTATTTGTAACGTTATCAGAAAAGAGCGGCTTAGCGTAAACAAGCGAATCTTGTAAATAATACGTGTTTGTAAAACGTTAAAGATATTAATAAAACATAAGTATTTGTTTGGGTCGTATGTCAAGTAAAATAAAGAATGTAGTCTTGAAACCGGTGTAAGATTATTTTACTTGAATGTGAAAATAAAATATGACTTGAGAGAATGAAGGTAATTATATATATGTATATATAAATCATGTTACGAAAGAGAAAGTTTTACGTATTTGTTTCGGTACTGCATGGTAGTACCGACGAGTGGAATAATATAAAGGGACGGAAAGGTAGAAGAGAAAACAAACAAAAGAAGTCACTATAGTTCGACCGGTAAAATTTGCTCGATCGAATTTTTACCTTAAGCTACAGTCTACTATTGCCAGTTGCTGTGTTTATAAAAAAAGACGTTAAAGTATGCTAGTAATTCGGTAATAAATTGTAGTACAGCAAAAATAACGGATTTCAAATAAATGAAATTTTTGCTTTGCTGCATTAAATATTATAACAATACGTATATGTTCAATTATAATTTTATTTCGATTTTTGGGTAGCATTTAAACTTGGGACGCAATGTACCTCGTATTCAAAATTAAAGTGTTCAAATTTCTGTAATCTCGAATTTCAAATGTCTTTCCGAATTTTTAAATTTCTTCGAAACGACGTTCTGCTTATTTTTATTCGCCTCAATTATTACCGTGTCGATTAAATCGTGTACATCATAATATTCATATATCGATACCGTGTTAATTGAATCAATGAGGCAGTTCCTACTGTCAGGAAATAAAAGTCAGGTAACTATGTACAACTAGAAGCAATAGGCTCAGAGAGCAATGCCATTCAATCGATCGGTTTATGTCTGGGCGTCCCGACGCCAGCTGCAATGTTTAAGCTTACGTACAGGGTGATCCATATTGCGGTTTCCTTCAACATTTTCCCCTCTATTGTATAATACACATTGAATATGTTTTATTATTTATATTATTCAATAGTATATCGTATTTTAATATTACACAATCTTTTTTAATATTTTATGCAAAAATTTTATTTTTATATTATGGGAATGTAAATTAGTTTGGTGCAAGACTTCTGAATTTTTAGAAATAAAGAATGAGCCAAGCAGATCAAGAGAAGAGTATGGACAAGAAAGAAATCGCAGAGGAGGAAAGACAGAAAATGCTGAACGCTGAAAATACGAAGCACACGGTAGAGTCGACCACTCCAGACGCGGAAACCGAAGAACAGAAGCCTAAGAGAAAAATTCCTATTGGCGGTATTAAGATGCCCGGCTTTTGTCGCACAAAAAGCAAGGAACCTTGCAAAGTAATTTTATTTTCTAATCTTATCAAAAAATTTCAGTAATCGTTTAGAATAACCACCGCCATTAATGACCTTGACATATGTTATTTCATTTAAATTAAAAATTATTGTAATTACAACAAAAAATGATTGATTTTAATTTTGATGAATTATTTTGAGGAAGACGACATGAACAAATTTAATTGAAAATAATATTTAAAATTATATTTTTCTTGAGAGGTAATGTTTTTGCATCAGCCTGTACAGATTGTTCTTTCCATTCATTCTACCATGTATTGTAGAAACGTAATTGAATTTAAATACGTATATACATGCACCTGTTTTTGCATTCTCTTGTAACTAATTTAATCCGAGTACGTGTATAAACGGACGAAAGAGCAATTCATATATACAATTTCCTTTGGTTGATTAACGTTTGTTTACGACGAAACAACAGCACTCAAAGAGCTCAAGTTCCTGGGGCACCATAGCGTGTTCATAAAAGGGTGCTCATAACCCCGTAACGATTTTTATCCAACATTAAACCAATGGATGACGTCAGACAGACAGTACACCTGGCATTATTGATTACGCGCCCTTAAAATAATAAGTATCCTTATAATAAATGATGATGATTAGCCCCCCAAAAATTAGTCCTTTTAAACAATTTTACGATAATTAATTTTTATTTTTATAGAACGATTACGATTTTTATGTTTTATTTTTAGGAGGATGAGACTAAACCGAACGAATCGGGCGATGGTGAAACAATCGAGAAAAATGCTAAAGAAAATGAACAAAATGTATCTTCTGAAAAAACAAATACGCCGAGTAAGGACGCTAAAGAAAAAGAAGCTCGCAAAGGAATACTTGACGCTATAAGATTACCATTAGTCTCTGTTTTTCCTAGAAAAAAGAAGGTGATTTTATAACATATTCAGTGATTAGATTACATTTAAGTTTTCCTGCCATTTTGTTTACGTTAAAAAATACACGATTGATTAGACGGTAAAAATAACTCGACAAACGAAACCCTACAAAACCCTTAAGATAGTAGTTAAAACCCTCGAGCACGTAGTCTTTTCTTCAGGTACTCCCCTTATCCTATTCATAGGTACTTATATACTTCAACGTTTTAACCGCATTTTACGTGAACGTGTACACGAAGTTTACTTGGTATACTAAAACGTTTTGTATTTTATTCCATATTAAGGATTTGCTTTAACCGAGATGACTGTTTGTAGGAAGGAGAACTAGAATTGGGAACCACAGGAGCAGCTGGATTAGCGAGTGTAGAGACACTGGACGACACCGCGACAGAGAAAAATCCTATTGCCAGCGACGATGGGATGGAAACTGTCCGCCTCGATGGAGATGCTCCAGATGGTATTGAATCTCCAAAGCAACATTTCCTCGTTGCTTGCATATCCGCTGCAAGAAGGAATTTATTTGTATTAGGTATACATAGCATCTATATATCTCTGCATATCTATGTTTGGAAGGTCGCAAGTCCGTTTAAAATAACCCTTCGTTTATAATTCAGTGGCCTCGCTTTGTATCCTGATGTCAGTCGTGATCATTATCTGCGTTGCTTGTATTGGACCAAGAAAGGATTCATCGCAGTTAATGAAAAACGGAAACTTCATCAAAGCTGTTACTTCTTGCGGTCCTGTACAAGGCATATCAGAAGATGGTGCAGTCGCATTCCGCGGTATTCCTTATGCAGTTCCGCCGCTGGAAAACCGTCGTTGGCAGCCTGCGGAAACTTTACGAAGAATTGAACAATGCTGGACAGATACTTACCTGGCGCACAATTCTTCTGAAGTTTGTTGGCAACGTGAAGCTTCCGGTGCTGTCGTTGGAAGCGAAGATTGCTTGTACTTGGATGTTTTCACACCCGAAGTAAGATACGATTCACCTTTACCGGTGGTCGTTATGATTGGTGCAGAGACTCTTAGCGGCGGCTCTCCAGGTGTAATGCAGCCTTCTGCGAAGTTAGCTCGAGTCCGTGATATGGTCTTCGTTCGACCCAATTTTCGGTAGATAACAGTTTCTTATGTTTGAACAATTTTAAGATTTAAGAATGAAAATGTAGACTGTATTTTTTATATGCTTTCTTTCATATTTTAGATTGGGAGTCTTTGGTTTCTTAGCCGCTGAGCCGCTTTCAAGAGCCACACATCCACCTACATCTGGAAATTATGGTCTCTCAGATATCATAGCAGCACTTGAGTGGATTCGGTTGAATATCGAAAATTTCGGCGGTAACAAAAAGTCTGTTACTTTATGGGGCCACCGAGCAGGGGGAACTCTAGTAACAACCTTAGTTGGTATTCGTCGAGCAAGGGATCTTTTCCATAAAGTTTGGATATCCAGCGGTAGCGCAATATTCCCCGGAAGAGAATTACATATTTCAGAGCAACTTAGCGGTCAGTTTTTGAATTCTATAAGATGTAACGACGCTGCTTGTCTACGGAGCAAAAGCGCTGAGGAGTTGATGGATTCGGTCCCGGAAACTTGGCATCTAGGAAACGTTGGACTACCTGAAACTAGAGAAGCAACGTCGAGAGACCGAAGACATGAGTGGCTTGTCCTGGATGGTGCCATTCTTCAAGAACCCGTAGGTCAAATTTGGGCAAGAGATGAATTCTCGGTTAAGATTGTAATGGGAACCACAGCTCATGCTGGAGCTCCTCTTAAATACCTTAATTCGAATACTACTCTTAATTCCACACAAGTAGAAAAAATCGTAAGGGAATCTTTACTAGGAACGTCAGGCTTGGCCGATGAAGCTCTCAGGTTAAAATAAGTTTTAAACTTATTGTGTTGAAAGTATAACAATTGGTTTGATGTTTAATTAATATTCTTCTTATTTTTTTAGGCGTTACAATGCAACATTCAAGGGTTTAGTGAGCATGATTTCGGATATTCGTGTAGTATGCCCACTTCTTACGGTTGCCAGAATGAAAAGTAACATTCCGTACTATGTAGCAACTCAAGCACGTGGCCAATTGGCTGATCCTGACAGTGATGCTACAGCGATACTTGGATCATATGCTGCACGTACACCTTCTGAGAAAAGGCATGTATCAGCGATGCAACAACTTTTCAATCACTACGTTTGGCATGATGAAGTAGCTCAGATGGATCAAAATGGTGTGAAACGAGTTCTCATTGTTGGGCAAGATACACTTCCTGACAATGACTATCCAAACTGCGACTTCTGGATAGAGAAAGATATCGTTCCAACTTATGGTCGAGTTGATTGAAATAGTTTCCTGATTGTTTATTTAATGACGATTTTAGAATTTTTACCAAATTCAAGATGTTCTGTGTAACTACGATTTTCCTTCAAATTTTTGAAATTTTTAGTCCTTTTATACATTACAAATGACAAAAGCGGATAGAAGATGTTTTAAAACATACTGACTGACGAAATTGATATGAAGTAAATGGAATTTTTTTACAAGAATAATACAATACATAAGTATCTATTGCACATTTTCAAGACAAAAGCAAATGTATTTGCTTGAACTCACTCGAAACAAACGTTTCGTTTCCTTTTCGTTTAAGCTATAAGGATACTTAAAATACTCGTACGTTGTTCTTTTTGTTGAGAGTTATATATAAGTAAAAGGAGTAGTAATTATTTGAAGGTTTAGACCGAAAGCATATTCGAAAGTATTCTATTTGCCAATTTTATAATTCACATATTGTATTATTCTATAGAAAATTAATATGATCCAATAATATAAATTGGATTAATAGAAATTGATTATGAACACTTTGAAATTACGAATTTTTACATTTTACCTAAAATATGAAGTATGCCAGCGGGAAACAAATATTTTGATAAAAATATTTATTGATACAATTCTGAGATGTTACCATTTAAACAATATAACTCAATATATACCTTTTCAAAAGTGCTGCTTCGATAAAGTATAAACTGAATAAGTTATACGGACGTTTTAGGTATTGAAAAATATGAACAATTTTAATTGTTTCACTAGTCTTTCGTGCATACAACCGAAAATAACAATTGCAATTTTTAATACGCTGCCAGATATCTATATAGGAAACATATATCTACGTAGATGATACTAATTGGTTTTTTGTCTTTGTACATATATCACTGTTGCTCCGTTTTCTTTTATTCCAATGTACTTAAAAATATTTCTGCTTAAATAATATTATAAGCAGGGAAAAATATATATGTATCAGATCTGACTTTTAACCTGTAAGACTGATTTTATAAATCTGCATTCTGTTTGCATATGAATGTCTTTTATATTAGTTTTAACTGGGAATAGCTTTATAATATAAAAATACCTGTCTTGTAGGCAGTGTTTATTGTACTGTAAGTTAAAGAATGTGTAAAAAATATTTCTTTAATCTCATTGTCTCACTATTGATGTGCATTTATAAAGTACATGGTCACTGTCATGTTTTCATAATGTCAAGTTGCACTGTTGCACATATTTATTAATTATATCTTGAAACTCTTACAGATTTAGAAATATTATTTCTACCCTCTCTAAACTTCAATCACAATTTAAATAAAAATAAACGTTCATTTTTTAACAAATGTATACAAATTTTAAATATTCCTAAATCTATTAAAGTTTTAAGAAATAAAATCATTTTTATGTTACTGTGCATTTGAATGTTTGTGTTGTATTTGAAACGAAATAAATTAATGTCATTCCTATTTTAAATTAATAGGTCAGAAATGATCATTTATTATGATAAAGTATATAGTAAATATTATTTATTCATATCATTACTATATAAGTACACTTCTTAATAATTTAATTATGTCCTTTTATTACATCTTGTTAATATCAATTATAAATTTGAATGTTGATACAGTTTTTAACATTGTTAGACTATTTTGTCACATTCTAATTCACACATAAGAAGTTAGTGTTATGTTACAAAACTTAAAAAATAATTATTTTGTAACATAATGTCATTGTATAACATAATTAAAAAATGAATAAAAATAGATTTTCATTGGTTTATGTAATAACAAATGTGATCGAAGTAAAACATTAATACTTTAGCAAAAGTGGCCTTAGAACAATTTTATAAAATTTATTAACACTATATTTAAAAAAGTACCAGTTAAAGATTATTAAAAAAGTGTTATATGGTAAATAAGAAAAAGATATAAATTTTTAGTTGTATAATAAGGATTTCTTAGTATATAAAATCATATTAACAAGAAACATTCATATAACAATATAGTATGGTTATAGATGTTTTATAAAAAATGCTAATAATCATGAAAATAAATTAATGCCAATATTAATATTTATTTTTTTCGACGTGTTTATATAATAATTTAAATATTCATACATTATTCATACCAAACAAATGGTTATCTCTTTATGCATACATATATTTTAACTAAAAAATTAAGATCTTTAGAAATGTTCGATCAGGAAAGTTCGAAATTTTAAATTTGAAATTGTAACAATCGATACATACATACCTAGATAATTGTAGATGATCAAGTACGCTATCACTATTGTATTCCTAGGTCCTGAAGTTAGTCAGGTTATAACGAATAATAAAGCAATAAAAGTTTGAGCATCACTGAAAAGAGTAGAAAGAATAAATGAGAATCACTGTTTGGAATTCCTAAGTACTTGATCGACAGTCTTATATTTTAGAGTTAGTGGGGTAATGATAAATCTATGTGGTAGTAATATGTGTTAGACTACAGTTGCCTCTTGAATATTGAATCAACAGGTAGTTTTAAGTAGAGATTTGTTAAAATTGTTGAAATCAGTTTTTTTTAAACATGAATTAGTGAAAAATGTATCGATATAGTCAGAAGAGAATTCAAACTACGGTCAGCCGGTGAGAAAGGATTTTATTTTTGAAAGCGTCTGCCAAGTATACACAGAAATTCCTCGCATTCCAACGTTGGTCCAGGGTCTAGCGAGGCCAGCATCCAGATGAGAATGTTACTTTTGTGATTACTCATTCGGTGACATCTGAGGAATGTGGTAAGCAAATTTGTTTCCTCCTACACTTTATAGACTTTCTTTTTATTTTTATTGTATTTTTATGAAAATGCTTTCTTTAAATTTATCTATTGCGATTATTTTCATCCTGCTATTCCCCGTGTATATATTGACACATTATGAACAATGCGTGGAGAATTAGTTTTTACGTTAAAATATATTATTTCTAATTTTATATAATAATACGATACTTTTAATTTTATATTAACGCTATTTATTTATTTTTTTACATCGCCACATATGAAAAATTGAAAATATGAATTTTATTAACGATTTGTAGAGGCGCGGATAAAAATCGATTTATTTAAATTTAGATCTATCGACTGTCGACTACCTGTTGCTACAAATACAAATATGATTTATGCAAAATATTTTGTAACGAAAAATTAGCAATTAATTTGTTTAAAAAATGTATTTTAATGGTTTTAATAATAATGATCTAATATAATACTACAAATTTTAGCTAAAATAACTATTCTTTTTTTCTGCTGTATAGAAGAATTTATATACTGTGGCATGTGTGGCATAGGTTGATGGAAAGAAAAGGTGCTGGATAATCCAAATGGATAACACAAGCCCATTATGGCCCAGCATCTGCAAGCACAACATCAACACGAATTCTTACCACTTTGCGATGTATTATTCAACATAATTTCACTTGCATCCTATTTTTGCGACGTTGTTTTCGATTTTGCAATGGTATATGCTCTTGCGCATCATTCTGTTGCTCCTCCCATTCTATTTCCTTTGAGCATTATTCTTATAGCAACATCATTAATTATTTCTCAGGTTAGATTTTCAATTATTTCATTTAATTTATTAACATTTGCATTTGGTTAATACATATTTTATTGTTAATTCCAGATTATTAGTATACGATGGTATCTATGGGGTGCCAGAGGCAAATTAACTGGTAATACTATACCAGCTTGCAATATTAATGAGAAAAAAGAAAGCAATAATTGGACAATATGGTGTGTTCTATTACTTCATTCAACTCAAGTAGGCGTACTCTGGAGATACTTCAAATTATTTATTCCAGTTAATTTAACTTATGTCAAACATGAGGTAAAGAATTATTAGATTAGTGTATATAAAATATCACATATAGTTAATGTTACAAAATATAGCACTTTTATACAAATTTTTACTCTTGTATTAGGTGAGAGAACTCTGTGTATTACGCCTTATTCATGCATTTTGTGAAGCTGCACCAATGTTACTTTTGCAATTGTATCTATTATCAATTGGAATTAATAATGAATCAAACACAGATATTGTTAAAGGAAAAGAAACTGAAAGTAGGGATAGTGACAAACTGGCAAAATTAACAGCAGTATCTGCTGGTCTCTCTTTGTGGAGTGTATGCTGGGCAGTTGCCAGTTTTAGTAAGGGTGCAGCACGTCTTCGTAATTTAGAACGTTTGGTGCTGACATGGCTAGGTGTGCTGGCACAACTAGCATGGCGTTTAGGAACTGTAAGTGCTAGAGTAGGAGTATTAGTAGCTTATGCTTCACTTTATGGTGGGCAGTGGCTGTTAATTGTTATGGCACTTCATTGGCTATCAATGTTGATGTGGCTACTGCTTACTCCTGATGGCCTTTTTCACGGTGGTGAACATTTACCTATTTTAAGAAAAACATCTTTAGCATCACTTCTTGCATTTGTTTACATATTTGCATATGTAAATTTACACGAAACGAATCATCGTCAAAAAATGGTAATTTTTCAGTACATATTAAACAAATATTTTGTATTTTAAATGACAAGACTATCTGTAAAAACATTAAATATTTTTGGACAGGTAATTTTTTATACCGTCATGTTCTTGGAAAATAGTCTACTCATAGGTGTGTGGATAGTTGGTATCAATAGAAGTGATCTTCTTCCACACCAACATCATCCAAACCCTATAACTTTAGTACTTACGTTTTTAGCTTTATTTTTCGGTGGTATGTTTTTCATGGGTCTTTATTATAGGTAACTATAGAACCAATTATTTTATTTAGTCATATGAAACACACTTCTCAGTCATGATAATTACTATTAATTTTATACCTTACTCCAGGTTTTTCCATGTAAGAAGATTGAGGTACGAAGCTGGTGGTAGAATGACGGCTTCGAATCTAACAGCTTTGACAAATCAGGTATAAAAAGAATCATTCATAATCGGAACACCGAATATTTAAAGTATACCGTCATCACTAACATAACAATGACATGTTTGCAGGATAATTTGGAAGATAAACAAATAGAATATTCAGAAGATAAAAAAATTAACGTAAATGTAGGAGTAAGAAGAGTTAAATTAAGTAATGGTGGAATACCAGGAGTATTTAACTGCCGTTTTGCCAATCCAACGGTAGTAAATCCAAACCGTAAAAAGAAAAAGCCAACTACTTTTGTACCTCCACCTCCACCACAATCACAAACTGAAGCTGTTACAGCTTCTATAAATACACTAGGAGATACGAAACAGCGGCTTGGTGTAAATAATAATTCACGTCAATTAATACCATTCTGGAAGAAATCCGTAAATTCTAGTATAATCTTGGTAATACAAAATTATTTTATTAACAAAAATAAAAGGAATGTTATGAATTATTGTTTTTCCTTTAACTTATATTCAGATATTCATTATTTTGAGGTAGAGCGATCACTCAAACGAGCAAAAGATTGGAGTAGATATTGGAGCAACTGGATCCCTGAGTGTTAGTTTGATCAGGGAAAAACTCCAAGAGAAAAAGCAACAGCAGCTGCGAGAATTAAGAGCTATCCAAGAAGAGATCAAAGAAGGAAAATTATTTCCTCCACCCTCAGCTTCGACCTCCTCGTTCTCATCATCGCCTGCATCGAATCAACAACCACCACCCAATACAAAGTTGCACACTTCTCCCAGTTCTCCATTATTTACATCTGCACCATCTGCAATTGATCAAAATGGAGGAGTAACGTTATCTTCGTGGCCTCCGGTAAAAATGCACTGCCTTCTACCTCCACCACCATCTTCCTCCTATTATCCAAATGTTCATCCTTCAAATTCATGGAGAACGACACAGAGAGAAAGAGCAGACACACCGGAAATTTTGCTCGCACCACGATGTCTTCCTCATCATTATTCTCATTGGGTACCTTCCGCTCACATTAATCATCGGTAATTAGCAAATATATAACATAAAATAGAATATCCTCATTGTTAAATAAACAATGAATAAATAAAAAATCACGTTTAAGCCAAAACGGTGGAGAAGAAAGTTCCAAGGGTGAAGGAGAAATCGAAGGAGAAATTAGCGATATGGAGGGTAGTCAAGTTTCATTGCCTCGAAGCTATACTCTTCCTCGAGAATTTAAATATAATCACCCAAATAATATTGCCAGGGATCGAGAACGACGTGTAGGGAATAATAAGGTGACATCTTCGCGTTTTTATTTACCTTCTACCAATAGTTCTGATGGTAGGTATTGTTTCTAAATTTATTGTTTAAAATACACGTTAAAATTATATTTCATAAAATGCATTATACAAATTTGTTTCTCAGGAGATGTGGATAGTGCGGATAACGAAGATGAGACAGATTCTGAAGTACATTTCCGTATGAAAAACAATCACAGGCATAATAGTAACGGGGAAACACAACAGCAGCAACAACAACGATATACGTTCGAAGATAGTAATAAAAATGAATTCTTGCATTCTAATTCTGACTCTGTATCGGCTGTTATAATTTCCGGGAATTCATATTTACATAATTCTCAAGGATTGTTGCGACCAAGTCAGTTATTTAGAAACAGGGTTAAACACGAAACAAAGCTTTGAAGTTTTCTACTTTTACAAAGAGAGTGTATAATAGCTAATTGAAAATTGGGAACAGAAAAGACTGTATGTGACTTATCTTTTATAAAATTAACACTTTTTTAATCAACATTCCAATGATGCAGAGCATGTTTGTATATACATAAAGTAGCCATGGAGATACATTTTTCAAGTAGTACCATTTCATTTGTTCCTTGTAAATGATGGGAAAAATATGTACAAATTTAATATGTGTCAAATAACCAGGTACGTTTATTTAAATATTCAGTTTTTACAATTTAAGCATTTAGAATTCGAAATAATTTTAGTACGTCATACATTATACTAATTTTTTCAGTAAATTATTTGGTTCCATAATTGTATCACATAAACAAATACATAGCTTAAAAACCGTAAATAACATTACTCTTTTATATTTAAAATATTTCATTTTATTGCATCTATAACAAAATAATGTGGGGAAAATCTTTTTTACATATTTATTTACAAATTTTTTTATTTGTAATTAGCAATTTTTAAAACAAAATTACTTTTTTGTACTTATAGCAAAAATATTTATTATGAACTTTTTAATTTATTAATAAGTACAATTAAATGAAAGTAAAATAAATATATAATATTGTACAAACAATAAAATATTTTATGTATTTTTTATATGATATATTTTCATACATATGAAAAATATACAAATCAGCAATTATGTACAACAAAGTCGTTATAAAACATTTACATCTGTATAAATACTTTATAAATGTATCTGTTGTGCAATATCAGTTTCTTAATAAAAAATACTGATTTTTGTGCTATTATAAATATTTCGCCACGTAATATTTTTTAATATATACAATAAAAATTAACAAGAAACAACATGTATAACTTGTAATTAAAGTATCATACTGCAAATACCTTAATTAAATTCAAATACAACCTTAAAGAATAATTTCATTTTTAAAATTTCTTGTTAGTTCTTTATGCGGTAGGACAATAGAATTTAGTATAATTTTTTCAGCTGCTAAACGTACACTAGTACCTGAAATATAGATAATGAAAATGTATCGTTATTTCATTTTTCAAACTATCAGTTAATACTTGACTCACCGAGAATTGTTATAGAAGGGTTGAGCTTTCCATTAATATTAAATAGAGGTAAGTTTTCCATTTTTGTAAATGGCTTATCAGGATTTGGATCACAAGGTGTTCCTTCTATACGTGCCCATTCTCCTACATAGCTGCTCTTCCCAACTATACTATGTAAAACAATAGAATGTGCTTGTATGAGCGCATTAGCTAATATAATTGACTCTCTTATTCTAACACCACGAGCAATGACAGCATTCGGACCTATGCTCACATTTGGACCCAACTATAAATACAATTTATATATTAGTAATGAATTAAAAGAAAATTACATGCATATTTTTCTTTTATAAAAAGTAACAGATATTTTTTTACCACTGCTGTTGAATGTACAGTTGCTGAAGGATGAATATAAACATCACCAATAATCTGATAGGAGCCATCAACCACAGGAGCAAGGCGGTTTGGATGCTTTGCTTTGTAAAGAGCCAAATAATGTCGATTTGCATATATGGCTGATCCTGCTGTTTTAACTTGTGACCACCATCTCATAACAGGTAAAGCAAATAAACGACCAGTTCCAGCTAAACGCGTTAATATATCATGTTCCAGAGATATATGAGCTGGATCTTTACCATTACCATTGAACTGTCTATAAAATAATTTTATATTTCAGCATCACAACTTGACAAATAATTTTTAAAAAGTCTTACGTAAGATTCTCTTGCTGTTGTCCTGCATAAAAAACATCAGCCATTGTTTGAAAAATATCTAATGAAGCAAGATAGATTCCACAGTTTATTAAAGTTGAAACAAATGTTGATGGTTTCTCTACATAGTGAGCAACTGCTCCTTCTTTATCAAGGACCATACAACCATAATTTAAAGATTGCTGTCTTGTTGCTTCTGTAGCCATGATAGTTAGCAATGCTTGTTTCTCTGTATGAAATTCAACTATTTCTTGCAAAGCAAAATCAGCACAGACATCACCATTCATTATAAAGAAGTATGTAGGACCACCAGAGCGTATTTGGTCACGAAAATGATACAAGCCTCCTGCAGTTCCCAAAGGTGTAAATTCTTGAAGGTACCTAATGATTATATTATAAGTGCTTCCCATTTCTTCGATGAATTGAGATAAATCACTTGCAAGGTATGATCCAATTATTAATATTTCACTAAGATTTTTCACCTTTGAACATGCTTCTATATGGTGCTGGATCATTGGTAATCCAGCAATTGGAAATAATGGTTTTGGTATATCCAAAGAAAGAGGTCTGAACCTGGTTCCTAAAAAAAATGTTTAAATATGGAATATTTTAAAGTTGATTGTTTTTATTTATTACTTATTTACCATTAGACTGAATATCAGAAATGCTTGCACCAATGTTTAAGGTTATATTATTTTATAGATCATAATAACAACATAAAAAATAATTATATTATCAAAAAACAAACCTTTTGATGGACCTCCGATCAGTATAACACATTTTAATATCATTTTTATAAACTATACAAATTTTACTGCAATATTAAAGAATTTCGTTATTGTCGTGTTGAAAGGCAACAGATAATAGATTTAGGAACACCTTTAAATTTTTCAGTTCATAAATGTTCATAAATTCCAGTTCATTAAACAAGATAAGATAACGACTAGAATTTCCTGACAAAGAGCAGTACGGCAAACTTAAACAAGCGCGGATAAGAAATTCTATGATTAGCAAATGATTTTACATAATTATTTTACTCTTATTTACAATGTTAGCTATATTACTGAACCCCTTTGGGAATATAAATAAATACAATAGAATGTATGCAATGACATATAAAGTTTTTATTTTTATTCATTTTTGTTTGTAATAAAAAAAAGAATAAAATTAAAAATTACAAAAAAGAGATTCAGTACAAGAAAATACTTGAACAATTATTACTATTTGTATAAATAACAAAAAACAATGCATATAATATCAAAAATCGAAAACAAATATCGTTGTTCAATATTTTCAATTACGTTTCATATAAAAATATACTGTTACATAGTCTATCCGTCTAATGACGGATTGGTTTAATAACCAATACTGTAGGAACACAGTTGAGACACAAAGGTCTCATAAATTGCTTAGTTTAAAAACTTAACAAAAATTCACATTATAGGCCAGGCACTAATAAATTCAACAAACTCATTGCAAATTCAAATCCGAGGAAACATGCTGCATTTGCCGGGAACGCACGCAGCATTACAGGTGTAACTCCTTTGTAAAGTGCTTTTGGTCCTTCTTCTTTCATTAAAACTATAAAAGCATCTCGAATTCCGCGTTTGTACGTTCCTTCTGGGGCTAAACAAAATAGATAAAATTAAAAATAATATTCACAATAAATATTATACTTAGTATAAATCATAACATACCACTTTGTAAACGACTTTTTAATACATCAGGTGGCATCCCAACAATCCAATTTGCAATACCAGCAAAACCACCAGCTACAATTGTAGCTCCTATTCCTATATTACCTCCATCAGGAGTCAACCAATTTTTTAAACATTCATATGTCATAAAATACATTCCACTGGCAGGAATATCTGAAAAGTTTAATCAATGAATTATCATTAAAGAATAAGGTTCACCTGAATTTGTGTAATCAAAACATGGTGTAGAAACGTTATTTATAATTATAAAACAAGAATAATGTGTGTAGGTTGCTAGATAGGAAGCATCCTGTTTGATAGAGGAAACATCAAGGCAGATAGATAACCCTTAACAAAATTCAGTTTCCTTCAAACCAGCGTACCATCAGTGGTATTTAAGTTCAACTTTTCTTCAATCTTTAAATTTTAGGAAAATTATGGCGGTTATTCTAATTATTATTCTTACTCTGTTGGTACATAATTCTTTTCTTTATTTAAAATATAGATGCAAACTGATAAAACATTTATATTATAGTATTCTTATATTGGGTATAATATATTGTTAAAACAGAACTTATTAAAAGTAATATTATGTTTAAATTTTATTGAATAAATATGTGTTTAGAATGAGTGCTTTGGGCAAATAATCGATATCGGCGGTGTGTGGGAAGTAAAATGTCCACCAGGATGTTCCTGTGAGGTTCAAAAGTTTGCTGATTTATCTTTACACCGATGGATTAGAACAAATCAAGATCAGGTATGATTACTAATTATATCTCTTTTCTTTAGCACTTAACAGCATTTTTTCTAATAGAACCTAACCAGTGATGCCAATTTTGAATTTGGTTTAAATATGGATCATTCTATGATTTCTGAATTTCTGAAAGTAGCGATCTGCGTCGTTGCTGAAGATTATGAAGAACTTTTAGACAAACTTCCATCAGATATACAGGTCACTATTACTATACATTTAAACACAGTACTTTTTTGTGAACTTTAAGAAGAAATAATAATATAATACATATTTCTTTTAGGTGTTTACAATACTTCAGTCTGGTTCAGGAGACTTTGAGATTCTTTTACAGTCTACAACATTTCAACGTTTCACAGATTTAATATCTTTAGATATACAAGGCATAGATTACAATGAAGCTATGGGAAAAAATTTAAGTATTGAACAGATGAAACAAGGAGGAATTATTTTGTCTGTAGATTCTTTGCATCCATTAGGCTTAAATCTCCTTTACTTAAATTTAGAACGAGTAAAATTGACTAATTTAAGTCCAACAAGGAGAAATAAAGCTAATCTTGTAATTAAGCCAATGAATACAGTTACCAATGACGATAGTGGAAATAAGGAACTACTACATAATACTAGTCAAAGTACAGGACACAGATTAATATTATTAAGTCAACAGAATAGTGGAGAAAGCGATGATAAAGAAATACTTCCTTATGATGTTTATAAGCAAGAAATGGAAGGTTACAGAGAAACTGTAGGACTTTTCACTGGTTTAGGAGCTTTAACCCATTTAAGAGTGTATGATTGTGACTTGAAAGATATATCATGGCACATGTTTGATGGTTTGGATAGTCTTATACAGCTTTCATTAGAAAAAAATAGCTTAAAGTTTATTCCAGAATTCTGTTTCTATGGTACACCTAATTTAAAAGTACTTTCACTTGCAAGAAATCAATTGTTAACTCTTAAAAGCGTTGACTTAGCCGGTTTGTTGATGCTTGAAGATCTTGATTTAAAAGGGAATAATCTAACTTTTTTATCGGAATTATCTTTTCCGCCATTTCCAATGTTAAAAATTGCAGATTTTCGGGAAAATCCTTTGGATTCTATATTTCCAAGGTATTTAAATAGTTCATTAAAAAATAAATTACTTTGTGTAATTGAAAAAATAAGATATGCAATTACCTTTTGTTTCTAGTACTTTTGAAATTATGAACACAACACTAAAACTCTATTTGGGAGGTGAAGATTCGAAACTATTTTTGCAAAAGAATTCTTTTCTTGGGTTATATCAGTTGCAAATCTTACAGCTATATAATCTAGAGATACCAGTGTTGGAACGTTTTGTATTTCAAGGAATGCCAGAATTGTTAGAATTAAAGGCACGTGGAAATATCACCAGCATTGAATTTGACGCGTTTGTAGATTTAATCAAACTGATATATCTTGATCTGAGTCATTGTTACATTCGTAAAATATCCATGGATGCTTTTTATGGATTAGAAAACGTTAAACGTATAGATTTATCTAACAACGAGCTAGAATCCATTCCACCTGGTTTGTTTGGGATACAACAACAGAAGCAGCTTAAAGAGATTATCCTTTCAAAAAATAAACTGACTTCTTTACCCTTGGAATTCTTTAAAATGTTACGTATACCATATGGACAATCGCAATTAGCGACTGTAAGACTAGATGGTAATCCATGGGATTGTAGTTGTTCCATGGTTACATGGAATCCTCAATTGGTAAGTTTAGTAAAGATCTTTAAAATACTTATTTCATTAATTACTGGTTGAATATTATAAAAAAATAATTCATTGAAATTAGGTAAACAGATTACGAGAAACAGCACCAAGATGTTTAACACCAAAAAGGTTGAAGAATTGGGGAGTTTTTCATGCTCTACGTAAGGGTGGTTTGCAATGCAGAAAATTAAACAGAAGACATTTTAGAAAGTCTTCAGTAGAGAAAGCTAATTATGAAGATAATATCATCAGTTAGTAAATATTTTTCTTAATTTACAACTAATTAATGTAAGTGTATAAAAAAGACAAAATTAAACAATAATATAAAACGATATAAAAACGTAAGATTTAAAGTGAATATTAAAATGAAAGAAGTAGAAATGATTTAAGTTCTTACAAAGTTTATAGCAAAATAAAATAGGCTGAATAAGTCATTTTGCATACCTCTCAAAAGAGTGGCACAAGTACCTTTATAGATACTTTTTATTCCTCCTTCTTTATAAAGCCGCTTGGCACAATCAATTGGTCCTTTATACTTTGGGTTTATGTCATTTTGTTGTATCTGTAAAAGGCACTTTATTCTTTCACCTGGTGCCATTATAATGGTTGTAAAAATACCACTAAATGCTCCAGCATAAAACAACTTTAAAGGAGTTAGTTGTTCATCTTCTGTTTTTCTTATTAACTGCTTGCCAAGTCCATATCCATAAAAACTTATAGCAAATATTGGAGCTACACCACATAAAGGTGCACCCATACCTAAAAGAAGAAACAAAGAATTTAATAAATCAAATGCTATATATTTTTTAATTATCAACTGTAATTTTCAATTGCTTAACATTAATTGCTATATGCAACAGGTCTATTTTGTACCTTATATCTCCAATTGTGTGATAATCTTTTAAAAAAAAACCAAAGTATTATATATTAATTTTTAGAAATATTTTTTATAACACAAATAAGTAACAATAATATTAACTTTAAAATTGTCTTTGAAAATAACAGTCATTTTTTAATCTTGTATTTTTTAAAATCATTTTTCTTTAAAGTGTAACTGTCTGAAACATTTCATGTATGCCAGATAAAACAGATATGAATGATTTGAATTATATTTTATAAGATATAAATTATTTAACTACTATAATATTAAACTTATAATATCAGAATATGCTATTTATACAAACCCTTATATAAACCACGTATTCCTTCTTGTGCTATTGTTTTCCTAGTACAATCTAGTGTTCCACTATATAAGGGCAATTCCTTTGGACCAGGTACTGGCATAGTTTGGAGACGAACCTATTAAAAAAAATATGTTTTATTTAAAAACGAATCTAATAAAAATTTGGATAAGGAATAGCTGAAAAATGAGAGATTTTTCCTATAATAATTTTCATTCTATCCAACATTTTTGTTTATTTGTTACAATTTAATGAATAATCAAAGTATATTTCTTATAATATTTTATTAAGAGTAAACTGACTTGGTTAAATTATTTGGTTGAATACTAATATAACCTTACTTTTATCGTGTCGAGAGGGTGTCCTGATATAACAGTACATATTCCACCAAAACCTCCACTTATAAAATATTTAACTGGACTTTCTTTTTCTGACATTTTAAGATGATTCGTTTAACAAACTGTATTATTATTTAAAACACAACATACATATGAAAAGCAGTCTTATCTGTATAAAACGTTTAGTCCAATTATAGGTGGTTCGTCCCCAACCTAATAATCAAAAACTGAAAGTAAAGTACGTATATACATATATATTATATAAATATAAATAATAAATTACAATTGGCAGATCTTCTATCTTAAAACTTTAATTCTATCTAGAATTGTCTCATTAAAATTGAATGATGAACGTAATTTAAAATAAACTAATAATAAATGTGTTCATTAACTTAAATAAATATTATGAAATATACATATGTGTGTATATGTACATAACTTTTTAATGTAATACATCTGACAAAAGGTATAAAAAAAAATGTTTTTATATATGCTAGCAATATAATTTTATCTTTATGTGCTTGCTAGCGTAAAATATTTCTCAACAACCCATTGTGCACTCATCAATAAAGTGTAATCGTCAAATGACAAGTTTTTGACCTGCGCAATTTAAATTGATTGGTCGGGCACATTTCCACCTAACCAACCTAACCATGAGTACCACGCATGCGTTATTGTGACATTTATAATGTTGCGCATACTATATACTCAATGGTCCAAATTTTTAAAAGCCATTTTCAGATTTTTAAACCCCAAACTTGCATACTTTCAAATTCCAGATTTCTAGATTTAATTATGTCTAATTTATATTTTCTCTCACATTTCATATATTTTATACACCGTATGCATGACCTTCAAAGTATATGGTAGTATAATAATTAATGGTAGGGAAATTGTTGAAATTAGATATGTTATGCATATTGAGTATGATCGTACAATCTCCCATAGTATGGCCCGTTCAACAAGAGAACATAATTGTTCCGCGCATCTCGACTAACTTCAATATGTTCCTTTCCACCCATGGTTGTTCCACTATGATGTACTTTCGACTGGGTCAGTCATATATATGGTGGATAAAAATATGTGAAAAGGTGGAAAACTGGTGCTATCACAAGTATACGAAATAAAAGACACTGGATATGTACACTAAATGCAATCCTGTACAAACCAATCAGAGCGAACATGCGTAGAACGAATGAAAGCTAGTCGATCGACTATCTGTTCTCTTGTTGAATGGGCTATAGATAAAGTTTGAAGTTTTTGAGAAATTTATCAGTGGTTTTCTGTTCTTTAAATTATGTGATAAATGATTATACACACAGTGTTAAGTAGCTGTGTAGTTGTAAATAGAACATGTAAATAGTATCAGGTGATTGAAGTCATTAATTGTGTGGTTTCGCAGTTTGCAAAATATTCTTTTCATTTTCGTATTTGCATTTCATAATTTTTATTTTATTCTACTAGTTCATAGTTGCAAAAATTATCGATGTAATGTTAGTGAATCATTTTTAATTATTCTAGTTGACCTTGCTTTAAATATTAACAGATGTATGAGTGAAGTTTATTTTAACTGTTTAATCAATTCTGAACATTATTTATAAATTATTATATTTTGTTCTTTATATATTGCAGATATATTAACAATGTCAGAAAAAATCCCATCTAATCAGCCTCAGCCTATTGTTAAGATAGGTCATTATACACTTGGTCAAACATTAGGTGTTGGAACATTTGGTAAAGTAAAAAGTATGTAACTTATCTTCTTAAAAAATTATACAAAATTGGTTTCTACATAAATTATGAATAATGAAATTAGTTGTAATGTCTGTGTTAAAAATGACATAATGTTTTTTATAGTTGGAGAACATGTTTTAACAAAACACAAGGTTGCTGTCAAAATTTTGAATCGACAAAAAATTAAAAGCTTAGATGTAGTCGGAAAAATTCGAAGAGAAATACAAAATCTTAAGCTTTTTAGGCATCCTCATATTATTAAACTGTAAGTTAATATTGTAATTCAAAGTAATATTACTTTGAGTATGACTTTATGATTATTCTTTTTGATTTAGATATCAAGTTATAAGTACACCTACAGATATATTTATGATAATGGAATATGTATCAGGTGGAGAATTGTTTGATTATATTGTGAAACATGGAAAACTTAAAGAATATGAGGCACGAAGATTTTTTCAGCAAATTATTTCAGGGGTTGATTATTGTCATAGGCATATGATAGTCCATCGTGACTTAAAGCCAGAAAATCTTTTGTTAGATCACAATCTACATGTAAAAATAGCAGATTTTGGTATTTGGATATAATTAATGTTTTATTGAACAACTCAATTAAAGACACTCAAGATATTTATTAATATGCATGACTATTTGTTAAGATTTGTTAACAAAATTATAGGGTTATCAAACATGATGATGGATGGAGAATTCTTACGTACATCTTGTGGTTCTCCTAACTACGCAGCACCTGAAGTTATTTCAGGCAAACTGTATGCTGGACCTGAAGTTGATATATGGTCTTGTGGAATAATACTGTATGCTCTATTATGTGGTACATTACCCTTTGATGATGAACATGTACCAACACTCTTTCGTAAAATTAAATGTAAGTAGTATGCTTATGATCTTTCATTTTTTATATACATATATAAAATTTAATCAAGATATTGTGTTTAGCGGGAGTTTTTCCTATACCGGAGTATTTGAATAAAAGTGTTGTAAGCCTTCTGTGTCACATGTTACAAGTGGATCCTATGAAAAGAGCAACCATTGAGGATATCAAGTACATCAAATTTTATACAATTATCTCATAGTTCTTTGATGTAGACAGTGCGTGAGAGAAGAAACCTAAATTCATATATATTCTTTGAACCTACATAATGTGTAAGCAAACTAATAAGTGTTTTTCCTTATGTTTTCTATTCTACGCACTGCCTAAAAATTGCTGAAACTTTTGAATTCTTCTTACTTTAATTTACAACAAAACCAAAAATTATGTCATTATTTTAGGAAACATGAATGGTTTCAAAAGGATTTGCCTTCATATTTATTCCCGTCACCCGTTGAACAAGATTCTTCTGTAATTGATATTGACGCGGTAAATGAAGTTTGTGAGAAATTCAATGTTAAAGAAGCTGAAGTTCATTCTGCTTTATTGGGTGGAGATCCACATGATCAATTGGCAATTGCCTATCATTTAATAATAGATAATAAACGAATCGCAGATGAAGCTGCTAAAGCCGAATTAAAAGATTTTTATGTAGCTTCTAGCCCACCTCCTGTTGCCTTTAGCCCCAATGAGGCAAATAGTAGCCCTTTGAGACCACATCCAGAAAGAATAGCACGTATGTTTTTTATTTATTATTTATAAAATATAAAATAAGGTTTAATGTAGTTGTTAAAATTTAGCATTTCGGGAAAGACAAAGCTCTCAGGGGAGTACGTCATCTCAGACACAAGGTTCTCGCGGTACTCCAGTAAAACGAGCCAAATGGCATTTAGGAATCCGCTCACAATCTAAACCTAATGACATCATGAATGAAGTTTATCGCGCTATGAAAGCTCTTAACTTTGTAAGACTTTTCTCTTGTTAATTTGCATAGAAATTTAAAAAAATCTATTGTTGAAAATCATTAACATATTTTTGTTTACACTAGGAATGGAAGATCATAAATGCCTACAGTGTCAGAGTACGTCAGAAAAATAAGATAACTGATAGATACAGCAAGATGTCTTTGCAACTTTATCAAGTCGATTATAAAAGCTATTTACTTGATTTTAAATCTTTATCAAATGAAGAAGAAGATATTGGACGTGGTACAGATTAGATAGTATATTTATTGTTAAGCTTATTTAAATTATTAGTTAATGATCAAAAATATAATTTTTATTTCAGATCCTACACTTCCACCACCTCAAGCAACAGGTCATCATACAATGGAATTTTTTGAAATGTGTGCAGCATTAATTACGCAATTAGCTCGATAGATTTGCTGCATAATATGAGTCATCATTTTTCAGAATTATGTTAATTTCGCGTTTTAGTTCCTGTTGCGCTCTGCGCAGCGTGTACCATGCAATTTATATGATAAAGGGCTCGTTTGGAAAAGACGAATTAATATCAGTTTCACAAAGAAGTACGAAAACAAAAGAAAATAATAAACTTGTAGAAAGTAAAGTAATATTTTTTAAAACCCTGTCGCTTAATATTCTATGGAAATGTTAAAAATATGTATATATAGTGTATCCATGCATGATGTTTATAAATATAAATTTAGTGATATACTTGTATCTTGCAAAAGAATATGTTTTCAAAATGGAAGGTCTTAGTTCCTTCATTAAGATGTTAGATAGCGCTAAACATAAATTTGTCGAGATCTTCGAGTTTCCATTCTACACTCTACATCCGTGAGATTAAAAAACTCGAATTAAATTATTAGTTTCTATTTTTATTGTAGAGTATGGATAGTTATTATTTTTACAAAAATACAAATTTGGACAACTTTTGAAGGAGCTGTTGTACTTTGCGCCGTCTATCGGTCGCGCTAGTTTCTAATTGTCGGGACTTAGAATGTGTGGGGCTCGAACTCACTGAAGAAGTAGTAAAGGAAAGGCGTATGTCCGCCAGAGGCTTAACGTCTGGAGACGTCACAGCTTATTACTTATAAAACAATGGCTGCTACTTTCAATCAATATGACAGATCTAGGTAAATAAAAATCTAATTTTATTCATCACTTTGTTGTTTGTATTTTATTTCCGTTGTGTCGTAAAATAATAAACATCAAAGACATGGACATAACCATTAAAGTCTCGATGTGATTTGATATGTATTTTTTCATTTGATATTTGTTTACAAATTCTGCTGATGTTTAATAAATTTTTACAATGAAAATTGAATACCTTTGGGACTTAACTTTTATTGACTCTTCACATTTTGTTTATGAATATACTCAGTAGTGGGATTCAAATTATTTAATAATCAATTCAGTGAAGTACTAATGAAAAAATAGTTTATTATTTGATGTAGTTATACTCAAAGAGTAACAAACAAATTATAGTATAAGGAAGCTATAAAAGTATTCAAAAAAAGTTGTTTTAACAAACAGAAACAAGAATATAATGTTTTTATGAGATTCAATAATATTGAAGTTGATGTTGAATGTTATGAAATTATTTGTTTCTTTTATTATCATGCATTTTAGTTGGTACTTTGGTCCAATGTCCCGTCAAGAAGCCTCGGATTTACTGATGGGTGAAAAAGAAGGTGGTGTATTTTTAGTACGTGACAGCACATCGATACATGGGGATTATGTTCTATGTGTACGAGAAGACAGCAAAGTTAGCCATTATATTATAAATAAAATTCAGCAGGGTGATCAAGAACGTTATCGGATTGGAGATCAAATATTTCCTGATATTCCCAACCTTTTGGCTTTTTACAAATTACATTATTTGGATACAACACCATTAATCAGGCCTGCACCTAAAAGAACACAAAAGGTGATAGCAAAATATGATTTTGAAGGCAATGATCCAGACGACTTACCATTTAGAAAAGGTTTGTGTAGTTTCATATGATAATGAATATGTTTTGATAAATACTTTTTATTGACATTTAAACAATTTAAATTTATAAAGTAAATTTATATATCATATTTTTACATTTGTACATTTTAACAAAATAATGAAATATTTATAGGGGAAATTCTCACAATTGTAACAAAAGATGAAGAGCAATGGTGGACTGCCAGAAACAGTCTTGGACAAACTGGATCAGTTCCAGTTCCATATGTTCAAAAATATGAAGAAGACAATCATTCTGTGATGGAAAATAATTCGCGTCCAGATAGTGGAGGAAGTTCGACTCTGAATTCAAATTCTGTTCAAGTTTCTGCTTCTCAACCATCATATCCAGAAAGTGGACAAGGAACTACCCGCAGGTCAAATATTCAACGAACATTACCTGCTTTTGCAAAAGTGAAACAAGCAAGAGTACCAAATGCATATGATAAAACTGCTCTAAAACTAGAAGTTGGAGATGTGATAAAAGTAACGAAAACTAATATAAATGGCCAGTGGGAAGGTGAACTACATGGGAAGGTTGGTCATTTTCCATTTACGCATGTTGAATTTGTGGATAATGAAGTTGAAGAAGACAATCAGGAGATTTAACGGAGGTCTTCCAAGTGCGATGAGTAATGAAGTTGACTTGGCAATTTAAGTTTATATTAGCAGTTATCCTATGTACTGGTACATAGAAGCAGCTTATTTAAAATTTCTGTATGAAATTATTTGTTTTCAACAGTAATCTATAGTTGATTTTAATGATTTGTATTTGTTTTAATACGATTTTAAATATATTAAATTCATGTTAACTTCGAATACATGATCATGTTAGATAATCGTATATATTTATGGTTTAAAAAACATACCATTTTTTAACAATTTTGTACCGGTACATATCATGCTGTCTAGCCATAGGTTGTGCCACAAATGGAGCAACATTTTCTACTAGAATATTCTATTTAATGATGAAGCTGTTAACCATATTATGATTGTAATTATACATGAATTACATTAACTATATATTATTAGGTAATTACATAAGTTGCAATTGCTGAGTAACTTTTTTAAGAAAACAGAAACTGTGAATTTATGTTTCTAAGTGCATCGTATTATAACGTCATGATTGTAAGTTGCGCGGATTACTTGTTAATATGTAATTATACAGATCATAAGAGCATTTAGTTATGTAAAAAGTGGTAGCAACTTTAAAGTTCCGCTTTATACTATGTATACATTAGTTTTATTGTAATGGCAGTCATACGTGAATCACTGTAAATTATATATTAATATATAACTATATAAGTGAACTGTATATCGTGATTTTTGTAAGAACAATAACTTCAAAAATTACTTTAAAGTTCTGTTTAACGTAGTGATTCGTATAAATCCAGTTATGTATGTATAAATACATTCTAATATATATTTACATATTATTATATATTTGTAAAAATTGTAATTTTATCGTACGTTTTAATCGATTGTTTTCAATATTTTTATATGAATATAAACAGGCAACTTCCGAGTTCTACTCGTAGTAATATATATTAATTGCATTTGAGTATAATTATATGTAAGCTGTATGTATGTTATGTATAGTCGTTTGAAATCATTGTAATTTTTTGCATTTCTACAAGTATTTACAAATCGAATTATTTTATTTGTAATTTTGTAAAATTATTTCTACCTTGAATTCAGAAATTTATAATTATGACAATATATAATTATATAATTTCATTTATAATATAGTTTCAAAAAGTATTCATAGAAAAAGTAATTTACTTAGATTCTTTTCATTACAATTTGTAAAGGTATTTCATATAGATACATGGGTGAAATATCTGAACAAATTTCATTATCGAATTGATTACAATTTCACATAAATTGTACAAACAATTTTTAAGGTATGTCTGCAAAATCAATTTTTGGATTAAGAATATAACTAATTTATCAGTTCCTACATAAGTATGAGGTATTAATCATGATGAACTTCTTTTTTGTTAATATTTGTAAATTGCATTAAAATTAATGTAAGGATACTATTTTAAATTGTTAACAAATCTTTGCAAGAGGATAATATGTATTTTAAATAAATTCAAATCAGATTGAAAGAAACATTAAGGCAGACTTGTCTGTGTAATTATATATACATTATAAATTACAAAAGTAAGTATAAACACCATACAAATTTTTGCACATGGGTTTGTAACAATTTTATATGCGTATTAAATTTATAGTAAAACCAATATATAATAAATCGAAAAGCGAAATCAATTTTGTAAGTATTATAAAGGCATAAAGCAATTTAATTATTAAATCATTTATTATCCTATAATTTTATTATCTTTCATGTCATGATCCTTTTGTAAAATTAAAATTTGAAAGAAATTTAAATCGATAAATGCGATTCTAAAGGGAACGTACATACATGCTCAGTTTGTACCGTTTAAAGAATTAATAATTGGATATTCCTATTAATAACAATATACTACTCTAGTATTATATGAAATCTCATTTTAAATCTCATAGACTAAGTTTCTACCGAGGGTTCAAATCGGGTTGGAGTCGGGTTTGAGTCGCGGGTTGGAGTTGCGGCAGGGTTGAACATTACCAACTGCATAAAGTTAACTACCATATTCTGACATGTAAAGGAGAGCAATATTAATTTTACAATATCAAAATAACATACAAAAATTATTTCTTAGATTACAAGATCACCGACAAAATGTAATAATAACCTTGTCTACACCAATTAATACAACACGTGATATACAATGCAATTTGGATTTGTTATGTTGGCAACATGAATTCGCCTTTTGTCGTTTCCACTGAACCTCAATTGAACGCTACCCTACAATTTTATAGGATAGAGTTCAACTAAAACTTTGGTATTTCCACCGTAAGAGCGCTCACCTCAACCCGACTCTAACCCGATTTGAACCCTCGGTGGAAACTTAGTCATAGAAATATAATTCAAGTATGCAATGTACAAAATGTTAGTATAAAAGTAATATATGCAAAAAAGAATGGAAATTGATGACATTTGAATATAGCGGGGACAATGGTGGGAGGTGACAATACTTTTACTCACAGATTGGACCTCCAAATGAAACTGTATGAGACTATATCAAGTTTATTAGGATTCCCCAGTCTAATGATGAGAGAGAATATAAATGCAACTGCTACAAACTTGTACGACACGGGATTAGTTTGAGACTCCAACACATTACAGTTAATTCTTAAAGTTAAAATTATAAATGAGTTGTTTAGAAAAAATGTTACCAACTTCTTCTATTTTAGAAGAAGTTTCAAAACTTGAAGCTGTCAAAAAAATACAAGTATCTGTTAACTCTTCGATAAAATATGGAGCAATGGTTGGAATAGCAACAGTGGTTTCTGGTATTCTTGCTGGTCCTGTAGGAATTACAGCTGGTAATTATTATTTTAAAGTATTTAAATTTAATCATCATACCCTGCATAAGATATTATAAAAATAAATTTCTATTTTTAGGAGGTATACTCAGTAGTTGTGTAGCAGGTTTAATGTCACAAGGAGAATTTAAATCAGTTACTTATATTCTTCTTTATGAAACTTCTCCACAAGAAAAGGAGAAACTAGCACAATTAATACGCGAACAACTCAATTCAAAAAATATAAATACAATGCGTGACTTTATTCTTAATATACAAAATAGCGTAGAGCTTCAAATGCTAATAGTACAATTAATTACTGGATTTGTAACCAACTACCTTCATAGAACAGTAAAACAATAATTTTTTTTATACTAAAAACAAAGATGGAAATGTTCATTGATAGATACATTGTTCGCATAGGAAGAAATAACGTTCACTAGTTACAAATGAATAATTAAGTATAATTTATTGATTTACTTATTTTTATATGTTATAATGTTTCTTTGTAGAAGAGTAACCATTTGATTTAAGCAAAAATGTCCTGTATAATATATGCAAATTTTTAATTCTCAAAAAGTTGCATACATATTAACATGTAATATGAATTGAAAATATTATTATGCGTTTTTCTCCAAAATTAATTTATTTTCTTGAAATTTATAGTGAATCTATTAAAACTGAAATTATAAAAAAAGTACAACATTATTAAAAAAATATTCTGGAATTGTGATAAATAATTTAATTTTATTGTTTATATATGAAATATAATACTTAACTAACATATAATAAGGTAAATATAATAGTATATTTTAAACCACTATTTTATACATAATATATAAAATAAGTAAAATTATATTATATATAATAAATGATTATACATTTTATTAATTATAATAAAAAATAATACATATTTGTACACTTTTGCAATTGTAAATATAATGATAATAAATTACTAAACTATAAGTTCACACTATCTATTTTTGAATTTTACTCATTCTTTCTATAATAAAACATGTTCTAACCACTGCCAAATGATCTATGACATTGATGCAATAAATTGCTATATACATATATGTACATGAGATTCCGTTAAATTTTATTCAATCCTTTGTGAAAATACATTATTCTACAATAATTCAGTTACTTCTTCAGAAATATTTTTAATTTTTGTACATTTCTTTATATATATACATTTACTTATTTATTACATAACAGTAGTATATGTGCGGTAAGCGCGTGGCTTGTGTGCTACGACTCTGTGTACTTCAAAAACGCATCATTTGATTGGCTAACTTTAATTATTAATAACTCGGTAAATAATGTTTTAAGCCAAAATTAAAAGACGAATATTGTTTCTGAATTTCCCCTTTCATGTTCTTAAATTTTAAACAGAATTACGAGACACCCTGTCTGTATCAATGACTACGTTTCCATCGAGGGTCCAAATCGGGTCAGAGTCGGGTTAGAGT